GTCCAGACTATGGAGAGCTCCAAAAAATTAATAATTATAATTTGGATTATAATTTGGTCTTCTTTATTTTAGTTTTTTATTTTAATTGGATTATGATTGGATATATTAATTGGATGTTTTTTTATTGGAAAATTAATAAAAGTGATTTTTTTAAAAAAAATAACAATACAGTGGTACCTCTGGATACGAACAGGATCCATTCCAGAACCCTGTTCCCATCCTGAAGAGACCGCAACCCGCCCCCGTGCGCGATTTGCCGCTTCCGTGTATGACATCATTTTGACCGTCTGCACATGCGCGAGCGGTCAAACGTGGAAGTAACATGTTCTGTTACTTCCGGGTCACTGCGGAGCGCAACCCGAAAGCGCTCAACCTGAAGCAACTTCAACCCGAGGTATGACTGTATTGCTTAATATTGTCTGTTTTTGCAACACAGGGGATTTCCTTTGTTAGATACCTCTCCCAAAGTCAGCGGAACCAACAGAGAGGAGCACCGTGTCAGGCCATGCTGGGGGCACTGCTGTGGGTGTGCCTCATTCATGCCTGCCAAGTACTGTGTTGAGTAGCCAGGCTCCTCCTGTGTGGGTGGGCAGTCAACACAATGTGGCTCTTCTTGTGTGGGGGTCGCTCTGGCGGTGTCAGCGGTGAGGGCTGGGGGGCTGGGGTGAGATCCTCCACCCTCCACCCTTTGTGACCCATTCCCTGGCACACACACATGCTCCCCCCAGCACGCTTGCCCGCCCCGGGTGCTGGGAGCTCATGGTACGCGGCTGCCTATGTGTGAACACCAGGATGGGGTTGAGCCGTTATACCTTGATGGAATGGAAAGGGAAATAAGTGTAGACCCACTCTTGACCTTCACATGGTTACAATGGCTTGGAAGACAGGACCTCAGGAGGGCCAAAGAAACAGCCTGCACACGAAAACATATTTGGGTTAAGCATATTGTCTGTTTCTTCAGGACACAGCCGTTTCAATAATCTATGTAAGAGCCTAAACTGTTTTAAAAGAAATTGAACAAAGTTGGTGCTAGAAGACCAGTATATTATATCGCCTATTAAGGCCTTCAGACAATGCCGTTACTCTTCCAAAGTCACTAGAGTGGCACTAGCTGTTTAATGAGAACTAATTCAGTGCAATTGTGTTTTGTTTACTGCTGTTTCTGCCAATTTCGTCCGAGGCCTTATCTGATCTCAGAACTGGGTGCCCCTTTAAGATCTATGAACTGAATACCTCTTAAAATAGTCTGTTACCTCTTGACTTTTTCATTGTTAAACAGGCAGGCAGAAAACAATGCTCTATACAAGAGTATCCTTTTCAAAAACCTGCTTTCCCCTTTATATCAGTTTCATGAATCTGTGACAATAAAGAAGATGGCTCTTGTACAAATTCAGCAGGAACGCTTAAAAAGCCGACTGGTTTGACTGCTAAGCTTTTTCCTTAACACTGGAACAAAAATTATAGATTCATTTCATTGCTTAAGGAAACAGATGTGCTTAATTTTTGTTTATTTTCAAAACGGGGTAGTGCAAATTCCTCCAGTAATTTAGAAACAAAAAGAAAGAAAGAAAGAAAGAAAGAAAGAAAGAAAGAAAGAAAGAAAGAATATATATATTCCTCTGGAGCTGTTAAAGAGAAGACACCATCATTTTGATGACGTAATTATGGCTGCTGATAACAATAACAGTAATTTGGAACTGTTAAAGAAGAGGCCATATTATTATAATAATTTATTGGGGGGGGATTCAAGGCAACTTACATGTTACAGTAATATATATTTTAAAAAACCAAAAGAAGTAGTAATTAACATATAAAAAGTAATCAGGACCCTTCCCAGAGGTCACCTGGTGGTAGAGGAGAGAGTTCAGTTATAGAATTAAAGAGTTGGAAGGGACCACAAGAATCATCTAGTCCAACCACCTTCAATGCAAGACTATTTTGCCCAAATCTTTGCCCAAAGATTAAGAGTCTCATGCTCTACCAACTGAGCTACAGTCTTTACAGAATCTTTTTAATTTGTCAACTTCTCAACCCACGCCTTTCAAAGCTGAACAGATTTATTGGGGAAGTGAGATCCCAGAAATGTCTTTCTTTTTCTTTTTTTTGTTAAACATGATAGCGTCCTATTCCTCATTTGGCATTTCTTGAGATTTGCTATACACAAGAGCCCAAAAAATGAGCAGTTGAGAGATTCAGAAGCAAAAATAATACTATGATAATAGCTGGAATAATTTTTTGCATTTTATTTTTTTACGTTTTTCTTAATTTTTGACATTAACATAACAATAACAAAGAAATAAACAAGGGAAGAGACCAAGGCTGGGCAATACATTTTTGCACCTGAGTCGAACCAGAAAATGGCTGAGTTTGGTTTGAACCAGGGGTCAGTTTCTCTTGCAAAACCTATTTCCAAACTGTGAAAAGTGTGGAATGAATGGATGAGAGAAATATCTTGTGAACAATTCAGAAATGAAGATGGGATCAGTGCCCGATTTAGGGTATCATAGGATGATTTCACCGCAAGGGGCACCAAGCCGAGGGCACACAAAATTATAATAAATAAAAAAGGAATTATTGTGTAAATAATAAATATTTAAGTGGAGGACACCAAATTTTGTCCTTGCCATAGGAAATGTCCAGGGGTTTGGGGGGGGGTATTTATTGGGGGGGGGTTGGCTCAGGTGTGGGCAGCTTGGGTGCAGGCTGCTCTGCATGCCATGGCTGCTGCCAGCCTGAGCCAGCAAAAGAGGCCTGCTTGAGAGCCAGTGTGGTGTAGTGGTTAAGAGCGATAGACTCACAATCTGGGGAACCGGGTTCGCGACTCCACTCCTCCACATGCAGCTGCTGGGTGACCTTGGGCTAGTCACGCTTCTTTGAAGTCTCTCAGCCCCACTCACCTCACAGAGTGTTTGTTGTGGGGGAGGAAGGGAAACAAGAATGTTAGCCACTTTGAGACTCCTTCGGGTAGTGATAAAGTGGGATATCAAATCCAAACTCTTCTTCTTCTTCTTCTTCTTCTTCTTCTTCTTCTTCTTCTTCATCTTCATCTTCTTCTCTTTCTCCCATTCGGTCTGGTAGCATCTCAGGCTGTCCTCTTTTTGTTCTTCAAGATATGGCAACTATATATATCCTGTATGTGAACTTCGTGCAAGGAAATCAGGAAGAAAGCTTGATAAACCAGTCATCTAGGAGCTCTAAGAGCAGCAATCAAATTTGTGTTCCTTAGGAAGTGGCAGCTGGATGACTCAAAGAGCTATTATGACTCAAAGAGCTATTATGCAAGAATGCAACCCAGACCATTCTTCCAGACCGCCTTGCTCACTCACTGGCTGCACACATGAGAGGAGGAGGCTGAGGTTGGTTAGAAGTTGGGTTGCCATATTTTAAAAAGTAAAATTCCTGACGCCCGCAAAATTGTGATTTCCCCATTTTTACACCCCAAAACCAGGACATGTCAGGAATTACCATGACTTATGGCAATCCTAGTGACAAATTTTCAGTTCCTTTTTTCCCATGAATATTCAAAACAGAATCTAAAATGTAGTTCCTTATTGGGGATGCTCATTCAGCATTGTATAAAAGGCGGGACGAACAAATTGGGAACGAGTAACCAACTCCAGTCAGGTCCTAAAGGGCATCTGTTAAGACAAGAATGCAGAAACACAGAAAGCTGCCTTAAATTGAGTCAGATCATTGGCCTATCTACTTGGAGATGACAGGATTTGAAAGCTGAGGTTTTCTGCATGCAACACAGAAGCTCTACCAGGAACTGAGGCTCCTGAACAGCTGAGGCTGTTGTTAGTGTTTTATTTTAGATCTTGTTGTGATTTATGTGGAAATTGTTGTTTGACTGTGTATTTTTTAATGTTTTGTTTATTGTTTATGACTACTTTTGCTATGTTGTAGTTAATGTATTTAACTGTTGTATTTTTTCCCCATGGTGTAGGCCATCATGGTTTAAATGGTATGGATGTATGTATGTATATATGTCTGTATGTCTGTATGTACCGCTGAGTTAATGCCCTCCCCCGATGAAAGCTGCTATGGAGATTTTCTCCTTCATAATACTAGACTAGAGCTCCAAGCATCAGCCAATCAAGATGCAGGGAACTGAGGAGCACAGGAAGCTTCCTTATCCCAAGTTGGACAATTGGTCCACCTAGCTCAATAGTATCAACACCGGGGATGGGGTGCATAAAGGCCACCCCCACTTCTGGGCAAACCTCTAAGGTCCAAATGCCTGCGGTGATGGAGGCAGAGGCAAACATGGGCACAGCATTGAGTATACATTTCTTCTTTGCGTAGTAGGGACATCTCCTCATTGCTTGTAGTTTCTCTTACTCCTTCTATGTGTGCCAGCTATGCCTCTGTGTACCAACTGCCTTGCATTTACAATATTAAGAAACAATATTTAATACTCCGGCTCTGTAGAATATATAGGGTGGTATTCAAACATGTTTTACTCTTAGCAGATCCACTGAAATGAATGAACGTGCCTAAGTTAGAGCCATTACAGTAATTTCAATAGGGCTACTCCTGAGTAAAACTTACTTGACTACAACCCATAGGTCATTTCTTACTTTAGAATATTCTATGGTCTCAGGACTTTGGGATTTGTTTAAAGCACAGTCATAAAATAGAACAGGAACAGTAGTAAAGACCTCGGATTTTTATTTAAAGCATTTCCCTAGTAAAGGGCATCATTAGTTAGGGCCCCTGATAATCCCACAAACATTTTATACAAATATCCTTTCCTTTCTTTAACTATATGCTCCCCACCATAGTCACACATCTAGCAGAAGCATCATTTTTCAAAACAGACGCTAATAAGATAATGGCCAATTTGTGCTCTCAGTTACTGCTCTATAATCTCTGTTTAGCTCTAAGAGCATGCTTTAGACTTCTGTCTCTCATAGTTCACTGCCCACCCCCCAACCATTAGGGAGGGAGGAGACGGGAGATTAGACATTCCCAACGCATTTTCCTGCTTTCCTTTTCCACACTGTGGCTTTTCCAGCCTTCACTGGAGGCAGCAACTGCCCTCGTGTGCACTCTTCTTCATACCAGAGCATGCGTCCCAAGGTAAGATGCTTGCTGTGATGCCAGTCCAAGGCACAAGCTTGGGGATTTGTCTCCGAACATAGGGAGAAAGTAAAGAGAAAGTGCCTGCATGTTCTCAAATGAGGCTGAAATTGGTGTTTGCTTAAATCGGTCCAAAGCCGTACTGCCTGAATTCAATTTGCCTCCGGCATTCAATTAGCTCAAGAGTAGTGGCGCAATTAGTTTTAGCCTCTGGATTCAAATAGGCTTACGAGGGGCACATCTCACTTTAGATAGTCATGCGTGGTGTGCTCACTTCAAAATGTGGTAATCCAAGATTGCTGCATTTGGAAGCCCTTCTGCTCAGCTGCCTGGAGTGGGGCCCAGCCCTGCCCTGGTGATGCCATTGCTCAGGAGCAGGGCCAGATTAAGATTTGATGAGGCCCTAAGCTACTGAAGGTAATGGGGCCCTTTGTATGTCCAGCTGTCCTTTGTCAACACTAAATTGTCGCTGTTTTTTTGTGTTGAATATATGCTATATGGTAATTGATGGACCTAATAGATATCTAAAGCCATTTGCACATAACGAAATAGGTATTTTATCAAAGTAATTGTTGAACTAAAATACAATTAAGAAGTATATTAATAGTGAAATAATTACTAAGCTCTAACTTAAAACGATTTTTTATTCATAACAAACTTAACAATGCAAACACATTGGCAATAACAAAAGTTCCTTTAGAAACACAATTTACCCTTTTTTTTTCCTTTAAATTTTTTTTGGGGGGCCCAAGAGAGTGGGGGCCTAAGCTATAGTTTGTTTAGCTTATACATAAATTTGGCACTGCTCAGGAGAAGCACAAAGGTGCTTTTATGACAGCAATGTTCCACATGCTTAACTGAAAGGGAAATCTTACTGAACTGCGTGAGATTCAGGGTGCTTCTAGGTGGGGACCTAGTAATGCAAACAGGTATTTGACTACTGGGTTTCCCACCCCCACCCCCCAAAAAGACTGAATATGGATTAAAACTGAGGGGCAGATATGGGGAGAGGGGAATATGACAAAGATGTTGTGTGGTTGCAGCAAAAACAATGGCACACATGAGAATCGCCAATCCCACACTCTTGCTTATAAGTAAGATCATGTTTATGTATAGGATTATTTTCACACTTTGGCAAGAAAAAAAAGAAAAGCCAAGCCATCACCCTTGTCTTCTAGTGAATGTAATAGGAATATTTGAAGCATGAACATGAGAAATGCAGAACAGGATTTGAGTTCCATGGAGCCTGATCCTATTCTTTCTTATGCAGAAGCAAATCCTACTGTGTTCAGTGGGGCTAGGTCACAGATAAAAGTGCAACAGAGTTGCAACCTTTTTGTTTTTGAATCCTTTTGGTGCTATCTGTGTGTATGTGTGAATACTGTTAATGTGGGGTAGAAACTAATGAAGACCACAAATTTTAGACAGGTTATACCCTTGGGGATGATGTTGTAATATTAGTAAGTCTGCGTGACTCATGTAGTGGTTTCCTATGTTGAACAGGCTCTGTGCAGTTTAGATTTCAAGCATGACTGTTTATGGTACTAAAATCCATCAACCCCAACTTCTCATCATTTCCAAGGGTTATATCATTACTGTATTATTCTGGGTGCTATTTCCATAACGTCACTAACCTAGTTACTGGCAGGAGATTTCACATATAAATCTCCTGGGTCTGCACTCAAAATCACTGCTGTGGTCTGAAATTCTTATCCCATTCATTAATATGCACTGCATGGTTTTAATTCTGATCTATTATTGTGGTTTCAATTGCTTTTTATGTAAATTCTTGACTTTATGATTAGGTTTGGAGTGAGATGGTTCTATATTTTTTATTGTTGTGACATTTCAATTTGTTAGTCACATTGGGTTTCTTTGAAAATTAAGCAGCACATACATTTTATTTTAAAAATACATGAACTGCAAGCTGTGTAAATAAATTGCTGTTTTTATCTACTATTTAACTGGCCCAATTATGACAAAAAAAATGTGATTAAAGTGTGTTATCTGGTAAGTAATCTGCATGCAGGTATGGTTTCAAATGTGCACCTACAGAGGAAAGTTTTAAAAGCTTAGAGGACTCACAGAAACAGACACTCTCTCCAAATCTAGGTTCAAAAGCTGATGTTGGGAAGTCAAATGAAACTATCTTTAAGTGAGGATATTTCTGGACATTTATAATATAAACAGTGAAGTGTCTTGTAGCACCTAAAAGATACATCCATTTATCTCCCGTACACTTCCAAACACCAGGAACCACTTCATAGGATGCATTTGCATCTATTTGTGGACTCTGATCCACAAAAGCTCATGCCATAATAAATTTGGCAGTCTTTAAGATGTCACAAGGGTATTTTGTTTTGCTTTGTTTCTTTGCTGCAGCATACCTACTTAGAGATTGGGTTGGCGTGCAACAATGCTCTCCTAAATTATTTGCATTGCACATTTGACCGTAATGTGTATGGTTCACTTTCTTACAATGTTTAAAAAGATTTGGAAAACATGGGCAAAAGGAAATAATGGTATTCTTTGGTTTTCATTTTTTCCTTGCCAAGGTATTTTAAATACTGTATGTAAGTTAATTTTATTTAAATCAGTGTAGGTTATTTACTTGCAGCTTGTTCAGTATGAGAAGGTGGGCTTCGTTCCTAGAAGGCGGTGTAGAGGGTTCGAGTTTACAACACTTTCGATGTGTTATACTTTAATATATATTTTTCGACTGGCCCTACCAATAAACATCATTAGAACCATGCTGCAGATGTGCTTTAAGTTCCACTGTCATTAACAAGTCATTGTCTGCAATCACAGGGCAATAAATCCCTCTGGAATCAGTGGTGATTGTAAACGCATTTTAGTGGGACAAGCCAATGAATGGAAAGAAACTGCTTAGCATGATACAGTTTACAACCCCCTCTCCAAATAAATCTGTTGGAGGGTCAGTTGTGGTGCTTAATCTGTGCCTTCATCTATGCTGAAGGGGAAAGGTTGCAGTGCAGTCCCAGATTCGATCTCTGGGATCTCCAAGATGGGCTGACCTGACAAGAGATCCCAGCCTCAAAGCCTGGAGAGCTGACAACACTGGATCACCACTGCATTAGCAGGCAGCTTCTGGTGTCCTTTGTTCAACCTTAATATGTGTAAATAAGCACAGATGTAAAGATCTAATAATTTTCTTCTGAGGGGAACCTAACCTGGGTGTTGCAGCCAGGAGTTTTGCACTGCTTGGAGAAAGGGATTGATCATGTTTTGACACTGAGCCAATCCAAAAGTTCTATAGGTGGGGATTAATCGATTAGTGCTCATTCACACATGCACATCACTGTTTGGTGCAAAAGATAGTCAATGTGTCAAGCACTCTGTGTGTGTGTGTGCGCATGCGCGCGCGCACGTGTGCTTGTCATATGAAGGAGAACAAAATGTGTTAGGGTTTTGAGATTCTAGAAACACATTTTGCAATAACACAAATCACATTGCTTGCTTTTCTTTCTCACTTCTGACATCCTGTTAATCCCTCTCTCTTTATTGTGCCAGCTCTCTTGAGGGAACGTCTTGCCACTGAGATACTGACTAGATTTAGTTTCCATTGACCTTAAAGGCATTAACTACCCACTGCTCATTTTGTTTTTCTTTTGAGAAGTAGTTTGCTTGCCCCATTGTTCCTTGTTATTCTTCTCCCAGATGCTTCCTTCCTTGATGCTGTAGCTGAAATGCTTATCTTCCTTTAAGTTTCCACCCACAACACATCCTTTTCTTAACAATTATCTCATTTCCTTTTGATAATAAGTCTGTTCCTTAATCATATTTAATCCTTGTTGGTAGCTGGCATAACATAATGATTAGGAGACTGAATTACAGATTGAGATACACCAAGTTTCACTACTGCCATGTGCTCACTTGGTGATCTGTAGTATTGTGGGGGAGTTTTAATACTGGTTTACCATAGATAGCGGCTGTAAGGACTACAACTAGAACATGAACACGAAGAGCTCGGAATGTATGAAAGCGCTACACATTTTGTGCAGTGTTTTGTGATTTAGAATACAGGGCTTAATTGGAGCCCAGGGGTTTTCTGAGTCTCATCACCAGAACAACTTCTTCCAATGCTAGGGCCTGGAGTTGAACATGAGAAGTAACAATGTGAAAAAATACTTTCCATGAGCTTCTGAGAAACAACAACCAGAGCCCACGCACCAGGAGTTTGTGATAGGCATCTAAGCAATGTGACTAGTTCCAATAGATTATTGGCAGTGGTGAGAGGTAAGGGACTCCCTGATAAAATTGACAATCTCCAACTGCCGACTCAATCCCAAAATTTACAATCTCAATCTGCTGACTCAGTTCATATATCTACCAACTCCATCTTCTGACTTAGGCTGAATAAACATCATACATTTAAAGCACATTATTATTATTATTATTATTATTATTATTATTATTATTAATTAAATTTGTATGCCACCTTCATCCAAAGATAAGAGGGCAGTTCACAACATAAAAAATACAAAATGAGAACACAAAATTCAAAATACATAATAACAACGAGAACAAAAGCAAACCAATAACCATTAGAATGCTAATCAGCCAAAGGCCTGGTTCTGGAGAAACGTTTCCGCCTGGTGCCTAAAGATATGTAATGAAGGCACCAGACAAGATTCCCTAGGGAGAGCATTCCACAAACAGGGAGCCCTGCAGAAAGGCTTGTACTTGTGTTGCCACCCTCCGGACCAATCATGAAGGAGGTCCTCAGATGATTATTGCAGAGTCCAAGTTGATACATATGGAGAGAGGCTGTCCTTGAGGCACATGTCTTCAAAGCACATGACTTTCCCCAAAGAACCATGGGAACTGTAGTTTACACCAGAGAGCTATAACTCCCAGCACCCTGAACGTGCTACAATTCCTGGGATTCTTTGTGGAAATTGATATGCTTCCGATGCATATTAAATTTATGGTCTGTATGCAGCATAGTCCCAATCACTTAGCTAAATCATGGCTCTGTGTGGTGTGTTCTAAAAACAGTGGTTTAGAAAGCTTCCACACAAGGTTAGCAGGCTGGACTGCCACTGGCCCTCCTGAAATTTAAGAATCAAAACCCACTACATTAGGGATAACCAATGTTGTGCCCTACAGATGTTGTAGGACTGCAACTCCCTTCATCCCTGACCACTGGCCGTGCTTACTGAGGCTGATGGGAGTTGGAAGTCCAACAACATTTGGGTAGCACCACATTGCCAGCTCCTGCATTGCATGATAAGCTCCTCTACCAAATTTCTACTCTATGCAAGGAGAAGAAGTTTAATAAAAAAAACCCAACAACACGGCCCTGTTTCCTCTTTATCTGTTGATGGGGCATTCTCAGATTTTACAGTCTTCATTTCATAAACAGAAAACACTTCTGCTAGGAAATCCCATGAAACCAATGAGGATCACATGTAATCATTTTGAATGTTTGTACATCATGGCACAGAAATATACATGCACTGGGAAACTAAAGCCTATCATAGCTTCCCAGGTTGTACATGCTGAAAAACACCAATGAGGTCAAGTCTCATTAGTGACAGTCCATAGGTGGATTTCAACTTCCCCACTATTTAAAGAAATGGGTAAAGTGCGGTATGTACAATGTGAAGTAGCCTTCAGGCCAATGACCTGCCATTTGTTAGTTCTTAGCTAGACATGGAAAAGCTTCACTGCTTGTTTTGGGGAGTTTTGTCTGCTATGGCAACATTTTGAAAATCCCCTGATATGGTTGCAGTGGAACAACAGCCTCTATCTTCATTATGCACCTAGGCTATACCCAAAATCCAAATAGTAGAGCATTGTAGTGGCAAAAAAGGCTATTGTGTATCTGTAACACATCTCTTTTTTCTATTCCTAGTTAAATGAAGGTCTCTGTTCCCCATGGACTTTCCAGGGCCTGACTCTGTGCATCATATGTATTGTTCTCTGTAGGATAAAGGGTAAGTCTAACATGATTAGTGCATTGGGGAAAGTGTAATGACTAGGCAAGGGTGGCTCAAGACATTTTGCCACCTGAGGCAATGGACAACATGGTACACACACACACACTTGATATCGGGTAGCCAGCTGGACTGACTGCTGAATCCTAATTCAGTACTAGCAATGGGGCACTGCACTGTCCTGGAGGGAGGTCAGCACCATAGTTGTAAGGCTGGAGCCCCACAGCTCTCATCTCCAACAGTATGGACAGGGATATCAGGAGGAAGAGCTAAGGGCTGCCACCACCTCCCATCTTATGGCACCTGCACCAGTCACCTCATTCTACCTAATGGTAGAGCCAGACCTGTGACTATGAGCCAGTAGACCAGCAAGTGTGGCTGGCAGAGGGCTATGGAGAGTCTTGTGCTGCTGTGAGCAGGATGGGCTTCTATTTTGAGTCAAAGAAATGTATTTTTTTGGCATCTGTCTGTCTCAGGAGACAATGGAGGAGCACGCTTTGAGGGATGAAGTCAAACTGTTGGAAGGTTGCAGCACCTGCTGTGGCTGTAGAGACCAATGCAGGAGAGATATGTTTTGTTGCAGGTCAGGCAGATGAAGGCATCTGGTTGTGCTGCTACAAATGAACCATAGTGTTTCTTTTCTCTGTGCTCCTCCCAGTGGCCTTTCATCTTCTGGTCACTGCACAGACACACACAGAGCTGCCTTGTGAGGTTAAGTAATGTATGCAGCAACCCTCTTCCCCAAATTGTTCCTACCATGAATTTCAGAAAGGCTTCCTTTTCCCTCCACCTATCCAGTGAAAGGTTTTTAAAAAATGAAAGAAAAATATTTTGGAATTAGCAGCCCAGTTCTAATCTGTTCATGGTTGCTAGAAGTGCAGAACAGGAATTTTTGCATAAATAAATATTTTCCTTGGATCTAGACCAAGGGATTTGTAAGCATAAGATACGAGAGGTGATTATTAATTATTTTGTCTTGCCGCAGGTGCCATATTGACAAGTGACAGAGACGTGGAGCTGGGCGGCAACGCTACTTTGAGATGTACCCTAACAAAATCTCTTCCAACTGTTCAAGTTACATGGCAGCAAGAGGTTAATAAAAACGTTGTAAATTTGGCAGCATATGACAACAACCAAATTCCACATATTAATGACCAATACAAAGGTCGAGTCAATTTAACAATTTTAGAATTCAATGACACTGCCATCAGCTTCTGGAATGTTAGCACCCAAGAAAATGGTTGTTACCGATGCATATTTAACATATTTCCTCTAGGATCCACTAGCAAAACAACTTGTCTTTCTGTTTACGGTGAGTCATTTCATATTAAAATAGCTAGAGCAGGGCATTTCTTCAAATATGCTCCTTTGATAATGAAGCAATACAACACACACCATTATCTCACCCCTGTTCCAGGGGCGCAGGACTTGCCCAAGTTTGGTTTCCTTAGGAAGGGTGTTACAAGAGCCCTACAGCATTTCCTAATACATATAACTACCGATTGAGTATAATTGGAACTACAGCTTAAACCACAGGTGGTGAACCTGTGGTCCTTCAGTTGATGTTGGACTACAACTCCTACGATCCATGAGCACGCTAGCTGCAGATTATGAGAGCAAAACCTGATAGTCTAAGATTACAATATCCACAGCAGATCGGAGGCAGTATATTTCCAGTTGCCCAGGTCCTGCCTGTGGACTTCCTGTGGGCTACTGGCTATCTTATTGGCTACTGTGAGAGCAGAATGCTGAACTTGATAGGTCATTGATCCATTAGGTTCTTATATTCTTCTATGCTGATATGGGGAGTGGAACAGAATACTAAGAAGCTCCGGGGACCAAAAGCTCAGCTTGGTGTCTGATCTCCATCTGCCTCAAAACTGCAGGCTTCTCCTTTCGTTTCCCTGTATATACAGAGACCTGGATCACAACATTTGTTAACTGTGCAGGAGGATCTGTCCCCTTCTCTCATAATTCTTCCGATTCAGGACATTCCCAAATCTTTTGTTAGCAATGGGCTAAGCAATTTGTTGCTATGGCAACATATTCCTGAACAATTAACAAGTCCAAGGTTCTGGCCTGTTATGCCACAGAGAAACTCACACTAACGAAAACCCCTTTGTAAAACTGATTATAAATCAGCCCACTGTGTAATAATGCTACAACATATGTTTTGGTTTTCAGCCAGAATATTGCAGTGTGGGACATTGGGCTTGTCCACATGTATGGTGTGTTAAATAACACACTATAGCACACTACAGTTGAAGGATGATTGCTCAAAGTTAACATAAGTAATAGTAAAGGGACCCCTGACCATTAGGTCCAGTCATGGCCGACTCTGGGGTTGCGGTGCTCATCTCTCTTTATTGGCTAAGGGAGCCGGCGTACAACTTCCGGGTCATGTGGCCAGCATGACTAAGCCACTTCTGGGAAACCAGAGCAGTCCACGGAAACGCCGTTTACCTTCCCACCGGAGCGGTACCTATTTATCTACTTGCACTTTGACGTGCTTTCAAACTGCTAGGTTGGCAGGAGCAGGGACTGAGCAACGGGAGTTCACCCCATTGCGAGGATTCGAACCGCCAACCTTCTGATCGCCAAGTCCTAGGCTCTGTGGTTTAACCCACAGCACCACCCATGTCCCTTTTCCTACCATATAAGGTAAAGGTAAAGGGACCCCTGACCATTAGGTCCAGTCGTGACCGACTCTGGGGTTGCGGCGCTCATCTCGCTTTATTGGCCGAGGGAGCCGGCGTACAGCTTCCGGGTCATGTGGCCAGCATGACTAAGCCGCTTCTGGCGAACCAGAGCAGCGCACGGAAACACCGTTTACCTTCCTGCTGGAGCGGTACCTATTTATCTACTTGCACTTCGTGCTTTCAAACTGCTAGGTTGGCAGGAGCAGGGACCGAGCAATGGGAGTTCACCCCGTCGCAGGGATTCGAACCACTGACCTTCTGATCGGCAAGTCCTAGGCTCTGTGGTTTAACCCACAGCGCCACCCGTGTTCCTACCATATAGTCTGCCTCTAATTCAACAGTTTGCAGTTTGCCCTGCTGAGTCCCTCACTGATACAGTGGCATCTTTTCATCTTCCTTTTATTGCCCACCTGCGGTCCTTATGGTGAAGCATTTTGTGCCGTCATTTATGTCACAGGCCGCCTCAACACATTTTTACACCACAGCATCTCTGATGGGCGCTTGAATGCCACCTGCTCAGCAACGGGCTTCCCACGTCCCAACATCACATGGGTTGCGCCAAGAGGCCTGAAGGAGGAACACGAGATCACAAATCCCAATGGAACAGTATCGGTCATAAGCAATATCCTTGTAAATGCCTCAGATAGCCATTCTGGACAAGAGATGATCTGCAAGGTTACACACAGGGGGAAAGAGATGGATCTCAAGGTACCAAGAAAAGGTAAGTGAGCAAAGCACTCGGTGCCTGTCATCCTCCTAAAAGGTAGCAAACTTTCACCTTAAAAATCTTGTATTTTCTTTTCTTCCATTCTACAAGGGATGGTGAACCTGCAGCCCTCCATATGTTACTGACCTACAGTTTTCCACCATCCCTGATCATTGTCCATGATACCTGGGGGCAATGAGAACTGGAGTATAACAACCTCTGGAGTGCCACAAGTTTGCCATGCCTGATGTAAAACAAAAGAAAAAATTCAGACTAAAGAGAGGCTTTAGTGCAGGGATGTGGAACAGGTTCCAGGTGGCCAATTTTGGCAGTTGAGTGGGGCTACCCACCTGTCCACCCCTGGATCCTTTAATACTGTATATTTCACACTTCCCCTTATCAAGTAATAATTATCATTTTATTCTATTGTTACATGCATGCATTCTTCCTTATTTTTCCCTCCTTCAAGATGGATTTGGGCATGTGCTTTTAGTCTCCCTCTGAAATTCTTTACTCTTACCTCTTTCATAAACTGAAACACACTCACTGGTTTTCAGTGAATGCATTTTGAACATATTCTTAGAAGTTATTTCAACCTCTAGTCATCTCACCCACTACAGCAAATTAAGGACCTCACTTTCAATGTAGAATTGTGATTTTATTCTATATTACATTATTATATGATATTATATTATAATATAAATCATTGTTATGTTATGTTATGTTATGTTATGTTATTGCATTTATTACATATTTATTTATTTATTACATATTACATAGACTCCTCTCCATACTGTCAGCAATTATTTTCTTTCCTCCATATAGGCTATCCATATGCTGTGGTGGTAACTGTACTTGTCCTAATTTCTCTTACTGTGGTTATTATTGCGGTGTGCTGCTGGAAACGACACCAAAAATAATGCAGAAGTAAGTTATTTAAACCAAAAGAAGATAAATATACGTTGTTGCTATGCAGACTACTTGAATGGTAGCCGATGCACATAAAAATGCTGGATAGCAGCTGAATGATAGGGCTTGTGCTCAGAAATGGAGAGATATGTCAATTTTGGTTTGTCCTGAATTCTCAGTTTTCTGAGAGCTCCCAGCTAGGCTCCGCCCCCTTTTGTGCTTGAAGAGCAGACCAGAGTGAAGACTACTTCTACTCGGTCAGCTCCCCTGGCTCCGCCTCCCCAGTCACGATTGGTTCGTTTGAACTGAGGTTTGGCGGGAACCTCAAGGTCTGTGACCTGAAGAGGTGGACCAGGAGCACTTTGCCGGGAGTCATGGAGAATCAGGGGTGCTGTGCATGGGCACGCAAAGGATGCCCTCCATTTTATGGGAAGAGTGGTTATTTTAGCACAAATTTATTGACTGGAGAACACCATCACAATTTAAAAATTATGAATTTCAAAGGTTGGCTATGTTTCAGTTTTCATATTGTTTCATAACAATACTCCGGACACCTGTACACATGATCTCTACACATGTGCAAGTGTTTGCATGGAAGTATACACTTGTTGTACGTCCCAGTCACTGTGTACACAGACTGTACACTCATTGCACATTACACAGGAATAGCAGCAGGGTTGTGCAGCTCATCTGTTGTGTACACGGGGACCAAGATGGAACACACGATGAACGTATTATGTGAACATCTCAAGTGTTATCTCATAAAGAGGCTTTGCAAAAGTTCTGAAGCATTACCAGAACTACCATATCAGTATGCGTGTGCTTTCCCCCACAGGGCAAAAAGCATTTTGTGTGGATGGGAGAAATATTTTGACTGGGAAAATGTCATGGAAGGAAAGGCTTAAATGTCATTCACAGCTCTGTATTCCCAATCTGGTTCAGGGGCTTCCCATGCCCCATCTAGCTTGGCCCAGAGGTGTTGATAGACTTGAACTATGCATCATAGGCAACACTGATGATAATATGACTTCCCAGTCCTGGGAGATGGAGTTTTCATTGGTCTACAGCCTAAATTCCTTCATGTTTAAAATATGCTCCATGAATTGGCAAGGCTTGTGAACAAAGAAATTACATTCAGCGTTTAACTTTCTCCAGGCAGCTTCATTTGAAACAGCTTTATTCCTGCTTAAGTCATTCACAACGTTTAAACAAAGTGAGCTACCCATAACATTTTAGCGATGAGGCAGTTAAGCTTAGTGAGAGTTTTGGATTGATGTCAGCCACAACCCCATATGAAGCTGAAGATAGAGGCTTCTAGAACTTTCACTTCCTCTCTCTGGAACTTTCTTTTTCCTGCACGCAAACAGGCACGCACACACATACAAGCAGAAACTGGGCCACCAGCTGAAAGAGACTTTTCAGAGGTGGAATCGCTTCCCTTACAAATCAAGGCAAATTAACTGTGGTGATTTAAAATTAGACTTTTGTAAAAATGCATATTATTCAATTAGGATTTTGAATGCCCCCCCCCCAGGTTTAAATGAAAATTCTATGAAAAATGTATATGTACAGTGGTACCTCGGGTTACATGCACTTCAGGTTACATACGCTTCAGGTTACAGACTCTGCTAACCCAGAAATAGTGCTTCAGGTTAAGAACTTTGCTTCAGGATGAGAACAGAAATCGTGCTCCGGCAGTGCGGCGGCAGCAGGAGGCCCCTGGTGCTTGAACCTGGTGCTTCAGGTTAAGAACAGTTTCATGTTAAGAATGGACCTCCAGAACGAATTAAGTACTTAACCCGAGGTACCACTTTATTGGAAATGAATTTATTTTTTAAAAAGGAAGTTCTAACTGGAAAATTAAATGTTCATCAACATACAAAATCAACTTTAAAAATGTAGGGCAGGAGTAAAAAATTTCAGCTGACCTATCCCAAATCCTATATCTTGACAAGCTCTCTACTTTCAAATTTCCCCCTCAGCTTTCTTATGAGCCAACAATGTTGTGCCATACCTCCACTGCCCAGTCTCTTGTCTGGAACCATATCCGGCTTGAAATTCCTGGAAACATCAGATTAAGACAGATAAGGACAGTCATAGGGAGTGTCTACCATAACTTAAAGCCAAGTATCATAAGGAGGGATTTTGTTTCCTGTGCTAAACAAAAGAAATGGACACTTATAAATTCTTATCTAATATTCAGAGATGTTTTCGTAGGGTAGCCTATCAAGGTTTTTACAGCACTGAGGAAATAGGAACGAAACTACAAATTAAGGGCATGTTGTTCTTGACGTGAGAACATATTCTTCTCTTGCTGGGGCTTTAGGCTGTGGCAATTTTTTTAGGAGATCATCATGGCAGCCAGAGCCCATGGAGTGTCCAAAAATGAAGGCAGTTGTGTTGCTCCATTGTGTATGTGTGTAAACATGCAATCACACACGCATGCACACAAAAGCATAATATCCAGTTTATTAGGGATCAGCCTGGCTGAAACATCTGCATAATTACAGATGTACCTCAGGTTAAGTACTTAATTTGTTCCAGAGGTTCATACTTAACCTGAAACTGTTCTTAACCTAAAGCACCACTTTAGCTAATGGGGCCTCCTGCTGCTGCTGCGCCACTGGAGCAAAATTTCTGTTCTCATCCTGAAGCAAAGTTCTTAACCTAAAGCACTATTTCTGGGTTAGCGGTGTCCGTAACCTGAAGCGTATGTAACCTGAAGCGTATGTAACCCGAGGTACCACTGTATCTGGACATAAGCTCTATTGAACTCAGCAGCGCTTCCTGCTGAAGGCATATAAGATGATGTGTGTCAGAGGTGATTCATACATTAATAAACAATAGTAATGACAATAATAAGTTCAACGTCTGAAACTCACAGCAGGGGTAGCTAGCTATATCTTCATAAAGAAATCTGCTCTTGTATATCTAGTACTTTCTTCTTGTAAGGAAATTGACTTGTCAAAGGATTTCTTGAAACATCTTAATTATTCAGACAAGTGCGGAGCAAGAGCAACACCCAAACCTGCCCTTTCAGCTCTCAAAAGTCCTGTTTCCTATATAGACTGGATCCCTTCCAAACAGTAGCAGCCAAGCCCCAAACAGGATATATTGCACAAGAACCCTGACCTTTCCCTTCACCTTCATAGTTCCATATTTTCTCTTGCAGCTATGGAGTGGCTTTTTATTCTGAAACATTTTTGATTGTCACACAAGTGAGGGCTGCACACCACACACTTCCTCCTGCAATGTGGGTTTGTGGTTGTGGAGCAGGAGTAGTTCTGAGAAAAAAAGCAACGTTTCTCTCAAGAAATAAGTATTCCTCAAACACTCATGTGCAATCTATTCCTGTATTCCCCCTCCCCCTTTCTTCAGCAACCTGGGTCCTATTTAAATAGGGCTTGTTACAGAAAATGCAAGTTTAGTACTGTTTCTGCCATGACTATGTAGAGCCCATTGCCATACCCGGTTGGTGTGAAATTTTTGAAACACTTAGAGCAGTCATCTCATTCTTTCCTCATACACTATATATATGAAGATTCAGGAAGAAAAGTGAGAATAGACTACATTCATCATACACAATGGGAAAAAACTATGAAATGGCCCCCTGACAGTTGAAACACGCCTGACATTGTCATTTTTTACCCATTTACCCAGGTTTTAGGTGGGTACAGTGATGCTCATCTTTTAGTTGCTGGATGAGCATTTTAAGAATTTTGTATTGTACATCTTTTTCTAATTTGGCTCATAATTTTAGATTTTACTTCACTATATATTAAGTTGTTAAGTTACCTTGTATCATGGCAACAAATATATATATAATATTGATAAAATAAAATAATCAAAACTACTCTATCTATCTATCTGTTCTCTTTTAGGAATCTATTTTTTTTATAAGATATTTATTAAAGTTTCAAAAATAAAAAAAGAAGTTACAATAGTAATAATAAAAAAAGAAAAAAGAAGAGAAAAAAATAAAAAAAGAAAGAAGAGAATACAAAATACAAAAAAATAAAAACAATTAAAAACAACTCAATCTTTCCATATCTTATCTTTCATTCACTTGTTTCCCTGACCTCCTCACACCTCCCCTTTTTGTATTCCAGTTCAGTAAGTTAATTCAGCAAATCCTTTCCCTCTTTGTTTTTATCTTAGTCCTTTGTCTTAATATGTAATAACTGTATATTCTCATCTGTTAGCAGTCCATTTTTACATACTCCTTGTAACATTGCTACTAAAAACCCCTTAGCTTCATTCCAACATCATTCTAACATTCATTAATTTTACAGTATTTCTGTAGATAGTCTTTGAATTTCTTCCAATCTTCTTCCACCGACTCTTCTCCCTGGTCTCGGATTCTGCCCTCTTTTAGGAATCTAAGGGATTAAACCAACATTCTGAATTTTGTTCCAGGGAACTGAAAAAAACATTCTAGCAACTGTGTCTATATAACTAGAATGTCCTGAATGCAGCATCAGTTTAAAGGAGAACCTGGACCAAATTTGTGATTCATCATTGTCAACTTTTCCTCTTTTTCTACTGAAAGGACCTCTATGGCTGAAGCTTACAACTCTGCCTACAGCGAACAATGGCTGGTCTCCAACAGGAAAATAACATGTATCTTGGCAGGCCTACCTTCTAGGTAGTCCTTCCACCAATATAGATGCCAGATTTGTGAACTGTGGCCAGATCAAGTGTCAACAGAAGTAACAGGCCACACGCATTTTCAGTGGCAAATACAATATCAGCTGGGATCCAGAAGTTCTCTTGTACAAGCAGAAAGCATCTCTATGGGTACAACCCCCCTAGATTCTGTCAATTCTCCCCTCTTAATGCAGCCTCTCTTACTACATCCCATGTTTTCCCCAGTGGTGGGAAAGCACCATTGTCTGAGCAGTGCCCTGCTTCTTTGTCACTGGATCCAACCCAAAGAAAATGAACAGGCTAGTGCTGAAATCGATTTCATTTTAAGAAAGTAATAATTAGAACCTACCAATCAGGTAAAAAAAAGAAAAGAAACACAGGGAAAAAAGGAACGCAGCCGGTAATAATGTCACATGGATTTTGTTAAACCTGAGAGAATAAAGGGATGTCAATTTCAAATTAAATGGCTCATATAAAAGGAACCTAAGTAAATCTTTATTTATAGATGGGCATTAATTATTTCCTGGTGTTAGTTATCCTAACTGTGCTTTATGGCAAGTTCTTGTACATTTATTGTTACCTCTTCTGTGGCTACCTCTCTTAAAATAAATCATTGCACTGAATGTATGGAAAGACCTGCTGCATTTTATGTAGAAACCAAATAAAGTAATTTCAAAGAAAAGTGATAATATGCTCCTTATTGTCGATGTCTTTGGCTTTTTTTTTGTCAAAATGGGACCTCAGATTAAAATAGTGCTACAAGTGGATGTATATTTGATGTGATGATAGTCTAATAGTCCTTCTTTTTACCTTTAAAAATCTTCCTGCACTGATTTCTTTAAAAGTAAAAGATGACATTTAAAAAATAGCAATGAAGGTCTATCAGAACTAGTAGACAGGTTCTCTGGCCTCCTGCAGTTTCTTGTGGTTACAAGAAAGCCCCCTGAGGTTATTATAGGGGCACTTGGGAAGGTTGAAGAATGTGGACCACCAGAGAGAGGATTTGTAGAATCAAACCAAAGACATTCATTAAAAACTTTGACACCTCTAAAGGAAGGGAAGTGCCCTTCACCCATAGGAATTTCACTGAAAAATTTTCTCCGCTTTGGTAATTTTTAATAATTTGATTCTTTTTAATGCAATTTCTTTTCTAGTGCATTGATGGAGAATGGTAAACAAGCAAATAAGTACGTTTTTCCTGATTACATAATTTCTAATTATGTAAGCCACCTCAAAGTTTTGTAGAGAGGTGGGATATTATATGGATAAATTGAGAAATCTGTGCTAAAGCACTGCAACCTCCCTACCACCATTTGTTTTCAAAACTTTTTTGAGACTGTACGTGCCCCATTGCAGTGTTAGGATGTTCAGCTAGTCAGATTAAGAATGACAAAACTCAGCACAACTACTAAAGAAGTCAGCTGGTAGTCTTTTTCCAACCACTTACTTCGGCTATGCTGCTAAATGAATCAATATGATGAAGGCAGAAAGATGAGAACTTTGCTGAAATCAACTTTCCATTTCCTTGCCTAGATCTGAAGATAATTGTTTGCAAATTAGATGGGTGACTTTGACAAGGAGCGTAAATGATTCATCGCAGACGGATAAATATTTTGCACCTAGATTTGCAGGCTTGCAGTTTCAGAGGTCTGGTGATGAACTTTTCAAACACAGGGCAACCTGCCACTCACCCACCTGCTCTAGGCCTAGGAGCCCAGCATGTCACAGAGGATTCTGGGAGGTGTTGGCTCATCAGGCTGTTGGCACCATTGAGGTTCTGCAAGAACTGTCCACATGCACTAAAACATTACCAGTGTTCTGATGTGGCTGTGACTCACTAGATAATATCGACACCCGCAGTTGCACAATACTTTTACTAGGTAAAAGGTACCCCTGCCTGTACGGGCCAGTCTTGACAGACTCTAGGGTTGTGCACTCATCTCACTCTAGAGGCCGGGAGCCAGCGCTGTCCGCAGACACTTCCGGGTCACGTGGCCAGCGTGACGAAGCTGCTCCGGCGAACCGGCACCAGAGCAGCACACGGAACGCCGTTTACCTTCCCGCTATAAAGCGGTCCCTATTTATCTACTTGCACCCGGGGGTGCTTTCGAACTGCTAGGTTGGCAGGTGCTGGGACCGAGCAACGGGAGCGCACCCCACCGCGGGGATTCAAACCGCCGACCATGCGATCGGCAAGTCCTAGGCGCTGAGGTTTTACCCACAGCGCCACCCGCGTCCCCTACCTTTACTAGGAGGACCAACCAAAATGTCACAAAATAGTAGCAAGCTAGCTCTGGTTAACATCCAGCCTTTGTGTTTTCAAAAATAGGGAGTGACCACTATCCCAGAATACTAGCTGTGTAACCATATACTGGGAACACCTACTAGAGACTTAGTCAGTTTGAAATATCCATTTTGTAAGAGAACCTTGTCCTTATGGCTACAACATCCAGCCAATTTCTGTACTCCCACCCCTTCTTTATTTTTCCTCGTCACCCTGCCACTTGTTTTGTGTAATTTCTTGCAGAAAGAAGCCCCCTCTAAATCTTTCAGCAACTTTCCGTTTTGCTAACTATGTCTGGTTTAGTTATAGGGTAGTAGTTTAGACTTTCCGCAGGTGGATGATCACAATCATGGTGAATTCATTATCTGAAACACCACAAACTACTCACAACAAGTGGGTATCAGCAGGCTTAGGGGCACTAAAAATAAATATTCAGGGGTAAATCACTAAGGGGTGGAGTGGCAGGAGAGAATGCAAAAGAAGCCCAGTGAACACTGAGTGTGCTCAGCAAACACACATTGCTAGCTGACTGACACTTGTTGGAGGTGGAGGAAAATGGACTGTTCAGGAAGAGAGCATGGTTGCTTGGAATTCTGAACAGTGGTACTCTACACTGTTGCTGTTTCCCACTTGTCCTTCATTAGGAAGCTGAGCCACATTCTCAAACAGAAGTTTCTAATAACAAAGCCTTTTGCCAGCAGAACAAGTATACTGTTAGGAGACTTTAACTTGGCTCTACACTGAATGCTATCCAAAGAGTCTAGATAACTAGGGAGCCATGTAGATGGTCCTTTGGGCTCATGTAAGCCTTGGATTTATATTATTATTCAGTCAGTCAGTCAGTCAGTCAGTCTCCTGGCACATAGAACAACTGCATCACAGAATTGTTTCTTCCCTATTTATTTACACCCAGTGCTTTTTTTCTTTAAAAATGCATAAGTGTACTCTCATTTTGACTCAAGAAAATCACCATTTTATAGCTCAAATCAGGAAAAATAAATACAGTAAATGGACATTGGGGGTAGCAATAGAACTGACGATTCACTGTGCTAGAGAAGAAACTAATTTTTTAAATAATTTTTTTGTTTCTTCTCCCATTTGTTTCACAAAATGTTTAGGGGTATGCGTCCCCCTGTATCCCCCCAGAAAAAGCACTGTTTACACCTATTTAAAATGGTTCTTAAATGCTACCCTTTTGACATAACTGTTGTGCCTCTTTTGTGAGGTCATCCACTGGTTGCCCAAACTTTAACAATGAAACACCAACACTCTTAATAAACCTTTTGTTCCCACATGTACTTCAAGTTTACACCCTCCAGATTGCTTTCTTCCAACTGAGAATGCAGAGTTTTCCCCAAAGTTTTTCACAGTGACTCCAGCTGTGAAAGTTCATGGGAGATTTGCTCTCGTTTTGGCTCCTTTTCAGAAGCTGCTATGTAGCTCACTCCTTCACATGTTTATTCAAAAGCAATTACCACTAAAGTTAATAAGACTTGCTCCAACTAAATAAGTCTGCATAGGGCATGGATTTGAGAAAAATAACAATGGGCTTATTATTTGGAATTAGGAGATCAAACTATAAATCGGTAATAGAAGATTTATTTTCAAAACCCTAAAACGGGTGTTTCCAATCTTTTGGATTTGTCTTCGCAAGCATTGCCATTTCCATTTTTAGAAGGCTAGGAAGTCATGGGAAAAATCCTCCCCCTTCCAGCAATGGAATGAATCAATATATCAGATTTCAGAAGGATGCCCTCCAGTTTGTGCACAGCAGTTTAAAGTTACAGCTGTCTTTTCATGGCTGACTTTTTAAACAGTTGTTTTGTATAGTCCACAATACAATCCTGTACATGTCTATTCAGAAGGCATGCCCATTAAGTTCAATCGGGATTACTCCCAGATGAGGATTGTGGCCTAACTCACAGAAATACCAAAGGTGTCGTGGGCTTTGAAGATGCTCAAACTCAGGACAAAAGGGAGAAACATGCTAATAGGAAGGCATGCTTGGCAAACCCTCACGGTGATCAACTCCTCCCCAGAAACCTATGTCCCCACTGTGGAAGGATGTGTGGATCCAGAATTGGCCTCCACCGCCACTTACACTGTCACTGCTAAAACCATGTTTTGGAAAACAATCTTACTCAGCTACAAGTGATCACCAAAGAAGAAGAAGTAGTATGTATTTGTGTGTGCTTGGCCTGTGTGGCTGTATGAAGAATAAAACTGTGAGAATCTATTAGGCATTGTTAAATTTATTAACAACACTTTCAAGTTCAATATAAAGCAAGCTCTCATGGGCTTTTCTGAAAAAAAAATTCTTGGATTTCTAGGTTCATTATTGCTTTGAAATGTGGAAAATATTTGATAAGCGTCAAAGGAAACGCTGATGAGTAATTGTGTGGGGCTGGGCATTAAAAGTGCAGGTCCTTCTAAAGTTAAAATCTCTGGGGATTTTAGCTTTGTATTTTTTTTTTATCTGCTTGGTTGAACTTTTTTTGGTCATCTGTCATGGAAATATTGAGAGCTTTTTGGATTATGTTGGCACTGAATGTGGGAAATGTAGATTCAGCAAGTCCATTGAACAAACAAACAGACCCTTATTGCCTCAAATCTAATTGTGAACACATAATAACTAGTTTAGAAGAGGGAAACATTTTGTCCAGCTCCAGCATGGGACTGGGGAACCTTTGGCCCTCCAGATGTTGCTAGACAACAGCTCCCACCTTTCCTGACCAATGACCCTTCCTGGTTGGAGTTGGTGGGACTTGGAGACTACCAACATCTGAAGGGCCACAGGTTCTCCAGCTATGCTCTAGCAGCATCATGCCCATCCTTCTTGGGTGGGTTTGGCCCCTTACCTAATAGTGCTCCTGAGCATATACCTTTATCAGAGGACACTTGCAGCTGAGGCAAAACTTTCCCACTTCCATGACACTGGGTGCTCTCATCTCTGCTATTATGGATTTCCTTACTGGAAGGGTAGTAACAAAATCCAACCACCTTCTTTGGTTCCTCTGTTAGCAACCACATTTGATTACCAGGCAGGGCTGGATGTAGACCACAGATGGAGAACCTCAGGCCTCTTTAAATGGCCTTCTAGATTCTTCTCAAGGCATACACCATCCTGAGCCATATCCCTCCCCCTCCTTTGCACCCTCCTTCAGTGTTTTCAGCTGGCTGGAATATGTCTGTGAATTTGGGTAATGCTCCCTCCTTGTCTGGATGGAAGACAAAGAAGGGTTTGTGAGTGAGTAGAAACTTGGCCACTGAACGAGGGTGAAATTCATATTTGTTTATCAGCCCTTTTGCCTCTGGCCTCACCTGCCATTGGATGCGGCCCCTGGAACATTGGCTAGAGGAAATGAGGAACATTGGCTGAAAAGGTTCCCACCCTGATGCACTTCACGCAAACTTCCACAAATGCCATGTTATCAAGCCAACAACCACATCTACCGCCAACTCTCACTTCTCCTGTCCAACCAAGGACCTCTGCATTGGTCTGGGGTGGGATTAAAATGGAGAAATAGCAGTGAAGACAGTGAGTAGTGCTTCAGTTCTCCAGCAGGGAATGCCCTCTCATCTGGAGCCATAAGTACAGAGACAGAGTCTCCCTTCAAATGCTGTAGGGTAATGGGTCAGTGTGTCTGGCTGTTAACCAGAAGGTTGGTGGTTCGAAACCACCCAGGGATGGCTGTGGGCAAGATTCCTGCATTGCAGGGGGTTGCACTAAATGACTCCCAGGGTCCCTTCCAATTTTATGATTTTGTAAGGCGGCACACGAGTGTGGTGGCATGGACCCTGCGCAGAATGGTACTGAAGGCGGTGAAAGACCCATGTGGTCCCACCTCAGGCATTGCTTCAGAGTATGGAGGGGGGCATCTGAACCTCCATCTAACATACCTTGCAAGGTTATTACTGTACAGGCCCGAATATAAGCCACACCTTTAAAATTGGGGGGGGGGGGAGAGAAAAAGAAAAAATACCAGAATATAAGCCACTTTGTTCCTCTCTGCTCCTGGCTGCATACTGGCAGGGGGGCGGGAGCCACACTGCGTTGCCGGCGGCCTTTCCCCTTCCTCGCTCTCTCCCTTCATGGCCTTGGGGGAGAGGATGGGGGACTACGCACGGGGCGGGCGCCGCTTTGCCACGCTCCTGGCGCTGTTTGCCCAGCGCTCCTGGCTGCATACCATAAGGTTGAGAATATAAGCTGCACTTTAACTTTTCATGGTAGGAATTTTGGGGGGAAAGTGAGGCTTATATTCAGGCTAATATGGTATGTGGCTAAGAGGAAGGGAGGACCATGTAGGTCACATTGAAGTCCTTGGAAGTTATTAAGCGTAATACAAAGAAATATTAATGCAATAAAAATAAAGTGGCAATGTGTGCAGGATTCTGCGTTCTGGTGCTCTTAATATGTGCTTCAGAAAGCAGATCTAGTAATTACAGTGGTACCTTGGGTTAAGTACTTAATTCGTTCCGGAGGTCTGTTCTTAACCTGAAACTATTCTTAACCTGAAGCACCACTTTAGCTAATGGAGCCTCCTGCTGCTGCTGCGCCGCCAGAGCACGATTTCTCTTCTCATCCTGAAGCAAAGTTTTAACCTGAAGCACTATTTCTGGGTTAGCAGAGTCTGTAACCTGAAGCGTATGTAACCAGAATCATATGTAACCCGAGGTACCACTGTATGGGCAATTGGTGGCATCTCAAAAGCTGAGAGCAGGGTAGTCAATTAGCTGAAATGGAGCAACAACTGACATGCTAAACACAGCAACACACACAGAGGAACAGGGTGGTTGGTGAATTGAACAGTGTCTTTTTTTGGTGTGTGTGTGTTTTTTAAAAGAAGTTTGTCATAGATTTCTTCTAACCAGATCAGTGCTTCTGCCTAATCTACAGCCATCTAGTGGTCCCCAGTATTAACAACACCTCCAAGAAGCAAACGATTCGGCACAGTGAAAAACTTGAAATTTGTAGATGACCCCAAACTGGGAGGGGTAGCTCATGCTGCAGAAAACAGAATCGGGATTCAAGATGACCTGAATGGATTGGAGAACTGGGCCAAAGCTAACAAAATGAATTTCAGTAGGGACAATTCAATTGACATCACTTGTAGGGTTAAAAGAAGTTTTGTAAGGAGTAATTTATAAATTATTGTGAAGAGAATTAAGAACAGATGTACTGGAAATTTGAGTTTATAGCAATAACCATAGTAACAAAATGCATAATTAGAAAGACTTTAGAAAACCATCAGTCGAGGCTGAAGGAAGACTCAGGCTGTGATAGCCAAAAGTTTTGAAATGATGTTTAAAAGGATTTTATGCTGGAAAATATGTGTAAAAACTAATAAAAAATTAATAAAATAAAATAAAATGAATTTCAGTGGGGACAAAAGTAAGTCTTATGCACACACCGCCCAGGAATGGAACCCCTGCACAAAATGTTTGCCACCTGTATGTACGTTACATAAATTATGCAGTGTGGTGTAGCGGTTAAGAGCGGTAGTCTCATAATCTGGGGAACTGGGTTCGTGTCTCCGCTCCTCCACATGCAGCTGCTGGGTGACCTTGGGCCAGTCACACTTCTCTGAAGTCTCTCAGCCCCACTCACCTCACAGAGTGTTTGTTGTGGGGGAGGAAGGGAAAGGAGAATGTTAGCCACTTTGAGACTCCTTCGGGTAGTGATAAAGCGGGATATCAAATCCAAACTCTTCTTCTTCTTCTTCTTCACCACCACAGATAGCAAGACCAATAATGTAGGGTTGAGTTTGTTGGGTTTTTTTGCAGAATACGAACTGCAGTGGTACGAAAGGAGCTCTGCCTGCAGCAAATGCACAGAATGGAAAACGATGCCTCCTTGCATCCCTAATTGGCAGCCACTCCTGGTGTTCGCTACCCCCCCCCATGCTCTATTGGAAAGTATTATGTCACAACATAATATAATTCCAGGGTGCATTGTGGGGTGGGGAGAAGCTGATGGTGCGGACTCTGCTGTCACAAACACTATATTTTTGTGCTAGCAAACCAATGTTTTAAATGAAATGGGGGGAGCTGCTTCTGGTAGCCTGCCACAGTCCCACCCCAAAAAATAACTTTTGGGGCAGTCTCCCACCCCACCCAAAAAAAGCCTGTTCATTAAAGAACCTAATTTAATCACCTTATGTTGCAGTGGAAAACTGTATTTATCTGGGGATTCCCCACCTAACAAATGATGAGTGCATTACTAATACTTCAGGCTGGTCCTAAAGGCAAAACAGTGGAATTTTCGGAAACTGGCAGGATTTTTCCTTAACTATTCCATGGCTGCTGCTGCTAAGTAATGCTACTAGCAGTGTACAAGAAGGAAAGGAGACAACAGCCACACATGAAAACCTTCACCACCATCAGCAAGATAAAAATTCTCTGCTTCAAAAGCACCACCAAAACACCAGTAATATGTTCCTTGGGGGTGAAATCGTCTATAACAATCAGCCTGCTTACTCACAGGTGGTTTGCAAAGATTCATTCAAGCCACCTTTTGGTTTCAGAAGATACCACAGTTTGTGTGACCTTTATTTTTTTTTTAACTCAGGAAGATTCTGAAAGTTAATCTCTGTAAGGAAAGATTGATTAGGTCACCTTAGCAAAGTGTGTGCATCTATCTATCATCTTTCTATCTATAAATGTTAAAGCAGGCATGTCCAAAGTCTGTTTTGGGGGCCTAATCCGGCACGCTGGTTGATTTAATCCAGCCCCTGGGGTAAAATCCTAAAGAAACCTCAACAAATTCAATCCTTAAAAAAAAGCTTAACAACTTTGGTCGGCCCTTTGGTCGGCCCTCACGGCCCTTCACCACATCAAATCTGGCCCTGTTTGGAAAAAGTTTGGACACCACTGTGTTAAAGGGATTTGTTTCTTTCAGGACTGCAATCATTGTTTAATTTGCCAGATTCAGGGGAATTTTTTAAATGAAATATGCAGGTGCCTCTGATTAACTGAATAGCAGATATGTACATTTTTAAAATACAAGTGCCTATAAAAAGGACAGATTGGAAGCTCACTCATTAAAAGAGGCACTCACCCTTTCTTGACACAGACAAGGAATTCCTCTTTTTCTAAAATGATTTGGCCTGCAACACCACATGCATGCATCAACATTTCAAAACAAAGAATCCTTTTCGATGCTCCAGAAATATTGTCTTGACCCACATAACTGATGGCCGCAAATTTAATTAATAGACTACAACTCCATGCACACATGCAAATTTAGATGAACTGAGTAAAATTCCATGCATTTAATACCTACATCTTCATCCCACTCTTTAATCCTAAATGGTAACGAATCATCAATATTTTTTTTGGGGGGGTAGCAATTAAAAATAAGCAATTCATGTTCACATACATAAATATGTATCTTGTTTTTTTCAATTTCAAGAAGTAGCAATTCATCAATAAATTAAAAGTAAAACAAAATACGAAACTAGAATAAAAAATACAATGGAAACAGAAAATGTAGATGTTCTAAACCAAAGCCAGGCAAGATTCCAAGCTCCTTAAAAAGCGTCTAAAATCATTATTACAACACTTGGGCTTGTGGGGGTGGGTGGGGCTTATGCCTCACCTGTGGCACATAAATCATGAATTGAAATAATACACCTACAGTTAAGTTTGTGAAGAAAGAACAAGAGAGGTGTGGTGTCTACAGGGGAGTTCATTCAAACACCCTCATGTGTTGCAAAAATTCATGGGTGGGTTGCACTGCAAGCCCTTCCCCAATTACTAACATGCATTGTCCACATCCCACATAGACTGTGCATTTAGGAAGGCTACTTAGCCTTTCTGAAGGCTACTTACTGACATGCCAATGTTCTGTGTACAGCTCCTTCATGTACAGGGGATGCTGGGCCAATCAGAATCCACCCTTGCATGGAGGACTTCTAAGAGTCTACATCTGTACATGGCTTTGTGTCAACACCAGAGAGCAAGGCTACACAGCTAGGAAACCATGAGCTCAGTGGGTGACCTGGGGTCAGTCATTATCCCTCAACTGAACCTACCTCCTGATCTCCTTGGAGAAAGATACAGAAATGCAATTAGTCAGTAAATGGGTAAATAAATAAATATTTAGCTCAATCCTATGCACTTAACATTTGGAAGCAACAGTTTATGACCTACTGGCAGCCAGGAAGCGTCATTTAAAAAGTTGGACCGGAATCACCAAATCTAACCAACTGTTGTTTTCTTAAGCATAGATATGGAGCTCCCTGTTTCCGGCGGTGGGAAATGGCTGACTCCCACAAGACCGGACCCCCAGGGTATGGGAGGACTGTCTCGAAGACCGGCAGATTGTCCGAGATTGCCGGCATGCATTAAAGTGCAGCCAGCAGCACACTGGGTCAAAAAGAGCACAGTTCTCGGCTGGCACTCTAAGATGCCACTCCTGTAGCCGGGAATATCTGTTTGGGAAAATAAATAGATTTGAAAAACAAACAGACATGGTCTGGATCGAAGAAGCTGGAAAAAAAACCTGCAGAATTGTACAGTCTCTGATGTATGAGCTCGGACTTCAAGGAGATTCTCATCATGGTGTGTGGATTGCGGAGGTGTTTGGTATGTTTTCTCCCCTCCTTCCTTAATATCTACAATTGGTTTCTCATGCCAAGCCTCATTAAGAACTTAAATTGCTTTTTTAAAAAAAATAAAATGAGTACAGTTGGATATATATATATATTTTTAATCAAATGCAAAACTTCAGTCAGTCATTAGTCTTAATCTACCCCAGACCTTCAATTTTGGATTCGTAAAACACGATAACCATCACTGTGTTTTTTTTAAAGGGGACTCACTGATATTTTGTCATTCTATCTGATGTTTACCTGTCAACTCATCCATTGCCCTGAAGTCCGGTTCACATGCACCTCTTAGCACCTATGCCTTTGAGGTGACTCCAAGTTCCAATGCTGGCAGCCAGTGACTAACTGGTGGGGCATGGCTGACCTTTTAGATGTCACTGAATATGAATGGCACACACACACACACACACACACACACACACACACACTTCCCCCAGGAGGAAGCCACCATCACAATCATACATTGCCTTATCATTTTTCATTTTTTCCACCCAAAATTATATCTGATCTGAGCTGCATGCACTTTCACATCCTTTCATCAACGTCATGAACCCACTCTTATCTGTACACAGCACTCTTTCCTCTGCAGTCAGTGTGCTTGGTGGCGAGATGCTAAAGCGCTTCCTGTTTTTCTCACATATTGTGTCTTTCATATCAAAAGGGGAGCAACGTGTTCATTAAGCCAATACTTTAGATCTTTGGGTTCTTCTACTTCCTGAGAGATACTGTGGACACTTTTAGCTGAAAGTGTTCTGAAATGATTTCTTGAGTTTTCCTTTTTCATCCCTCTATTGACAGTATGTCAAAGCAGAGTTTCAGGTACTGGCATCCTTCTGCTTCAGTAATCTGCCAGAGATTAGGCAGGTGGCAATTGGGTACTGGACCTTTTCAAGGGCAATGTCCTTCCAGAGTCACCTATACTGCCCCCCTTTGTGCTCTAGCTAAGCACCCTTCTATTTTCCCCTGCTTGACTTTTGCTGCTGGCTTTATGATCCCACTTCTTGACTTTATCTCATTCAGCTTTCTTATTATTGATGGTTGCTTCCTTGGGCTTTATAGAGATAGGTTGTGTTGGACATTGGCTGGCTGAATGAAGAAGCACAGAGGGCTCCTCTTGGAAAGTGAAGCCTACTGCAATTCCCTTTTCTACACAAACAGTTAAAGGTGCAGGAGCCCTGCCATCTCCTTCATATGGCCACCCTACATGGATATTGGATCAAACAGGCAGGAGATGCCATTATTAAATAAACAAAGAGAAGATAAGAAGGTTCCTGCTGGTTCAGATCAAAGGCCAAGTCTAGAATCCTAGTTTGCCACAGTGGCCAATAAGATGTCTCTGGAGATGTCTACAAGCTTGATATATGAGTGCTATCCTGCGTGAAAGGAACACATATAGCCACTGTGAACATTTGATAGCCCTAACCTCCATGAATTTGCTCACCCCACCACCTTTTAAGCCAGTTTGTGGACTATGCTGGCAGCCATTTCAGCATCTGCAGTGACAGTGAGCAGCAATCATTTATCTATCAACCATAATTTATTGTACACATCTAGTTCTTTTCCAGTTCATTCCTAGTGGAGATAATTAATATAATCTAAACAGTAATTGGTTCATTTAGCCTCAAAATTCTTTTGCTTTATATTCTGACTTGGGATATCACTAGTTGAGGATGAGATCAATGAAATACATGATTAAAGTTCTGCTAATTTGGCTTTCAGTCAGTAGAAAATGTATACATTCATTCTACTCACTGAGCACACTTCCCGATGACCAGATTATTGGGCATTCGTCCCAACTTGTTGGCAGGGAGATTAGACGACACTGGCTATTGAATGAGCATTTATTCTCATTTGCAAGGAAGTTTGATGATGTTGTGGACACTTTCCAATGAATTTCCCTGTCACTTCCCTTATTGTAAAAAGTCCAGTCTTTGGGGGAAGGGAGTTTGTTATGCAGAAGCTCCAAATCATTTTAACTGCGTGACCTGAATTTGTTGGCATGTGGTTGAATCCCACCCGAAAATAGCAACTATTTTGAAGTGCTCTGAGAGGGCATGTCCACACTTCTGCCTGCCCCATGCCTAGAAAGCTTCTCCTGGCATGAGTTCAAGCAGTTTTGTCTTTGTTCTGCCACTTTCCCCTGGAAAAACTGCTCTTTAGCCCTAATTCAGAACAAACATCAATCCAGAGAAAACCTTATTGCTTCGATTCAGTGGTAAAGATTGGGTTTTAGTGGCGGAAAGCAGCGGGGGAAATGCAAGTCTGGATGGGCCCCTTATCTCCTGCAGTCTTTTAGTAAACTGGAAGTGCAAACAAAAGTTGACAGTTTCTCAGAATATTTTTTCTTTCCTTTTGTTGTAGTATTCCTAAGCTTTCACCATCCAATTCTATGGAAAGCTAGGTAGTGATGGGGATTTGCTTGCAGGATTTGTCTCTCTTTGCTGAAGGGATTTAGTAATAAACAGCTAGGCTGCTTATGCAACCAACTGTAATGTGGTTTGATTAAATCAAGGTTTCTGGAAACTAGGACTTGCAGAGCAGCTTATGAAAACAGAATAGATAACATCAGCATGAGAGTCATTTTAACAACCCCAAAATAATACATAGCATCAATGAATGAACACATGCTCCTAGTGGAAATAGATGGTGCGATACCCATGCACTAAGCAATTATCAGAGTGAAGCTGGTGAGAAAGCTTGCAGAGTCACAGTGGAAGAAGCTATATGATGCTAAACAATGAGTGGTTGTCCACGTTTAGTGATTCAGCCCAATGGCAGCATATTCTGTAAACTCTGTCTCAGCAGAATGCTCATGTCTCTGAACAGGTTCCCCATAGCTCAGTGTTGCATAAATAAGGGCTTCCTTCTTTTGAGGTAAGAGTTGCTGGGTATTGGAGACACATTCATCACATGTAGGCTTGGGTGGTGCCCTGGTGGCATTCCAGCAATTGCATTGATTGCCGTAGATGGGACCATCATCTGGAAATTGCAGCACATAAGGCTCAGCAGCTTGATGAAGTGCAGGTATCGTATGGGAGGCATTGCTGCACTGGGCATCTGCATTGCTATTAAGCTGTGGGGGAAACAAGAGTGGAATAGATTCATGAAAGAGTGCAGTATCTTAATCACATATCTAGCTAGGAACAAAGATGACAACCATGTCAGACGTGGACAGCTCAAACCTCAGGGAAGATGTCGTTTTTCAAGCCTTCATTAAAATCACAGGTTTCCTCCATCCCTGACCCTCTAGACCTTGTTGGGCTGCAACTCCCATCATTCCTGAGCATTGGCCATGTTTGCTGGGGCTGATGGGAGTTGGAGTCCAACAACATTAGCTGTGCAGCAGGTTGGAGAAGCCTTTTTAAAATTTTAATACCCAGGATAACATCCAAGGCACCTGGATTAAAAGAAGTGCAGTTGACACTCATCAGATTATGTATTGTTTTGATGTGAAGTTAGACACAAATGAGACATGGCACTATTCATGTCTTCAGTACTTGTGAAAAAAATCAAATGGTTGATTTTTTTAAAAAAAATAGTGTGGTAGTGATCAGGGTGAACTAGATTGGGATTGCATGTGAAAGACGAGTGTCAGTCCTTTGTACCAATGCAATAGCAGGAAAACTCCAATTGGGAGTCTGTGCTCCCAAAAGAAAGATCAGCCATGCAAAGGCTAAAGTCATGAATAATGACATGATGCCTCATTTGGACCTCTTCTAAGTCTAGAAAAAGCTGAAATTTGAAGCAAAAAACCCAGCTTTGCACAAAACTAAGAACATTTGCCCATATTTCTCCCTCCCTTCTTCCCTCTGTTGTTTCACACTATCTGGTTAAGGTTATTAGCAACTTGGGAGGCAGAATTTGTCCATGTAGTTCAGTAAGGTGCAATGTCACTGATGGCTAGCATTTAAAACACAACTAAACACCACTTCAGTTGAAGGCTGAGCTTTCTTCCTGTGTTCATGAATGAAAATTGCTTCCTTTAAGTGGCAAAGTCCATGAGGTGAAGGTTTTTATATGTATTTTGAAGGGGTTGGAACATAACACGTTAGCCCTCTCCAGGCATTCGAGCTGTAGCTCCATGGTAGAACATCTGCTTTGCCCATAGAAGATTCCAGCTTCAATCCTTCGCATCTCCAGGTAGGACTGGGGAAGAATCCTGCCCCAAATCCTGGAGAGCTGTTGCCACTCAGTGCAGTCAATACTGAACTCAATGGACCAATGGTTTGACTCACGGGGATTGTAGGGATGAGCACCCTAGCTTCGCCCCTTGTCATTATTCTCACCTCGTGGTGTTGTCCATGTGAATCAGGGAGCCTCCTGTACTTGTGGGGCTCTCCGTGCATTTTAGAACCAAGATTTTCCATGGGTCTAGGAGGCTTGACACAGTCACCCTGCAACTCATGGAGGGAGGTGGGTGATGATTAGGGAGGTAGGGGGAAGCTAGCACACACTTCTCCATGGCCTCAGCTCATGTGATTACTGTACACAGGGACAGAATGCCTGAAAGGGGCTTATGGGCATTTACCAAGTACTTAGAAATTCAATACCAGGCTCATCAGTGAAGAAACCTACCACATTCATTTCACTTTGCGAGATTGATGGGCCCTTATTGCTGTTCACTAGAAAGGAAAAGAAAAACACCAGCTATTGATGGAACAACATTTGGATAGTTCATCACATTCATTGTACAAAAACAAGAACGCAGCTTGTGAAAATGCCCTGTCTCATAAAAAGGGGATCAAGGAAATCCTTACCAAATTTTATGGATAGGCCAAAACTGCTATGCTGTTATAATGAAAGTCAGGCAATAAATATTTAAAGCAAGTAGCTTTTATCCAAGACTACGAGTTTTGGAAGATAGTCATGGAAGCGGTCCCAAAACACTTTTTTTTAATCCTGAGGTAGAACAGAAATGGGGGTGGTGCCACTCCCCCCCCCCCCAGGTCAAGGGACATAGTGGTTCCCAAGATTGGTCAACTTATTTTGACCCATAAGGGAGAAACCCCTCACAAACACCTCGCCCCAAGAATAAAATATAATCATAATAAATTTAGAAGTAGCCATTTGCTGCAGTTCTGTAACACTCAAACTCAGCTGCCTCACTCTGCCTGTGTTCAGCCCTGGTAATATGAGAAATGAAAAGATATTTGAGTAGCAGAAGTGAGACAGCTGAATATCTCTGCCCAGGGAAAAGAGGGGAAAACTAGAGAGATCTTGAGAGAATTCACCTTGATGCTTCCTTATGCAGCACAGCAGGCCCAAGCAGCTCAAAATGAAGAGGCACAGCGGTCCCAGGAATGACAGGAAATAAATAATCAGCTTCATGTCCTTTCCAGCTGCTTCATTATCTTCTGCAGTAGCATTTTCAGATTCTGTTATTTTATTGTGATCTGTTATTATTATTATTATTATTATTATTATTGTTGTTGTTGTTGTTGCTATAATTACTATTTACATTTGCTATTGTCCTAATGCCAAAGCAACATAATGTTATATTTCAATATAGCAATGCAATTATTAATCATTAAGCAAATACAAAGAGCTGAGCAGTTAAAATCTCCCGTCAACCTCCTACCAAAGCAGAATTCACCATCAGTTAGCTTAACAGGGGTGAAATACAGTGGCGTAGCGTGGGGGGTGTAGGGGGGCCCGGCCGCACCGGGCACAACATCTGGGGGGGGCGCGCTCGCACTCGCAGCTCTCTGCCCCTACCTGGCTCACTCACTCTCTCTCACTGCAGTGCTGGCTGTGCGAATCCGATCCGAGCCACTGGGTCGCCGCCCACTGTGGAGGGGGTGGGTGCCAGGTGTGCAGTGCGGAGAGAGAGCGAGGGACTATCGGGGGGAGGGACAGTGCAGCGGCCGCCCAGCGCAGCGCTGAGCGCGGGAGAGAACCACACCAGACCAGCCCAGGCAGCAGCAAGAAGAAGCTGGCAGCGGCGGCAGGTTAGGGGTTGGGGGCGCAAATTACTTGCCTTGCCCCGGGTTAGGGGGCGCAAATTACTTGCCTTGCCCCGGGTTAGGGGGCGCAAATTACTTGCCTTGCCCCGGGTGCTGACAACCCACGCTACGCCGCTGGTGAAATAACCAATATGGTAAGAGAAGTTAAACACTGTTTAAAAGTAAGCATTCTCAGAAAGAGAAAGAGCATTCAAGAGTCAATAAAAATAAAAATAGCATGCTTCCTAACAGAAGTAATCTGCTTGATCCAGAATGGTTTCACAAGGGTCACTGACAATACATTATGATCTCTAAATGTTCTTAATGCAACCTAGAAAGCCAGAGAGGCTATAATGAGGGTCAAACTACAGGGTAGGCAGGAGGATCCAGAATTCCCAGTGTATTTGTAGAGGAGGGCAGAAGATGCTGAAATGAGGCAAATAAGGGCAAATGAGGCACTGCCCCAATAATCTGAGTTTGCTCTCCTCCAGTTCATGCCTGCCTGCCTTCTTACTAACAGTCACTCCAGGGTGGCACAACCTGTCATCTTCCTCCTCAGTCTCAGTGTTGCTATTGTTGAACTCAGCAAGGAGGAGGATCCTTGCTTCCCCCCCTACTGTTTTCATTACCAAAATAGCTCCTTCAACCTGCTATTAGAGCCCTAGTGCCCTGAGCCCCAGTTGAAAGGATGGGTGTGTCATGGAACTGCATGCTGGGCAGCCACCGACACACCATCTCTGTGTTTGGAGCATGTCCATGAGGAGGGTAGCCATGACCTAGTCAGGGTTTTCTCTTACTCAGAGACACACTTCAAAAGGATGGATGACAGGAAGAAGAAGAAGAGTTCAGATTTGATATCCTGCTTTATTGGCTAACAATCTCCTTTCCCTTCCTCCCCCAAAACAAACACTCTGTGAGGTGAGTGAGGCTGAGAGACTTCAGAGAAGTGTGACTAGCCCAAGGTCACCCAGCAGCTGCATGTGGAGGAGCGGAGACGCGAACCCGGTTCACCAGATTACGAGTCCACTGCTCTTAACCACTATACCACACTGGCTCATTTCCACTGGGCACAACAGCAGCAGGGGGTGGGCTAGCCCACTCAGCCCCCATTCACTTTCAATACTTGGGAGGAGGATCATTTGACACCCCCCCACAACCGTCCAAGTGTTCTATGATTGGGTGCATGGAGGGAAGCAGTTTTATAGAGTACAAGTAGAGACTTGAAACTCAGCCTCAAGGTAAACCTGATATTAAACTTATCTGTGAATCCTTTGCTTGAGATTCTTTTTTTTCTTTCTTTCACAAAACAAACTAATAGCAGTCATGAGGGTGGGGTGAGGGAGCAGGTGTTAATTCTGGCTGGAAAAGTGGCAGGGTAGGAGAGTATTGACGTCTCCTCATGTGCCACACAATGGCATTACCTGTGCCATCCTTCCATTGCCTCCATGAAATTGCTCTTTGCATCACATAGCAACACTGGGGTGAATTAACAGTTTGTAAGAGAGATAATTTTCAGTAGGAAAACATCACGGGGGAGAAGTTGGATAAACTTCCCCTTTCTTCAGTTTTGATGCAGATGTTGTTGGGATGGGGCTTATGACTATGTTTAGGTTTGTGTGTGTTTTTTTAAAGAGAGAAGTACAGTATCCCAACTATGTGCGTCAAAAGTCACATTTAGCTCAACCCTTAGAGAACTGAAACTAAGGTAGGTCAATCTGAGATCAGCTATAGCAGGGGTCAGCAAACTTTTTCAGCAGGAAGCCGGTCCACTGTCCCTCAGACCTTGTGCGGGGGCCGGACTATATTTTGAAGGGGACAAAACCCGAATTCCTATGCCCCACAAATAACCCAGAGATGCATTTTAAATAAAAGGACACGTTCTACTCATGTAAAAACACACTGATTCCTGGACCAGATTTAGAAGGAGATTGGGATGGATCTGGCCCCCCAGGCCTTAGTTTGCCTACTCATGTGCTAAAGTAAGAGTTGCACAGCCTTAGGTGTGCTTGTTTTGTATTTCAGCCTCCTGTGGGATTTTTATTTTGTAAGGGTTTCAGCATTTCCATTTTATACAGGCCATTTCTTAAGTTCAATGGAAGTTCTGGGCAGTGTGACCCTCTTGTTGAATTTACATACACAGAAAGTCCAAATACCAATTTGAGTCATTTAGATGTTACAACATGGGCTGTTTGGCACTCTGTACAGGTTTCATTTCTTTGCACTACTAGACAGCCTATTTTTTGTCAGATGACTGATAAGGCTACCGCTCTACACATTGTTTGCAAATAAGGGAGCCGTGATGTCTTTGATGTGTGATGAACATTTTGTAACTGCAACACTTGGGTTTAACTGTTTTCTGCAATGAACCCCATCAAGATTTGGAAAACTGAAATACCGCAAAGCAAGGAACAAATGAACAACTCTTAGCCAACGTTCACACCATATATTTAAATCACTATGATACCACTTTAAACAAACAGGACTTCCCCTAAAAAAGAATTCTGGGAGATATACCCAGTGCTTTTTTTCTGGGGGGGGGACGCATACCCCTAAACATTTTGTGAATCTACCCCTAAACATTTTTTAAGAAAAAAGCACTAGATATACCTTTCTCCATGCATAGCCTTCAAGACATAATGCAAGCAAAGCATTTATGTATACTACTATTATTTATTAAATTTGTATACTTCCCATCATCTGAAGATCACAGGGTGGTTCACAACATAAAAAGAAAAACACAAAATACATACTAAAACAAAAGCAAAGCAATAACCCTCCCCTCTCCCAAACACGTTTTAAAGGACATAGAATGTTAGTCAGCCAAAGGCTTGCTTTATAGAGAAACGTTTTTGCCTGGCCCCTAAAGATATGTAATGAAGGCGCCAGGTGAGCCTTCTTGGGGAGAGCATTCCACAAACGAGGAGCCACCACAGAAAAGGCACGTTCTTGTCTTGCCACCCTCTGGACCTCTCACATAGGAGGTACATGAAGAAGGGCCTCAGATGATGATCACAGGGTCTGAATCGCTTCATATGGGGAGAGGCGGTCCTTGAGGTGATGATAACTAAGTCCCGGGGCAGGTTGCAACAATTTAAAACACATCATTAGAAACAGTTTAATGCACATGACAAACTTAGGTCTATTCATTTCAGTGGGTTTACTCCGTGTATAACTCAGTTGGAAACAAGTCCCTTTTCTAATAGCAGTCACACACTTCAGTACAGATTATGCTGCCTCCCCGGGCTCACAGTGTCATCCAAAGAGTTCAGCTTGTCGTCCATTCCAGCTCTACAGTTCTATGATTCTATGATCAAGACAGCAGTGCTGGATTATGGGTGTTTGCGCAGAAGGGGGCACATGCCCTTGTGGCAGTTTTGGAGTGGTGGCAAATTACAGGCTTTCTCGTGAGCATGTCTCCGTGTATGTGCCCCTATACAACTTTGCCTTGCTCCAAAGGGGAAGAGAAATTCAAAGTATCAGTGTGGGGTGGCCTTTCTAAGTCTCCCATGCCACTCCATTCAGGCTCCACAATCAGAGCTTGAAAAGATGGATTCACGGAGGCTCAGGAAACCTGCTCCATGTTGAAAGGATCCATTTTCAAGTACCCCCCCCAAAAAAAAAACCTTTGAAGCTCAGCTGGATTTCCAAGCCTCCCTTATGCCTTGGAGAGCTCACCTGCTGCTGATCCTTTCAATCTCCAATTTCAAATCACTCTCTTCATCCTTCTCAACTGCTGCCACTGGGCTAAACATGCTGAGATGGAGAAGCGGGGCAGCAGTGCAGACCATTGTTGCCTGTTGCAAAATTTGTAGATCCAGCATTGTAAGAGAGGCAGAACGTGCAACATGGCTGGGACTTTAATGGGCCTTTTGACAGTTGGCTTTCTATACTGTACTAAAGAGCGTTGCACACAGATAAGAGGAAAGGGTTAGCCTGCAGCATGCCAGAGCTGCTTAGAGAAGAGGAAATAAAATCAATGTACAGTTGAAACCTTGATTGTGTTGATGTGCGTTTCTTGAGCAGAGCAAGAACATAAATAAATGACCGCAGGGCTATAAGCACCAGGCAACTGACCAGGAGGCTGACTGAATTGCCCATAGGCCTGTTGCTGCAAACAGTGAATTGGAAAAAGGCCCTCGTTCTCGGAATTGCTTATGATGCTTACCTTGTACAATGACTTGTATTTCATGACCTGGGAGTATGCTTTCCCCCATAGTAGCTTGACACTGATAGCGTCCACTGTCATTCTTAGAAATAGGCAAAAATTGCAAAACAAAATCATGGCCTTTCCAAAAAATATTGTGTCTTTGTCCTTGAGGCAGAATTTCACTGTTCCTGTACCAATTTATCGTAAGATTCTTTTGGCAATCCATCACTGGGCACTTTATACTGAATGAAACGCCAGCATTTATCGTGTAGTTGGTTCCCCTTCGGACAGAAATAGTGCAGTTGTCATTCCCTGGAAGAAAAAAGTGGGGTGGAAATTATGCCTGACACACCTCAGATATTTTTGCATTGTTAGCAATAATCATTTCATTGGCGTCTTGTTGGTTTTCCCATCCATGCAATACCTTTCTACAGGCAATGCTTTAGATGAGAAGAGCTGATTGGCAAGCTAATGTGATATAAAATATTGACATCAGTCATCTGTTATTGGTTTAATCACAGCCAAGATATTTATAAATTATTATTACTGTTATTAGTATATTTATTTCTATCCCTTTTCCCCAGACTGGAACTCATGGCGGCTTAGAAAGATAAAACAGAACAAGCTTAAAAACAAAGAAAAGATAATTATTTAAAATTTAATTAAACACTAACAGAATCAAAATGCTATAAAAAGATCCGTTAAAAACATAAACAGTAACTACACATCCCAACAACACCCCTTTCCTAAAAACACAGTCAGTTCCCAAAGGCCTGTTGGAACAAGTCTTCACCTGCCAGCAGAAGGACAGCTATGACACAGCCAATCTAACTTCTTTAAGGAGTGAGTTCCAAAGTCTGGGAGCAGACACCATGAAGGCCCTGTCCAAGTGGGTGGTGGGACCAAGAGAAAGACCTCCCACAAAGAGTTCGGAGCCTGGACAGGTTTGTATGAGGGAATGTGGTATTTCAGATAACCTGGACCTTGGCATCAGAAGTCTGTTATCAGAAGTCTGGATGGTCAAACAGTTACTTCTTGCTAAGCCCCATTATGCTGCCCAGACACTGAGGTCCAGCTCCGAGGGCCTTCTGGTGGTTCCCTGATTGCGAGAAGTGACGTTACAGGGAACCAGGCAGAGGGCCTTCTTGGTAGTGACGCCCGCCCTGTGGAAACGGTAGCCCTTCTTCAATGCCTACTGTGGTCAATGGGGCAGTAGGCATGGGGAGGGGATTTGATTCTGTTTGCATTTAAAGGTGAACCTACCTAATTTGCACAGCGTGCAAACTGAAACACAGCCAACATCCTAAATTCAGCTTTCTCCGAATTTTGCAGCACAGTTCTCCAGTCAAATAATGTGAGCAAAATTGCATATACAGAGCAAAGTATGCATAAGAATGTATACATCAGTGAAAATAACACTCGGAAACGTGTTCTATTCGGGGAAATTTACTTTGCAAAAATGTGTACATTAGGCACAGGCAAAAGTGGGCATATTATGAGAAATTTGCACTAAAATGCTGATGGATTTATATGGGGACTTAAAAAAACCCCCCATATCATGAACTAATGCAGTGAGCTAAATTTCAGATTGGAAAAATGAGGAAACTGATTCACCTACCCCCTTCTGACAAGTGACCACAAGGCAACTTCAGCTACAGAAGGTGGAAATGGAACTAGGTGTGTGGCTGAAATTTGAGAACAAGGACTTGTGTGGGGCTTATGTAAATCTGTGGTTTTAGGAGGGAAGACGAAGTAGCAGGCTGCAGCCAGTTTGCCACAAAAAGTGGTAGAAGAGAGTGCTGTTTGGCTGCCTGGGTCAAGTAGGCATAAATAGAATGACACGGTGCGGTTCAATAACTTGATCTGATTTACGAAGTTCAGGCATTTTAAAAGCCACAACAATATCCTCAAGTAAGTCTTGTTCCCCTCCCCATATCTGAATAGAAGAATCTACAATCAAGACCCAAGCACTCCTATGGTTTTCAGCAAATGGTGGAATTGCTGTCTCTGACCTTGAAGGCAGAGCATAGCCATCATGGCTGGTAGCCATCAACAGACTTAGCCTCCAAAACACAAAATTCATAGCAAGGTTGATTGCTGCCAGAAGGTGAGTGCCACTGGTTTCCTAAAATTCAGAGACTCTTCAACACCCAGTAGTCCAAATCCTTCAGATGTAGATTATATGGCATGAGACCACTTGCAAATTTGAAAGGCACACAGGCATGTGCACACACACACACACACAGAGAGAGAGAGAGAGAGAGAGAGAGAGAGAGAGAATGATGCAAAAATATTTCTTTTAAATCTTGGTAACTGAAGAACTAGGGCACACTTCTCTTTGGTACTTTGAGAAACACACATTTGCTAGTTTAAAGTGTAGTTTCATACTTGAATATGCACTGCTGAATACAAATGAAAGTGTTAATCAACCTGGCATTACTTTATATATTTGCTGTATTTGTGTCCTACCTTTCCTCCAACTTGCTCAAGGCAGCATGCATGATTTTCCCTGTCTCCATTTTTCCTTCGCAATAACACTTTCATGTAGGGTTAGGCTGAGAGATAGTGACTGGCTCACCCATGATCACTGACACCCAGCGGGCGACACCAGTGGGGGGGGGATTTGAACCCGGGTCTCCCTGATCCTAGTCCAACACTATACCCACCTACACCACAGAAAGCCTTTGGTGATAGAGAGCCATTTCACGTGTTCTAACATTTAATTATTCATTGAAGATAAAGTGCTCTATAAAATGTTTAAAATAAATAAGTAATGTTCCAGGAAAGACAAGCTCCCATTTGTCTGCTCACAGTGGTCATAAAAACATATGGAGGTAAGGTGAAGGTATCTACGAGATGTTTCCAAACATTTGTCTCTCCTCTGCATGGTACAATGGCTGCCACAGTCAAAGCATTTCCTGTAAAACATTAGCTATTTTGCTTCTTTACCTTGAGTTCCAGACCAATTAAAAGCAATAAAATATTGATGCATTTATCAGCCACTTTATCAGACAACTGCAGAGAGAGGATTTCAGAATATTATGCTCTGATTAGTAGTTAGAAGCTTTCTCTCTAACCTAAACTTATTCTTGAGTAGTTTTATAGTGTGGGTACCTGCAACCTTCCAGCATTGTTAGGCCTCCAATCTCCTCAACAATCAGCCATATTAATTTGCCCTTTGCACTGTATTGTCATATTGCCACTCATTCTCCTGTTTTTCAAACTGGAATGAACAGGATTAGTCATTTCAGCCTGTTTTCATTATATAATGTCTCCATCCTGCTAACACTCTGCTTGCTCTTCTCTGATACTGCACCCATTATCATATGGAAGACACCAATTCACATATGAAGGGTGGCTGTAATTATTCAGTGAAGAAGAGAAATTTCAGCCCCAATATAGATATATAGTGTTCGAATATAGATTAATAGTGGCTTCTCTGTTGGAGCTGAACCCTGGTGTGAAATATTCTAAGGCTGAGAATAAGGCCCATTATTGTACTATTTAGCCCAATAGCCTGAACTTAACAGTTGTGTCTAGCCACCTGAAAACATTTAGAAATAAAGGTTTCACACACATTTCACTGGCATTCAGATAGATACGGCCATATCTTACCATGTGCCCATGTATTCTCCAGCGTCAGCATCAGAAAGAGGGAGCGCATTGCAAAGCTACCTGCGTACATGGCCTGGAATGTAGCTTCACTTCATAGTCATCGTGGAAAAGAAAGCTGATCCGTCAGGATGAAACTGTTTTTCTGGTGCAGTTTCAGCAGCTTCTTAATTCAGCTTGTGGAGGCTCATGTAGAAACACTTCAGTTACCTCAAGAAAGTGAGCCAGACTGGAGGCGTGAGGGGATGTGAAAGAGCTCTGCCATGCTCACAACAAATCAAATTTGCTCACCGTAGAACTTCCTGCAGCCGCTGCTGGTTTCCAAAGCCTCTTGCCTCCAAAACCAGACAGAATGAAATGGGGGGGGGGGGGTTGTGTGTGTTTTTTTTTTGCACCTTGAAAGAGGAACTGGTGGATGGAAACAAAATAAAATCAGCAGAACATTTTTCAAACAGCAGCTTCAATTTCTTAAAAAGCATTTGAAAAAGTAAAGGTTTTTTTTGAAAAAATAAAAAATAAAGAATTGTTGCAGCACCTCATTTGGATGTCTTCTTTCTTTTGGAAATTCATGTCACTGCTTCTAAGAGCGAACTCATGTGCTGAGTGCCAACAAAGTTGTAACCAAAATGGGAGAGCAGTGTTATTTTTCTAGAAAAAGAGCTGCTGGAACTCCCCCCAAATGCCTCCCTTGTTCTCTTATAATGGCCACGGCGCCCACCTGAGAGGTGCCAGAACTGAGTTCCGGCTGAAGAAAAAGCCCTGTAGAGAAGTATCAGCATGCTCAGTGGGAACCCTGAATTTTGCAGAGGGGCAACAAATAAAAATACTCACACTACTGGGGCAACCCTCCCTCCAAGAACCTTCACGTCAGCCCTATGAGGACTGCACATGCTCAGTAGCCATGGAATGGTGGCAAGCAGTTGCAAAATGGCTTGATGAAGGAGGCCCTGGCTGGCACCCTGAGAAGGAATACCTGTGTTATGAAATAAGAATATGTTGCAACATTTTGTTGCCCCTGCCACTTGTACACATAGCAACATGACTGAACAGAATTTCATAACACAGATCGCTTATGGATATTAATGATAGATGATATACTTTTGCTTTTTTGTTAACACAGAAGGAGTTAAGAGATCGTTTCTCTCACCACTGTTAATGCCAGTGAGGTTTCCTCTAATTTTGCCAAGCCAAATTACCGGTAACATTTAGGGCTAATGCAGATGATGTCTTTCATCAATGCTTGAGACTATAAGGAAAAGGCTGCAGAAATCTGGGACAGCTGTAGGAGGAAATTTCTATGTCCACAGCCTGCTCCTGATTTCTTAAATATATAGGAAGTTTTGTGGGCAAGAGGGGTCCTTTAATCAGGTTGAAAAATCTTTTCTATTTGTTATTTTAGAAGTTTGCTCACTTAGCTTATCAGTCTCACATGCAAGAGACATCCGAGAACCCGTGGGCTTATTCTGCAAAGGTATCCCAACTATGAAATGCCCTCCCCCTTGGCATACAATTGGCACCAGCTCTGATGAATCTTTGGTGCCATTTGAAAACTCTCCTATTTCAGCAGACTTTTATGAGAGCTTAATTGCCTTGGACTGGTTTTGGTCCTTCTTGCTGCTATTGAGACTGTTGTGATTTTATCTGCTGCTCTTATTTCTAATTGTTTGTCTCCAGACAGATCCACTTGCTTTCAGTTAAAGGTGACATTCCAGAATTTTTGTGTTGTCAAAAGGATAAAATTATTTCATAGGCCAGCGGTGCTGTCATAACGTCGTCAAAACAGCTACATCTTTACATTAGTCCATTGCGCTGTACAAGAAATAAATTATTCTAGAACCGCCAGGAATGAGAAACCCGTGCCCCGCTTTTTATCCAGGTGTTTTCTTCTCCTGGGTATTTGGATAAAAGAGGCTTTCTCCAATGTGGAGCCCTCCAGACATTGTTGGTTTCTTAACTCCCATCAGTCCTAGCCAATATGGCCAACAATCAAGGAGGGTGCGAACTGGAGTCCCACATCTGAAGTCCCACAGGCTCCTTATTACTGACTGAAATGACTCTTTTCAATAAGGAAGCAAAGCCTTTATTTTAGATAATGACTATGCTACAATATAACACACTGACACATTTTTAGGTGCGATCCTAAACTCTAAGCAGGGCATCATGGAGTGCCAACTCAACACTCCCAGTGCTCACACCAACCTGGGTGGAATGTGGAGTGGCAAGCAAAAACACCCCTTTGCTCTGCTAGCAGCCAGGCTGGTGCAGCCAAGAGGATTAGATTCTCTCCAATGTCATGACACGAGGGTGGCAAGATCTCAGGAGAATCTAATGGATGCTGGGCCAGGCCAGGCCTGCTTCCCCAAAACACGTCAAGGCTTTCTGCGAGTGGGCTGTTAGTGGTAAGATCTGCCTGTTGTTTGGGTGGGCACGTTGGGGGCTCCCTGTTTGTAGAGGCTAGCAGAGCTAGGCAGGGCTGGGAAGAGGGACATCTCAGCTGCACCCAAACCCCATGTAGCATGGCGGCTTGGATTGCTCTATTTTGCCAAAAGAAATAACAGAAAGGGGGAAACGAAAAGTAGTCAGTGCCACCTCTCTATCTGGCAGTTCTGCTATGTATCCTTTGCTGTTCAAATATGACCTTGCTGCCATTGTTTTAAAACTCTTTATTTTGTAAAGTTAACACAGAACTTTAAAAACATAAAGACAATGAATATTCAACATGCATAAGCAAACAAAAAATATCCTAGCAGCAAATTCAAAGATGGAACAGTAAAAAGGGATAGCAAGATTATCCATACAATATATATCTATAAATAAATGGTAATGGTTAGCACACTGTTATTTTGTTCCTTATTTCACTCAAGAAAAAAAGTTATAATGGAGACACAAAATCAGTTTAACTACGTCACTATCTATCTTTGCATGGTTGTAATAGACTATTTTTTTATTTATTTTTTAAAAAACCTTAGGGAGTTAGGGATTTTTGAGTAGCATAAGAACATATCCTAGTTGGCAGAAACTATTTTTGCCATCTCTTGTAAACTGGACAGGTTAGTTCAAAAGTTTTCTCAATCCGTTATAACAATCAATATAAAAACCTGAACTTTTAACTTCATAAAAATGCAGGTTTGGAAATTTGGTGGGAGCCAGTTTTCAAAAGACAATTAGGTATGTCTTGACAACTATATGAAGAACAGTAACACCTTGGTTTGTATTCAAACTTACAGGGCAGTCCAATGCATTTCTACTCAATATATTGCTCCACTGAGTTAAGTGTGAAAAGTTAATCATGACTTAAGTTCCATTAACCTCAACAGGAACTAAATGCAACTAATTTAGGTTGTTCTCTAATGCACACTTACTTGAGAGTAAGCCCAATGGGACTCACTTCTGAGTAGACATGCATAGGATTGAGCTTTTGGCTTGGATCCAACCCATTATTAGCGGCGTCCTTCATCCCCAACCCAATCTGGATGGTTTGTACAACGTTAACATCTGATTGTGAAGGATGCTTCAGTAAATGTATGCTCTTTCTCAACCAGATACTCATTTTAGCATTAAGAAAGCTTAGAAACATTTCTGTCTCACAAAAGTAGAAGTCTTGTGTTCAATGGAGTCTAGAACAACAAAAATTGATGTATTTGAAGTTTCTGCTCTATGTCAATTGAGAACATATGAGCAGCCAAATCCTATACTTGGAAGCAAGTCCCATGAATTCAACATGACTTATGTTGAAGTACGCATGTACAGGACTGTGGCTTTCAATAGCTATTCAAAAGCCAAATCATGTTTAGGCAACTACTCAGACCAATCTGTAAAACATTAAGTTATATTCCTTTGGCTAGGTTGCTACTAGTTACTTATTTCAGTTCTAATTTTTACATGCACAAATGACACAAAAATAACGTGTGCAAAGGTAAACTATCCATTTTATGCTTACAGAAGTCTGGCTTTCAACAATTCTTTTCATTGGTACGGTCAAAATAGTGATTTAATATCCTAAAGAAAAGGAATCTAATGTTACTTGTTTCCATGATTTGTACCAGTCGTCTGGGTTAATGGCATCATGGTGCAGCTTCCATTCTTCTACATAGCACACTTATGCACGGCCTTTTCACTTAAAACATAATGGGCCAAACAAGAACTGTTTAACTGAATGGTAGCCAACCAAATGTTGGTGGACTGCTACTCCCATAATCTCTGAACCTTAAACCATTAAGGGTTGGTGGGAGTTGGAACCCAATAACATCTTGAGGGAACCAAGTTAGGGCAGCGGTAGTTAATGTATTTTGTGGTGAGATGTGTAAGTTTCAGAAGCACAAGGCAATTCATGGATCACCACTCTGCACATTAATTGAAAGGGTGAAAAGAAAGTGTACAAATGCACACATACTGCCTCCCCCGCTCTTTGCTGGCATTTCCTTGTGAGTGATGAGGCTGCCCTACAAATAGAAGAACCAAAGCAATACAAATATCCCAGGAGTACAGCACATGCATTTCCCACTGCCATGCGCAATGGGACCTACTCCCTTTCTGACATCATAAAAAGGAAACTTGTAGATGAAGATGACAGGGAAGTACACATATATTGATGGCACAGCATTCTAATTCACTAGAATTAGTAGACAAGCAAAATAAAATAAAATAAAAACAGGTTGTTGTTTTTTGTAGGGAACTACCAACTTGCTCCAGCATTCCTCTCTGACAATGGTAGATTACTGTTTAATGTTTATTTTTTAAAAAATATAAGGTATCTGAAATTAAATGAGATAAATTTTCAACAGAAAATATCTGCTATGGACCCAAACAGGGCATTTTTCTACTCCCAATTCATTATTATGAGCTTTCTTCGTAAGTAAGAAAGCTGTTCTAATCTTAAAACTTGACAATGGCCTGCCTGTGAAACTGATGCACCAGTGTCACCCAGTCCAATAGAGTAACACATTTCTTTTTAATTCTGCACTGGAGTACTGCATCTCTGCACTTGAGAACTATTGTGCAGGAAGTCTATACTGGAACACACATTCTGTGTGCCAGTAACTGTTTTTCATTCTGGAACTGAATATTAAGGCTGTGATCCTTTGTTCAGCTACGAGTTAATTAAGCTTAGGGCTGATTAGGTTCAGCCCAAGAAAGAAAACCCCAATAGTTTCTTCCATGCTGCAGATGTAACATTAGGAGCAATACATGGGGTTCTATTGGATTCTTTAAACAAAAAATCAGAGTACTTTGGCAACAACTGCAGTGGCAGGAAAAAAACAGAAAAGGGAAAAGGAAGGTGGGGTGGGGGACACACAGAAGCTCCTCCTCAAATATATAGAAACCTATAACAGATGCCACCTATGCAATTTCATACAAATATGAGAGCAAAAAAATGGATTAAATATGAAATATACTGTTTTTCGTAAGCTAAGCAGTCCAGATCCTGGGCTACATTCACCAATGCCAAGCTCAACGTGGCACTGCAGATTTTGGATAATCTCCAACATAAAGAGTATATACCTACTAGAGTAACTTGGCTCCATTGATTTCAATGGGTCTACCTTGGTGATCACCCACTTCCTCAAACTCAATGCAACTTTTCAATGCAATATTGCCTGTGTGACTGCGTCAAAACCTTCCAGTGAATCTGCATGTTCCTTAAACTGCTTATTCTGCTCTCTTATCTGTTTTAGTCCAAGAAAAGAGGGGAAAGTGTGGGGAAAGAAATGGACCCATCATCTGACTCCAACCAGATGTCTATGGTGAAGTTTCCTATTCTTTTCTATTTGATTTGGGCTTTGGATGTTAATTAATAATAATTTAAAAAAATAGGACAGAAATAAAAAGCTACTTTGCTTCCTTTGCAATTCCACCAAGAAAAAGTAAAATGTCTGGGGCATGATGCTTTTAAAAGTTATGCATTTAAAAACTCAATCAATAGAAAAGACAGTTATGGTAAACTCTCCCATTCTAATCAATGGGAACCAAAAGTGCTTAACTGTGGTAGGATCAGGAATTGCTATTAGCTAATGCATGAAGAAATCTATTAGTCATGAATTACAAATTCCTATTAATGTTTGCTCCTTGGAAAACATTTCATAAAGAAAAAGACAACAGCCAGTGAAGCAAAAGGTATCATCAGTAACTCTAGGAATTCGTATTACATAAACCTAAACTGTGCAAAGTTCAAAAACATGAGATATTCACGTAGATTTTAAAAAAACAAAACCCAACCACCTATTTGAGCCAGCTTTGAAATTAATCAGGGAGCAATGGAAATGCACATTAGACAACTTATATTTATATCCATTATTTGCAAAACATTGCCATCTACAGGCAGCTGACTGCGTAACTTTACTCTTACAGTCCTGCAGCTTTCCTCTGATCTGTAGTATAATTAGGGATGTGGGAAAATTGCCCCTTTAATTCTGTGGAGTATGTCATATACTCTTGCTTTCAGGACTGTGTACGCAAAAGGGATGCTCAGCAGAATGAGCATCCAACAGTAGATGCTACCCTTGGCTTTCAATGGGATGCACATCTACATCCTTACAACCCTCAACAGCTATGCAAGAGTTTGCACATCCAGCCACCAGTTAAAACTTCTCCATCTAACAGAATGTAAATCACATAGAATGAGATAGAAAGTGGGTTCAGGATAATAGCGCAAACCAGAAAAATGGAAACAGTAGCATTGGAAATCAAGCCTGCAGGATTGCTTTGGCATCCCTAAGTATAGCTATGCTGGAGATAAATTTATGCTGAAAATACGGGGCACGCATATTGGGCATATATGAATACATGTTAAAGCCAGAAATTAGACTATTGAGTTTGACCATGCCTAATTTGATCATTTGCAATTATCAGGTAATGCAGGAGGATGAAAAGCGAGCAAAGGAATTTTTCTACAATAATGATTTAGCACTGGACTGTACAAACTCAGCAACATGGCACCTTTCTGCCATTTCCCCCCACTCAAGGAACTCTACAACATTTTAGATCCAAACTCTTGTAATACTAGAGTCACCAACAATTTGTTGCACACCGTTGCGTTTTGCAATAGATTGTCATTTTACAATACAAAAACCATTACGTAACATTGCATGTGCATGAATATAAAAATAAACCACGTCACTGCTATGCAACTGTTAATACTCCACACTTAGAACCAAGTGGCCTCCTCCACTCAGTGGTCTTCAGACTTGAGAAGCTGGTGTGAATACCCATCAGGCAAGTAGGTTTTTCTTAGCTGGTCTGCCTTGGGTATGGAGTTCCCATTCTTCACGTGGCGAGAGAGGAAAGCTCGCACAGCTGGGTGATCAGCCTTCTCGAGGGGAATGCTAGCTTCCAGAAACATTTTTACAAAGTCCTGGACAACACCGGGCTTCTCTGTTGGGGCTGCGCTGTTGCACTGCAAAGAGGCAGTCAGAGTTCGCGGTTTCTTCCTGACAGTTTGCTCCTCAAACTCCCCCTTGCGTTTGGTGTGCGTTTTGGATTTGAGATGGTCATTGATGGCGGACTTGCGAACATGATTCAGGACCACATTGCAGAATGTGCAGTACAGTTTCCCCCCGTCTTCATACAGTTCGCTGCCAAATTCAGTAACGCGATCCTGAGGAGTCACATACAAAGCGGTTTTAGAACGGCTCCGGGAGGGAGGTGGCTTCACGTCAAATCGTTCCATTGCAGTCTTCAGTAAACTGATCTTAAAACAAAAAAAACCAAGGTAGAGTATTACATTTATGTTCACTCTGTGCAGTCTCCAGTAAACAGCGGGATTTGTTTACTTGGGTATAGCTGAATACCAGAATGTTCAGTCACCAAAACGTTCCTACACCAAGAGATACAAATGCCGATTTCTCTACTAGTTGACTGCAGGCAAAAATGATGTACTCTGTACAAGATGATTATACCATGCTGTGACATTTGTGAACAACAGCAAAATTATTATGGGAAGGTTGTTTTAAAGAAAATGGGCTGTATGCATCTAAATAGTTCCACTAGCGCACTGACTTTTAGCTACACAACAGAACTTCCCACAGTCTCCTCTCCCTGTGCTCCTCCTAAATCTGTTTCAGGTTTTCCAACGCTCCGGAGCAGAATTATAGGGTGAACAGGAAGAGGAGAGGGCAGAGAAATTACATTGCACAGCCAGAAGTCTTGCACTAAAGGGCCTATTTAGTTGGATACTGCCCTATGTTTATGTTAGAGACAGACATGTGTAAGTCACATGTTGGCCCCTGGCACTGATGACGGGCCCAAGGTTCTTGTTAAAATAGAGTTTTCATGATTTTTTAAAATAGGCTTGGGAGATGTAGCATATAAATTAAAAGCATATAAATTATAATTTTTTGGAACAAACATTACTGCAATGTACAGTAATTTGCAGCTATCTTGTCCATGAATATGATGCATACTTCCATTATTTGTAGCTAAAGTTATGAACATCAGCTGCAATTCCCAGTGAAAAACGTACTTCCATGGTGTTATCACTGCTCTATCAGGTGCTCCAGTTCCACACACGGCTCAGGTTTGTTACGGAGAGGCTAACTTTCACAGAATTATAACTGGGAACCTAAACTAACTGAAGAAGCTTAAATCCAACTCCTGCTTCCATCTGCAGTTGAGAAAGAAAAGGGCACGTCACAGTACTTTAAAACATTTGAATGAAATGGCTTGCATAGCATTTTACTTCCACCAGCATGACACTTTTAGATATCTCTAACACTTATGGTCGCAGTTCACTTTTATTTTATTTTTTACATTGCTGGCCTTATGGTTGTTGCATTGATTTGTATATTTGAATATACCAACTTAAGAATCTTCCCAGCTGAAATGTGGAATACCAACAATAACCACCTTCATGGCAAACATGTGCGCTTCAACCAGATCTTATTATTTTTATGATAAATGGTTTGTACGTAATACAAATAGTGCTTGATTTTTATACAGGTAAATGTTTGTGAGATATATTAAGGTAATATTAACAGTGAAGTATAAAGCCTCACTGCTTGTTCCAGTGCAAAACTGAGTGGAAAAAGATTTATTCAGATAAAACTAAATAGATTTAGTTTCAAAATATTACTTAGATATATGTTTTTATATATTTGTAGATTGCCCTGATAATTGAACTTCTTGTTTCCAAAACACCTCAGAACACTGGAATATTTTTGGTGCTTTTCTTTGTGGTTTATTCTTGCATTCACTATCTCTCCCCATTTTTATTTTTATTTTGGTTTTGAGGCTTAAGGGAAGGAAATGCAGAAATGCCTTAAAGCATGGTGACAGTGGGCAGAATCAAAGCATAACATCCAGCCCATTTCAGATGGATTAGAATTCAACTCACAGCACCATAAAGTAGGCAGACATTTTCAGTATTTAGGGACATTCCTACAGTGCTCTGAAAACCCAACATGATTTTTGCTATGATTTCAGAAAAGCAGTACTGCTGCTAAGCAGAAACACATTTCTCCAGTATGAACAATTACTAAATGAATATTGCAAAATTCCCAATTATGATAAATTATACAACTTGCATTTTGGATTTATGTTATCACAGTCAGTACAATTTATGCAGGTATATGCAGAAGGAAATCCTAGTTACTCAGCTGCAATCCTACATACACTTACCTGGAAATAAGCTCCAATGGATGCAATAGGTCTTACTTTACTGAGTAAAGAAGGATTGATCTGAAAGTAAAAATTATCCTCCCATTATCTATGGAAAAGTAAGGTAAGCTACCTTAGAGTAGTCTCCCAATCTTGGTTCTCTTGCTATCCCCCGCCCCATCCCCACAACCAGAAAATGTTTAATAAGATTAAATGTTAAATGAGCCAGAAAAGGGGGGTGGAATTGTCAAAAATTTTATATTTATTTTTTAAAATCACTTATTTTCTTGAACTGAGGAAGCAACATATTATTTTGAGCAGATGGGATGAACTGATATTGCTCATTGGTAACAAACTAACAAGCAAAATGAACTGACAAATCACAAGCTTATCAGGCAAAGAAGCTGTATCCCTCTTTGAATGGCAAAGGGTGACACCTAGTGGTTGAATTATAAGAAGAGGCCATTGTCAAGTCCGGCAGTGGTAGCTGGGGAAATTCTACTTGCTACACAGAAGTAGCAAATTGGAATATTCAGTTGTTGTTTTGATAATGATTTTTCTTAGAAGAATAAAAGTGGATTCAAGCTGAAATGGGGTGTCTGTTCCAACCTCTGCTCAACGGCACTACTTACTTACTCTGTCTTTGAAAGAAACCACTTACTAATAAATCTTTCCAAAACTTATGCAGACGATCTATTTTAACAAACTCCAAATGCACTTTTTACAGTCACTTGCATTTAGCTAATGGGGAGGGGGAGGCTTCCCTATCTCAGGTTCTCAAATCTAGGATTATCTTATGTATATAAGGACATCATGAGATTCACAAGGCAACTACAAATTTAAGATATACTCTAGGATCTACTCCTGCCCCAAACTTACATTTGTAGATACCTCCTTCTCACATCCTAAACAATTTCATAAAGCTGTCTCTCATCATCCTATTGCCAAATTACTGATTAATTAATTAATTTCTATCCCAGCTTTTCTCCGGAAGGAGCCCAGGGTGGCAAACACATCCACAATTCAAAAACAACACTGTCAAAATATTCCAAAAACTATTACAACTGAAAACATCTAAAAGCAAATTTCAATTAAAAACAGTATTTCATCCGGTACTCTTTAGTCACTAAATGCCTGGGTAAAGAGGAATGTTTTCAAATTCCTTCTGAAAGTTAAAAGTAATGGAGACAGATGCACCTCACTAGAGAGGGCATTCCATAAACAGGGAACCTCCTGCCAACCTAGCTGTTCAAAAGCACGCGGGAAGGTAAATGGCGTTTCCGTGCGCTCTGGTTTCCGTCACAGTGTTCCGTTGCACCAGAAGTGGTTTAGTCATGCTGGCCAGATGACCCGGAAAGCTGTCCGTAGACAAACACCAGCTCCCTTGGCCTGAAAGCAAGATGAGCGCCACAACCCTAGTCACCTTTGACTGGATTTAACTGTCCAGGGGTCCTTTACCTTTACCTTAAAGAGGGAACCACCACTGAAAAGGCCCTATCGCCAGTTAACCCCAACTGGGCAGCTCCTGGTAAGAGCATTACCATCAAGTCCTCACCAGCCAATTCTAGGGACCTAGATGGTTGATATTAGGGAAGGTGCTCTCTTAGGAACTTGGGTCCCATTTATATGCTCTGTATGCTAATACTAACACCCTGGATGCCAGTAGTTCACTGGTAGCCAGTGCAGTGCTTGTACAATGATAATCTTCTACTATCTTTCTTATGCATGATTTACATTGCAAAATTTGCAAATCCTGAAATCCCCTTGATAGAGTATTTCTATCACTTAACTCAATTTCTTGCACACTGAAAAGACTCCACTCTATAATTCCTGGAATACTTAGCTCTCCGATATCTTTGTAGCCTTTGACATCATTGACCATGGTGTCCTAGAGAAACTCGAGGGAGGCACTGTAATGGGATGGTCCTGCTCTTACCTGTAGGGTCCTTACTAGAAAGCAAGCAATCGTAAATAACGTTCTCAGCAATATAGCTTTTAAGCCAAGAGTCCATTATGTCTCACTATTCAACATATGAAATTGCTAAGAGCTGTTATCCAGAGACATTATGTTGGTGACATACAGTTCCATCTCTCCATTTCATCTGAATCAGGGAAGACTGCGAAGGTGCTGAACTGAACTGGTATCTGAAAGCAGTGATGGGCTAGGTGGGAGTCACAAAACTGAGAGGTGCTGTAGGTGAGCAGTTCCTGCGTCTGGAAACCTGGCTCTGGTCATGGGCTGCATTCCCCTTGAAGAAATTCGTATATTTGTAGCCTGGAAATACAGTACTCCTGGATTCGAATCTGTCACTGGAATCTGTCTGTGGCTAAGAGTGTTTAAGACCAGCTTAGGCCAGTTTGCAAGCTCAAGTCATCCCTGGCCCAAGATAGCCTGGTCTCAGTTGCCTATGCTTTGGGGCCCTCATGTCTGGACTACTGTAATGCACTGCTGTAATATGGGATGCTGGAGGCTGAAGCTAGTGCAGAATTTGGCTGCTAGGTTGGTCAGTGGGGCAGTTCAATGGCACCATGAACCACCAATCCAAGGTGTTAGTACTAGCATATCAAGGCAGATGTGGGTTGGGACTCTAAAGGAGTGCTTTCCCCAATATCAATAATCTCGGGCCCTTGCCTTGCCACTTGTAGGGTAATATCTGGTATACACTCAGACTTTCAGCACATTGCTCTAATTCTGAGCCCTAGTTCATTCAGTATGGTGCCCCTTAGCAACCATGGACAGATACTTCCCTTATGAAGTGGCTGCTCCACATCAATACCTAATTGCATGAATCCCAATGGACACAAATTATCTCTCCCCCAGAAGAAACATGTGTACACCCATCAATATAGAACAGCAACTTCATATGTGAATTGAACAACATGGGGGTGGGGAGAGTGATGCCCACAGCTTCACCATGTAAGAAGAGAAGCACTGCTGCTTACCTTTATGGCTAAACTTAAAATCACAACTGATGGACAATTTCCAACTGATGCTGGCAACACATGCATGGTTTTGCGGTTGGTTAAAAGAAATTTATGAAGAGCAGTGGCGACCTGCCCCAAGTCAGAAGGAATTATCCTAACATCATGCCCTATCCTCTGCTGCACATGAGCTTTTTCAATCTCTCTTGCTCATTTGCCAGAAGAGCTCAGAAAAAGTACTCAGTAGATCACTTCATCAGTTGCCTGTGCATGCCCTAAATGTGGTCACTCAAGGTCACTTAACACAGATTAACAATGCATCTACATCATGTTGTCATAATTACAGTGGCTACCAAGAATTATTTCACCTCTTTCAATGTCTGCTTATGAGTGGAGTGAGAATTTTAATCTGTGTGAGTACAAAACTGGGAAATTACTCTATATGAATTAATCTGGTGGGTGCGATTTTGTGCAGACATAATAGTCCAGATGTAATAAGAATGGTGAACTGAAAAAAGAAAAAGCTGCAAATGGTAGGAGAACTTTATCTAATGAGGACTACACTGGTTCCTGGGTTAAAGCAAATGTCATAGAATGTCCTCATTATTATTATCTGAGGCATCCATTCCCAGATTTAGCAAGTGCACATTTGTGGAACAGTTCCTCCTCATGTGTGCCTGGAAGCCATATTTTCTGATTTGAAAGCCCTGTCCCAACTCCTGGATATTTGAGGGAGCTTGTGGTTACTTAACAGCAAGGGCAAACTGTTGTTTGCTGTATGAATTCTGTGGCTGAACCATGTGTGATCAAGGTGTTTGTGCTATAATGATACCACAAAGCTGGGTATAAAGGTGTTTGTTTTTTGATGGTGGATACTGATACGAGTTGCAACTGGGCAGCAGCTATAGGATAAGTACCTATAAAAACTGAGAATCTCTTATCTATTCCTTGTTATTGTTGTTGGTTTTTTTGTTTTGCACCATGGGAATGCCACAATATGCTTTTTTTAAAACATTGTAATCTGTGAGCTACGATGAGGCAGTGTATTTTTGTGATTCTAGTAGAAATCACTTGAATCTATATCTTAAACTGCATTTTCCATAATGATGCTGCTGTAGTGTAGAGCATTAGGTGAACTATTTCTTATGCTGTACTCTCAGTTATGCCTTGATGATGGATGGGACAGTGCAGGTGTGAAGAGTGTCTGAATTTAAGCCAAAGAGCAATCTTGTCTCAGACGTGCAACCATGCCCTGGACCTGCATTTTTGTGCCACAGCTTTGTCATAAAATGCTAGATTTTCATGTGTGCATGTGTGGGAGAGGGTTCCTTTAATTGTACAGCCTGTCAGTATAGGAGTGAACTATAATAAATGGTGGGTTTTACAGATCCAGCTGTAAAAATAGTATAGATTCATGAGAATCCATATGTGAGATTTCTATTTCTAAAACATGAAGGGCTGGAGATATTATTTCATGGCATAATCTTGGGTCAAAAGGTTGAGCTGTCACCAGATTCATTTGGGTGTTCATCTGTAATAATAGCCATAATTTTGAAATTTAAAAGATTATGGTCCTCTTCGCACCAACTGGTAAATACTATGAAAGGGTTAGTGAAAGAATCAGCTTTTCAGGTAAAATACAATTCACACATTTTCCTATTATCAATATTGTTAAACTAGATTAAAACAAAATGCACAGAATCTAGGCCAGACAATGCCTTAGCGATTGTGAAAAGCCTGGAACCATAATAGTACTGAAGTCTCCAAGATAAGCCAAAACTAAGTGGTCAATACTAAACATCAATACAAAACTAACATCAATAAAACTGAAAGCTGCGCTGGGGAAAAAACTATAATCCAGACTAACGTATCTCACAGAGACTGTGCAAGAACAAATACTACCCTGAGCTCTCAGGAGGCAAAATATAGTATACATAGTGCAGAAGCCCCACTAAGTTCCCTACACCTTAACTCCCAGAGAAGTGTATATCGGATTACAGCTTTACAGTTCAAATTTAGGCATGTTACTGTTTACTTTGAAGTAATTCAACTACGCTCAACAGGGCTTACTCCAGGCATTAGTACTATAGGCATAGGACACTAGCACCTGAATCATGAAACCAGTCAGTGGGCAAGGACCTCATGCAAACGTTTCCAGAACTGGACCCATCAATAAACGCTCCATTATGATACCTCACCAGGAACATGTTTTTTTGTTCTTCGGTGAATTTTACGCTACTACAGTGCCAAACTCTTTCTCAGTGGCTCTTTAGAGGTTCCCACATTATATTTCCCTGTGCAGATTTTTCTTCATCAGATACAACATTTATGTTCCACAATGGCTTCGTCTTAACGAGGAGCCCCAACATGTGCCCCCCAACACACCTCCTTCCTAGCTCCCCCCCTTTACTCGCCGCTTCCAAATCTCAGGGGTTCTTTTTCCCTCGACAGAATTTCCTGCGCCCCCTGACCCGCCATTTCCCAACACCCCCCATCTTAGCCACCCCTTTCTCCATACAACCCAATGCTATGTCTCCCCACCCAGGTGGGGAGGGGGAACCATTTCCCTCCCCCGCCCCCCGCCGCCCAACCTCCTTCTTACAGCTCTTGACAGCCTCCTGTTCTGTCCCCGGGGGGGGGGGGGTTCCGGGGCTCAGCTTCGACCTGCTGCTCCGCGCTCACCTTCCAGGTCCCGCGACAGCGCGGAGCAGACTTGGCGGAGCCGCCTACCAGACAGATAGACAGACCGGAGGAGGAGGGAGGGGGGCGGTGAGGGCGGTTGGACAGAGTTGCTTCCTCTCTCCGGCTCAGCCCAAGCGGGGCGGGACTTACCCCCCCAGCAACACCGCCGCCAATCACGGCGTCGGAAAAAGGGAGAAAGCCCATGCGAGAGGAGGGAGGAGCGAACGGCGTTCCCTGCGCCTCGCGGCGAAGAGAGTGGCAGGGGCTCGCGCCAGTCGCTGAGGAGAGGAGGCGGAAGTCGAGGGGGGAGGCCGCGGCCCACTCACAAGGGAGGAGGCGGAGATTGTTTACTTTGAAGGATGAAATGCGGGCCCAATCGCCGAGGGCATAGGAGGAGCTTAGGAGGGGGGAGGGGGTTGATCGATAGGGCCTCACGCCAATCAGAATGTGGGTCTGAAAGTTCAGCCGCGGATAGGGAGGCGCGTTTCCCAATCAGGAGCCGGAGAGCCGGAGCTGTGCCGAAATTAAACGGCCGGAGGGTCGGAGGTTGCGGGGGCCCGTGGCGGCTGATTGGCAAGCGAGCTCGCCAGTCAGGACGGCCCGTGGGGGGTGGTGCCGGAATTGAGGAACGCCGCGACAGGGGGCGGGCCATCCGGCGGATCGGGAGCACAGGGGAGGGGAGCTGGAGGAGCTCGGTACGCGCAGGGCGGCCGGAGCAGCATGGCGGAAGACGAGAGCGATCAGGAGTCAGAGAGGCTCGGCGAGGAACTCGAGGCCATTGCCGGGCCGCGGCTTCCCACCGGCTTGTCCCCGGCCTTGAGCAGCCAGTATTATTGCTACCGCTTCTGCCAGGTGAGGCGCTGGCCCCGCCCCCTGGAGGCTGACACCTTGCGGGGTGGGGGTGGGCTGGGGAGGCGGACAGAAGGACAGGGGCGGCCGGGGAGGAAAAGCTGCTCGGCGTCGGGTCCCCTGCGGGTGGTTCTCTTGGAGGCGCTTCGCGGGGGCGGACCAACCGCCGGAGGGGGCGACGCTGAGGGCCCCTTTCTCGGCCAAAGCGAGGCGCCGTTCTCCGGGCCCCTGTTCGCTCCCCCCACCCCTCACGGGCGACGACCGGGCGCTTGGGAAGCTCCTTCATTTTCTCTCCCATTCCTCTAGTCTCCCCTCAGGTCAGTTTCTCCCCTCGGGAATAGCGAGGTTCACGAGCTCGTGGTTGGCCCTCCCTTCTTTTATTGTGAGAGGGAACAGTGATTTGTGTGGGGTGTCAACAGTGGAGCTCGGCCTGACCTTTTCATTCCCCCCCCCTCCCTTCCTGGCGCTGTCGCGGTGGGGGTGCTGGGGAGGAGGGAGGGAGGGAGCTTCTCTCCCCGCCCTCTCCGCCCGCCGGTCGGGCAGTTAGTTTGTTGCCAGGGTGGCGCGCGGGGGTCCCCGTGAGGTCAGGGCTTGGCGGAGGGGGTGCGAGTTGTTTGCAAGTGGTGAGGCAAAAAGGAGCAGGAGGAGACAGATAGGTTTGTTCTCCTCCGGGGAAAGTCTTTCCTGGCCTGTCCTTCCTATCTTTTAATAATAATAATAATAATAATAAGGCTTCCTTGCCACGGGAGAAAAAAAAATGCGGTCCGAGGAAAATGGTTGGTGGCAAACTAGTTTGCGTTGCTGGTGCTGTTTGTTAGGAGAGGTAGCTGTCCCTGAAGGCTTTTGTTCCCTGGGGAAGAGGAAGAAGAGGAGGACCATGGTTGGTTGAGTGGTCTTGTTTTATTAATCAACTGCTTGGTTCGTATTATTTGAAACATCGCTCGGCTGCTATTTCTACAAGGTATCTTATGACACAAACAGCGCTGTGCAGTGCGTGCTTGAGGTGAAGTTCACCCTATTTAGCGAAACTTACTTGCAGGTGTGTATGCTCATTGGAATCAATCAGGGTTTTTTCCCCCTCCTGGAGTCAATTGTTCTAATGAATTATTTGCTTAATTTTGAAACACTTGCTGTTCAACTATTTACCAGGTTTGGAACATTTTTAAAGCAGTTTCAAGAGCCTAAAGATGATAAATGACAGCTAAATGTCATTGCTACATTGTTTGCATTTTTGTAGGTTGCTTGTATATAAGGCAACAGCAATTCAAAATTGACTGGATGGCAATGTATTGACTTGGTGGCCAAATAAAAAACAATTTTTGCTATTCTTATTTTGTATTTAAATTATTTGGGATGGACTCCTGTTACCCGCTTACCTGGAAGTAAGTGAACTCATTGAGTTTTAATTCTGACTATAGACATGTTCATATGGGGTTGTTAATGCAAAGGTAATCAGAAGATAGCTTTTATTTCACGCTGGCCATACATTTTATATAAATAGTATATCAAATGCTTGACTAGTAGATTATTGTAAACACCATAGCTTTGTAACCTGTGTTAGGCACTTTTGATTGTGGTGTAGTGACAAGAACAGGCAGAAGCTCACAACTGTAACTATATGCTAGGTGCTTCTCTCCCCTTCCCTAATAGCATGCAGACAGAAAAAAAATGCCAGTGTATAAAATGCTATGCTTTGGAGTAAGACTGCTGATAGAAACTAACTTGCAAATCTTTAGCTAGCTACATCTTGTGTGCTGATACCCTTTAAAGAATCCTTTCTGTAATCCTTTCTTCGTAGCTTTTGATTTTTAATAACTAGATTTAATAGGACTGTTAATGGCCCAATATTTGTTTCTCTTTCATTCCCCATTCTTTCAAACACATAGATTCTAGGCACTGAGAGTTCATCTATTCCACACATACAGTGCTATGTTAGTTGGTGAAAAATCTGGTTGGCATGGTAAAACTTGCAGTTTTAAACAGTCTTCATTGATAAACATTTAGACTTCCAAATCAGTGTGTTTAGGGCTGGAATGGAAATCTACTTAACCTGCCTTTCTATTTTTTATTGGCTTCATATCCTCCATTTTCTGTTTAAACCAGGCAGTGTTGTGCCTTTCCACTGTCACTGTTTCCTTGGCTCTTTTCTCATACAAGATCTGTCTTGTCTTGTAAGGTGTATTTTTCTCTGTCTCTGGTGTGAGGAGGCTTAGGTATGGAAGGCCTTGCTAGCTGCTTCGGCCAGGCAGTGTTGCAAACTCGCTTGTGCACTCATTGTGTACAACCCTGTGAATATGTTCCTGACTGGTGTAGAGTGGTTTTAAAATGATATACAAAGTTACTGAATTATTACTATAAATTTCCACAATTTGATGCTAAGGGTAAAGTAGTTGGTATAAAATGACAATTTTAATAAATTCCAATAACACATACATTGCTGTGTGCTTGATATGGAAAAGTGTGTGGCTATTAATTTGCGTGAGTCTGACTGTCATATATGTGTATTGACAAGCAGTACCTTGCAGTCAAGTTTTTTTTATATAAAAAAAAAACCTTAAGAAAAATGATGCCTTAAACTGGAAGGAGGAGACAGTGTTATTACAAGAAAGCAATAGTGAAACAGAGCTAAAGGAAGCTGTGCTTTTTCATGGCTACAATTCCTATTCCTTATCAAATGGGACTGGAGGATTTAGTTGTCATAACTAGCTTACGCGTAAGCAACGGGTGTTCCTAACTTTGACATTGATTTTGCAATTTGATGTTGAGTAACACACCTGTTCAGTTAGTAATGTTTGTAGGTAGAAGATATGCATAACACATTTCGGGATCCAAGTTTGGAGCTGGTTTTTAGTCTTTGGGCATTTTAGTTTACATGAACATAATCTGATTAATATTATTCTACTAAAATATTTCCTTGATGGTAAGTACTTTATGGCAGGTGCTCATTTACCTTGCAAGCTCTGAGTTCTGAAATTTGAGGTAGGCCTTTATAGGAATAGTGAACTTAGCTGCTACTTACAGGATTTCTTATTTTCATCAACTACTCCCTTTAGCTAGAGCTGACTATATTTTTGCAGCATCTTAGCAATACTATCCTGTTTTCATATACAAGATTCTGGCTGGAATCCTGTGCATACTTATCAACAAGCAAGTCCTACTGAACACAGTGGGATTTGGTAGAATTGCACTGTTTGTCTCATTTCTCAGTAGATGCTGAGTCTTTTAAATAACTTCTGAAGACCAAGAGTTAAAAGGGCATTTTAAACAGCTTTGTGTTTAATAACTCACCAGGAAGGTGTGTATGTAATTTTGTTCCCCCTCAGCCAGTCTTATTGGTTTCCATGTTGTCTGAGGAGAAAAAGAAGTCTTTCAACTAGCATAACTGATAAAAAGCTAGTTAGTATCTTGTGTTCCCGTGCTGATCATAGAGAAAGGGGCTTCCCTTGCTCTGCAGCTATCATGGGACCAGGCTACTGGCTTCTTCCTGTGTTCCTTGACTTTTAAATAGTGCTACAATATGTTCTTTGCTTTCATAGTGAAAGGTGCATTCATGATTGTTAAACTTGTAAATCATAAAACAAGTAGTTCTGCAGATGTTGCTGGACTACAGATCCTACCATCCCTATTGGCCATTCCAGCTCGGGTTTGTAGGATTTGGATTCCAGCCACATCTGGAAGCCCACATGTTCCCCATCTTGGCTGTAAACATTTCTCCTACTTCTTCATACATTGTTTAACTGGCTGATAATCTGTAAGAGCATAACTTTAATATCTTTGCTCTTGCTTATAGTTGTTGGTTCAAAATACCTTGTATTTTTACATTTTCTCCATAACATATAATTATGTGTATATGCAATAGAGTAACTTTGAATTGCAAATTTTATCTCATAGTAAATCTAGCCTATTGTAGACTGAGTGAGGAAATATAAAAGAGAAAACAATTAAGCTTTTTTAAAATAGTATACTATGCTAGAAATGTCACAGAGTAGCCTTCAGCTCTTTACAGGCAGGTAAACCTCTGTGACCAAAGGACTACTTCAAGATGTGCAGTTGAAGTGTAAGCTGGTTTTGGGTGCTGATCTTTAGATAATGTGCTACAAGTAAAACAGCTAGTTCTTTAACATCTAGACCTTCTTGGCTGCGAGTCCTAGAAGACCTGCTCTCTGCCTTGCAGGCCTTTTCCCACCTAGCCTGGGAGGGCAGGGCTCTGACTGACTCCAGCTGCAAAGGTTGAGGCTGCTAAGCAGACTCTTGGGTTAGGGTGTTGTTTAGGGCAGGCATGGTCAAACTTGACCCTCCAGATGTTTTGGGACTACAGTCCCCATCATCCCTGACCACTGCTCCTGTTAGCTAGGGATGATGGGAGTTGTTGTCCCAAAACATCTGGAGGGCCAAGTTTGGCCATGCCTGGTTTAGGGGTTTTGTTGGGGGTGGGGTTGTTGCAGTTTTTAATATATTTTTTGTACCTTATTTTAGATCATATTATGATTTATGTGGAAATGGTTTAATCTGATTGTGTACTTTTTATGTTTTTTATGTTGTAAGCTGTCGTAAGCATGGTTTTAACTTTGGAAAGGCAGCATACAAATAAAATTATGTATATATGTATGTGATGCCAGGTGACTTATACAGTGGAACCTCATATTACGTACCGCCCTCCTTACGAATGCTTCGGGTTACGAGCTCCGCTGACCCGGAAGTAGATGCTCCTGGTTATGAACTTTGCCCCAGGATGCAAGCGGAAGTCGCACGCTGGCGGCGCAGCAGCAGCAGGAAGTGCCATTAGTGAAAGTGCGCCTCATGTTAAGAATGGTTTTGGGTTGCAAACGGACCTCCGGAACGGATTAAGTTTGTAACCAGACGTGCCACTGTACCTTGTAGGTTGCTACCTGTTATCATGAAATCATCTCTCTTCTAGCCGAATTCCTAAGTGATATTGGTGGGGGTAACAAGTGTCATTTCAACCATTCCCATTGATGATGATGATTATTTATTATTTATATCCTGCCCATCTGGCTGGGTTTCCCCAGCCACTCTGGGCGGCTTCCAACAAAAGATTAAAAGTACATTAAAACATCAGTCGTTAAAAACTTCCCTAAATAGGGCTGCCTTCAGATGTCTTCTAAACCTCAGATACAGTGGAACCTCGTGTTACGGATGGGATCCGTTCCAGAGGCCCATCCGTAACACGGAACTGACACAAGCCAAAGTGTCGAGTCTGCGCCCACGCACAGCGCGATTTAGTGCTTCTTTGCATGTGCGAGCAGCAAAACCCGGAAGTAACCCATTCTGGTACTTCCTGGTTGCCGCGGGATGCAACACGAAAACATGTAATCTGAAGCGGACGCAACATGAGGTATGACTGTAGTTGTTAATTTCTTTGACATCTGATGGGAGGGCGTTCCACAGGACGGGCGCCACTACTGAGAAGGCCCTCTGCCTGGTTCCCTGTAACTTCGCTTCTTGCAGTGACGGATCCGCCAGAAGGCCCTCGGTGTTGGACCTCAGTGTCTGGGCTGAATGATGGGGGGTGGAGACGCTCCTTCAGGTATACTGGGCCCGATGCCATTTAGGGCTTTAAAGGTCAGCACCACCACTTTGAATTGTGCTCGGAAACGTACTAGGATTACGACTGCTGCAGTTAGTATGGCCATGTTAAAAAGAATTATAAATTACTGCAGTATTGTTTCTGGAGAAAATGCATGTCATGCCTGCCATCTATTTATGTTAAAAACATATATGCTTAATTTTTATTAACAGATTTGGATCAATTTAGTCCTATCCAGCAAAAAAGCCTATGGGAAGAAATGGAAATGGGACATAAATCAACCTCTTCACTGTGTGAAGCTTCATTGGTTGTCTCCGGGATTGGCTAGGCTCATTTGACAGCAGCAAGAAAACAAGCCTTTAATGTTATTGGCCCTGTCCTATGGAAAGCAATACCAGTAAAGTTTCAGCAGACTTTAATCTTTAAATGTCTGCTGAACTTTTCTATGCCACCAAGCATATTTAATGTTTTTATTAAAATAAATAAATGAACACAGTTGATTCAACCTCATAATCTACATGCAAACACAGATTCTGTCCCCTCTGTAGTTAATATGTTGCATATTCCATTGTGTTTGCAAATGCAAGGCACACTCAACATATTCATTTAAATACTGCTTTAAATATTATTTGAACAAGTTGTGCAGCTTCTGCAATATATACTTGATGCTGAATACCCTCCTCATCACTAGACCTGGTAGTAAAATATTCAAAGCAGTAAAAACTGAATGGGAGGAGTTGCCTTATTCAATGATGGTCACTTCATGTTGATGATCTCTAGCAGGCCACCCCACTGCCCTCCCTTCAAGTATTCATCCTCATCCCCCCCTCCAACCACCCCTCCTGTCTTTATTAGTCCATCCGTCTTGTTGGAGGATGTGTGGAAGAACTGCTTGTTACTAAATGCCTGCAAGCACCTTTGTTCCCTCTCCCTGGCAAGAGCACACACCAGCTCGCTCAAAACAAAGAGCCCCAAATAAGCATTCCTTCCTAAGACTTGACCTTATTGGTGCCGACAGGTAAAATGAGATTTCTAAGTGCAGTTTTTCAAAAGATAATTTGTTAATATGATATTTGATCAGCATTGAAGCCCACGCATATCCATTAGGTTGGTGGTGGTCTACCTCTCACTCTTTGTTCCTTCTTTTGCTTTGTTTTCTCTTCAGGCTACCCTTTATTTTCTATTTCTTTGCTATATCTTGCTTGTTAGCTCTTTCTGAATGTTATGGAGAGGATGGATGCAATGAGGTGGTGTGTTTATATCAAATACATATTTAAAAAATAAATACAGTAATGCTATTTGGTGAAAGAATTCCAGCCCGTCACTGAGATGGGTAATGAAACATTCCAAAAGTAAAAAAAGTCAGGACAAATAGTTGTTGGGTCCCTAGCCCCAGTAGTTTTTCTGTGTATGTAGGCACACTTGTTTATATTGTGCCTGTGTTAGCAGTCCTCAGCTTCATCCAGATCTAGTTCTTGTTTATCAGAGTTCCTGTCCTGTCTCAAATTGTTGTAATTTTTGGTAGCAATTTTATTGACCCTGACAGTGGACTGCCCATTTGCCAAATACAGTGGTACCTCTGGTTACAAACTTAATTCGTTCTGGAGGTCTGTTCTTAACCTGAAACTGTTCTTAACCTGAAGCACCACTTTAGCTAATGGGGCCTTGCCGCCGTGCAATTTCTCTTCTCATCGTGAAGCAAAGTTCTTAACCCGAGGTAATATTTCTGGGTTAGAGGAGTCTGTAACCTGAAGTGTATGTAACCCGAGGTACCACTGTATTACAAAAGAGATCCCCATGGCTTTGCAACTTGTTAGGATTCCTCTTTGTTCTGATTTTGACCATATTTAATTTGTACTCTTTCTTCCCTTTTCCCCTGCCAATAGGTTGTGGAAGACTATGCTGGAAGATGGCAGGTTCCTCTGCCACAGCTTCAAGTGCTTCAGACAGCGCTCTGTTGTTTCACATCTGCTTGTGTATCATTCCCAACTGATTGTGAGCACGTGCAGTATGTGCTGAGTAGCTTAGCCTTGTAAGTATTATTATTTCACTCTTCATCCTGTAAGATTCCAATGTTGTGAACAAGTAAAAGTGCTAAACTATATCATAAAATATATAATGAAACCATAAAGAATAGTTTGAGGCCTCAGCACACCTGTACAACTGGTTAATAAAAATGCCTGGGAAAATAGAAACAGAACAACTTCAGCAGAACATGTCAAAGCAAAATATTTGTTTCTCCTATTTCTGTCCTAATTTTCTGGAGTTAATTTTCTGAGTTAAGTGTTGTGAAGAAGATTAATCTCTCATTCCCCCCCCCCCATGCAAAAATCAATGGTTGCTGTCATAACCATTTCACAAGTTTCAGTTTGTAAGTAACAATATCCTTCTGTGTGTTCACATGTAAGGCTGGGATTGGCCTATATATATTATTGGGTGATAGTTCTCATTTTCCACATGTTAATTAATCTAGCTCTATGATAGATTTGGGGGGGTGGATTTTCCCTTGTGAATTTAAGACGTGAAACAGAGCTGAACATTTCATAGAAAAGCTAGTTTTAGATGGGATGGTGTTATTACTATTTTTAAAAGAAACTTAATTGTTGATATGCCATATTAGGATGTTTGCTTATTTTAAATTGGAAACCAGCTCAAGCACTTGATAAACCTGCTTTGAGCATTTTTTAAAAAATGATGATCAAAATAATCTGTGATCAGATTGAAATACCTTTTATTTTTAATCCCCTGTCTGCCTCACGTCTGCCACCTCTGTAAATAGTTGTGTTCAGTTTGACTTGTGAGTCACAAGTTCCTGTACAGTCTCTGTTTTGAAATACTGAAAGCTCAATCTTGTCTCTTTTTGATACATATCAACCAGTATCAGCTGCCAGTGCAGAGTATGTACTGGGTGTGGGAGAGGTTTTCCTTGGCTGGTGAAGACTAGGAGACACTTGGCTAGTTGCTGGCTGGAATTACCAGTCTCTTCCTTAGGCACTGCACATTAAAAAGCTCAAATCTGTAGTTGGTCAATATTGATGTAGTTTCTTTAAGTGTTCTATACCTTAACTAGATTTCCGTATTTTTACAATGATGCTTCAGTACTTTTGTTCACCATGGCAAGTATGACACCTCTCTCTGAAGAATGTAGCAAGCTGCCAGCCTTCCTCCCAACTTTGAAGCGGCGTAGGGATAGAGATAACCCTGGCATTTACACAGAAATCTCCAGCTTGAAGGTTTTGAGCAGGCATAGGCAAACTCGGCCCTCCAGATGTTTTGGGCTTACAGTTCCCATCATCCTTGACCACTGGTCCTGTTAGCTAGTGATGGTGGGAGTTATAGTCCCAAAACATCTGGAGGGCTGAGTTTGCCTGTGCCTGGTTTTGAGGAAGAATTTTGGCTTCCAGATGTGTTCATTTATGCCTTTAAATTTTGCCTGTGAACTAAAATAATCAGCACTTTTGTTTGAGGTACTGTTTGTGTCACGAATGCCTTAGCAGAGGCTTGTAAAAGAAGTTACTTGTATTTTTGGCAGGAAGGCCAAAATGGATAGTGAAACATGTTTGGAACTTCCCTTGCAGATTCCTGTAAGGGTTGCTTCTCATAATACCACATGCATTTGGGATCATTAGGTTAGATTATCCAGGAAGCTGGAGTTGACTGGCTCTCTCTCCTCTTAGGTTCCGCAGTCTTGAGGATTGCCCACTGCGTAGCCATTATGAAGTTGAATACTGATAGGACTGAATTAATACTGACTGGCAAGCCATGTGCAATACGAGGGAAGGGATAGTCAGAATTAATGCTGACTTCATAGCAGAAATGGGGATTCTGTGGCCGTCCAGATGCTGCTGAACTACAATTATTGTCATCCCCAACCACTGAACATTCTTGCTGGCAGGAGTTGGAATTCAGGAGCTTCTGGACAGCCACAGGTTCCCAGTCCCTTCCTATCTCAGTCACACAAGTTTCATCTTCATGATACATAAGTGAGAACATATGCTAGTGCTCTAGTATATTCAGTGGCTTCCTTATGTGTTCTGATGCAATTCAGGGTGCTTGTTGATATAAAGCCCACAGGGGCTAGTGTCACATTGGTGCTTAGTTTAAAATTCTGCACTTAAAACTTGTGAACTAAATATGTCTTCATTTTTTGCCTCGGTTTTGATTCCTAATTGCTTTGATTTTTAGGAGTTTTTTTGAATTGCTGCTGTTCTTTGGAAAGGATGAATTCTATGAAGATCCTTTAAAAGATATGCTGGGCTCAATCCAGGTAATTTATTGTTCATATGTTTGAGGAAAGGCTATTATTACAGTTTTCAGAGTATGTGACAGAGACTCAGTAAGCAAAAAGTAGCCTCCTGCTTTGAAAAATCTTAAAATTGAGAAATGAGATCACTGGTAAATATTTTATGCTATGATCAGTAAGATTAGCTTTTTATGCTAAACTTCCCTAGGACAAGGATGGCCAACTTTTTTCAGCCTGTGACTTTGGATCCCACAGTTACAGTGTCGTGTCCTCACATGCACACTGGGAAAGTACAGTAGAAAACAATTTTTTAGTGCTAAATGACAAGGTGCTTACAGGGAGCTGTCAATTGGAAATAAGCCTGAGAGTCACACAGCTTTTTGCCAGGCCAGTACCATTCTCTGATGTCTTTCTTGTAGCCTTTTCACTCACCAAGAACACTGAGCACTTAGGGCTTGCCTCCCAGCATTGCCACTGCCATCTCAGCCTTCACCCTGTGACGCAATGAGAGAATGTTGCAGAAGTCTCTGTGATATATTTGTGTGCTGCTGGGGGTGTTGGGGAAGGAAAGCTTGAGAGAGCTAGTCAAGGTGCATTGAGAAGGGTAACCTGAACACATTACTGGCCAGCACTCTGACCGAGTCAAGATATCTCTTTTATCTTCATTTTTTAAAAATTTTATTTTAAACTTTGAAAATACGAATGTAAACAACGGAAAAGGTTGCCCTTAACTCATGACATAAGCTAAACGAGAATTAATGCTTTAAATGTATTTTACCCTGTGTGTATATGGAATTATATTAAATTATGCAATTTATTTATGAAAAGACAAACAAAGCTCAGTCCACTTGATGTATTAAAGAAATATTTGTATCCATTTTAGGAATGTCAGAACCTCTTGAGCAGATACGGAAGCGTTAATTTGGAGTTGGTGACTCGAATTATCAGAGATGGAGGGCCTTGGGAAGATCCTATATTACAAGCTGTCCTTAAAGCAAAGCCAGTTTCTCAGGAGTTGGGTACTAAACTTTTTTCCATAAATAGACCAAAATAGTACCACAAAGAAATGTCCTAAATCATGATATCTGCTTATAATTTTATGTAACTTCATTTGCAGGTTGTCTGTCACTCATTTTATACTGGGGATAGCAGGGTAGAATTGACATTTATAATTTCATTATTTTTCCCCCCAAAACGGAATTTCTCTTCCTCCCTGCTGTATCATTATTCCCAGGGCAGCTGACAGTTATGGAAAAGAAAGAAAAAAGAACACCCCATAAAATCACATAACAGAATAAAATGAATTGCCATGGAAATTAAAAGACACGGGTGGAATAAGTGCCCTGTGTTATTCTTAATATGAGCACACTAGTCTTGCCCTATTGGCCACTTATACATGTGGAGCTTTCAATTTCTGTGTATTGCTCCTGATGAGCAAAGAGTTCAAAGAACAACTCCATGCATTTCCCCCAGTTGTCTATACAAATCTTCCCCTCACTCAATTGTGAAACATTCGCTTGTATCGGAGTTTGAAATGCAATTGTAATGAAGAATATTGCAGTAAAAGGCTTACAGTTGTCATTAAACAGTCACTGGGGCTGAGTTAATATGAAAGAGGCATGTGGCAGTGGAGGTGATATGCTATTTCCTGTTAATGTAAGAATTTTTATACTGACACCTAACTGACCTCATTCTATTATTAATCTAGATATTTTACCAATTTTTTTTTATTAAATTTGGTAGTTTGTTACAGAAAAAACATACTTAGTACAGGTAAAAATACAGTATAATATAACCAGATTTACACAAAAACATATGCAATACATAAATATCCAAAGCAATTTGTTGGGAGGTTGACCTAGCATAATTTGTTAACTTTAACAGAAGCTCTTACCTTACATCTTTATAAAATAGAACTTTTTGTTTAACCTATGTTGCAATTTAAGATTTTTGTAATCTAACTGTTTTTTTCATTTGTTTTTACCAGTTAACAAATATTTAAGCTCTGAAAACCCACTGTTCTTTGAATTGCGTGCCAGATACCTTATTGCCTGTGAACGCATCCCAGAGGCAATGGCTCTAATCAAATCTTGCATGAATCATCCAGATATTAGTAAAGACCTTTACTTCCATCAAGCATTTTTCATGTGTCTTTATATGTCACCACTGGAAGACCAGCTTTTTCAAGAGGTACTGTTCAACACATTTTTGTGCTTAACAATATAGCTTAATGTTTTGATGATAATTGATATTTGATAATTGATATTACAGCAAAGTAGACAAATGGTAAAACAAGGATGTTTTAAAATCAAATTCCTGCACTAAATATCAAACTTTGTACAGAATATAATTTCTGAAGAGCAATAGAAGCTGTTTCCATCCTAATGCTAGCATTGCACTACCCCTACTCCAGAACTGGATGTTCATAGTTGGTGTGATGGGGGCCATATAGAAGTAAATGGAGAGGTGAAATTGATGGGACCAAATTGCAAGCAGTTCCTGATGAGATCCATGTTTTCTCATGGCGTGGGGGGGGGGAGTGAGAGAAAACGGTTTATAGTGTTAATTAATGTTATTTAAAACATAAAACAGTTTTAAAACATGTTAGGCTGGAACAGTATTAATTGTTAGTCTTCTCAATGGAATCCCATAGCAGTGGCACTAAATTTCCTGCAACACTGACAACCATGCTGCTGAAAGCTAGTGCCTTCTTTTCCTTGCGAGTTATTGAAATGCTGTATGTAAGGTTAAAGGTAAAGGACCCCTGGATGGTTAAGTCCAGTCAAATGCAACTATGGGGTACAGCCCTCATCTCACTTCGGGCTGAGGAAGCCGGCATTTGTCTGCAGACATCTTTCCGTGCTATGTGGCCAGCATGACTAAACTGCTTCTGGTGCAATGGGACACCATGACGAGTGCCAGAGTGCATGGAAATGCCATTTACCTTCCCATCACAGTAGTACCTATTTAGCTACACGTACTGCTATGTTTTTGAACTGCTAGGTTGGCAGAAGCTGGAACAGAACAACAGGAGTTCACCCCTCGCGCGGATTCAAACTGCCAACCTTCCGATTGGCAATCCCAAGAGACTCAGTGGTTTAGACCTTGTTCAGAAACAGTGTTGATGCAGAAAAAATGTATGCCTCAGGCAGTGATGAATCTAAAACATAGTCTCCAATTCTCTAAATAGTCATCTTATACACAGATGGCATGCATACATTAGGCATTTTTTCTGGAATTAAAATAATACTTGATACTATCTTTCTCAGTCACTCTGCTACAAAACTAATAAGGTAGCAATTTTTACTGTGTTACAATCTATAGTTTTACATAGGGTTGAATAAAAATACATCAATTTACAGCAAGTTATAGTTTACTGCTAAACTTCCATCACAAGTTTCTGTATGTGTTAATATTATGAAGTTATTTTTTTATCCCTTTTAATGTTGTTACTGAGCTTTTTTGGGATGCATTTTACTGAAATCAAATTGCCAAACTAGCTGCTTACAAGGGTCAAATATATGTTGCATAGAAACTGCCTTAATATACTTTCATTCTAAAATAAAAATCTAGGCAACATTCCCAATCCTAACCCAAAATAAAATTGGCATTCATATTTGACAGCAATCGCTCTAGTAGCAGCAGTTTGAGGATTCCAATTACTGTTAAATGGTGAGCATTAATGTTACTAGACTTACTCAAATGGATCTCATTTTGATTGTATAGCACTTGCTGAGGACTGATTGCAAGAATGGCACTGAAATCATCTGCAACATTGCAAAGGAAGGGAAGACTGCCTTAGCCTTGTACCTTTGTGAATCATTCCTTATTCCACAGCTCAAAAAGGGAGAGATGTATTGCATATGGTAAATACTTTATCTCTCATAATATTCTGTTATGGTAACATAATATCTGCAGGTTGTAGATTCATATTGCTACTAAAGACTAGTAGAAGTATAACTTATAGTTGTAACTAATACATAGTCAAGATTTCACTTTTCAGAATTGCTGTTGAAGATACCCGTACAGCATGGGATATACTGCATATTCTCTCTCTCTCTCTCTCTCTCTCTCTCTCTGTGCGCGCGTCTGTGTTTATAATCCTGAGTTATATGTAAATTACTGTGTTCTTAGTAGCATAATTACTCTTTTATAAATATTTCACTTACAGAATTGCTGTTTGAGCTTCTTGCTAACAAACCACTTTCTGTTTTATAGGGAGCTGATCTTTATTTGGAGTAAACTGCAGCTTAAATCTAATCCATCAAAACAAGTATTTGTAGAGCAATGCTACCACCTCCTAAGGATAGCTACAAACATAAGAGTTATATTCCCTTTCATGAAAGTTATTAGGGATGAAGTAAGTTATTGTTTCTTGCAAACTTCTTTTTTTTAAAAAAATACTAGATTCCACCACGGCTATGAATAATTATTGTACACAGAGTACAGTTGCATAATAGAACTTTTAGTTTAAATGTCAGGAAATTGTTTATAGATGCTGCAACTGAGATAGGAGCATTGCAGACATAACTCTTAATCATAATTAATGCTAACCACTATTTTAATCCTGGTTAAGATCCAAAACATACAGTGAAATCATGGTTTAGTTTGCAGCAGAAATGTACACAGTGCCACTATTGAAACTTGTAGTTCTTTGTCTGTATAGGGACATAAGATCAAGTGGTGTTTAAACAGAAACTTTGAAGATTGTTTTTATTGCATCTAGCTTGTTAGTTTTTTGCATTCTGTAAATTTATTTGAGAAAAATGCATTTAAAAAATAATAATCTTCCAGTGTTACTTGTCTATATTGCCATTGTTACTTATGCCATCAAGTATTAATTCAATAACTTTATTATTCATTTCATTGCACTATAATGTAGGCATACTTCAATAAGATGCATACATTATATGTGCATCTGAAGATTCTGTGTTGCACCATAAGGGAAATATGTCTTTTCCTCACTTTTACATCACCATGAAAGTACAACCAGAAGTATTACTTCCTTCTAACATACAGAGGGGCAACTTGGTGCTTTCAGAGGTCTCCTTTATAAATCTGTAACAGTTGTGTGAGTATATGGGAGGCTGCTGTAGCCTCAGGCCATCAGTCTAGCTCATATCAAGGAAGACAACTTCATTGGCCCTTCCCCTGATGTAATACTCCAATTGAAGGCTTGGTATAATAGTCATGGTGTAATAGAAAACAATAACTGTTGATTAAGAACGTAACATGGCAAAAATAATACTTTGGGGCTAAACAGAAACTTTTTTTTAAACAACATATTTGGCAGGGATGTTCATGCCTGCTTCATTCAGTATATTATAATCTGTAAATAGCTGTAGAATATTATGAGATGTAGAAGGATCCCAGTAAATTGGATTGTCTTTGTGTTCTGGGTTTTGAAAACATTGGTAAGTTATATTGTCTCATTTCTTTTCCATAGGTTGGCAAAGAAGGCCTGCAGATTTGTGTAGAGATATGTGGAAGTGCTCTCCAGTTGGATCTCCGTGATGATCCAAAAATGAAGTGTCTGATATATAAAACCATTGCTCACTTTTTGCCAAATGACTTGGAGATTGTCAGAATATGTGCTCTTTCTGTCTTTTTCCTTGAGCGCACCTTGGAATCATATAGCACAGTTGAACATCTGTATAAATGTGCGGATGAAGAGTACAACGATCAAACCAGTTCTGTACAGAATCGTGTGCGTTTTGAGCTGCTTCCAATTTTGAAAAAGGGCTTGTTCTTTGATCCCGAGTTCTGGAATTTCTTGATGATCAAGCAGAACTGTTTAGCACTGCTAAAGGAGAAAGCATCTGTTGATTTGAATAAAACTACGCCAGGGCATTCTTCCGCACATGTTTCAAAGACACGTCGAGGATTGCGTGGTGATCAAGCCTGTATAGCTGATGTAAACAACACAGAACTAGAGCATGATAGCCCTTCTGGAGCACATGATAATTCCAAGAAAAACCATATAACTCTCAGCTCATCTAAAGTCGATCACAATGTACCAAGGCACCGTTGTGTGTTATGTAACAGGGAATTTCTTGGTGGTCACATTGTGAGGCATGCACAAGCTCATCAGAAAAAAGGCAGTTTTTCCTGTGTAATGTGTCGCAGGAAATTCAGGCAAAAAGGAATAATGCTCAAGCACTTAAAGAATCACATCAAGAAAATGACAAGGCGTCACCTTGCTGTTACTTGTCATGATCAGGAAACCCCTAATGTAAATGAAATAAACTGTGCCGATACAGGTGTCACAACTGAAAATGGGAAATCGGAAAGCTGCAAAGACAGCAAAGTAGAGGTTGTCATCATACCGGATACAAATCAGGAGATGCAGAATTCTGAACTCCTATTTGATATAACTGAAAATCATGATAGTTGCCAGGGTACCATTATTGAAAATGGTAGTTGTGATAGCTGTTCAAATAATACTCCTGAACCAGAAACCATGGGAGGATTTCCAGAAAGTGATAGCAACCTAAATAAAGAGTTGCCTGTTCTTCATAAAGTAAATGGTGTGTTATGCCCTCAGAATGACTTTGACATTATGGACCAAGCAGGTAACTTCAAGTGTCCTGCTAATGGCTGTATTAGAGTCTTTAAAAAGATAAGATTTCTGAATAAACATGCCCGGAAAGCTCACCCCTCTGATTTGAAGGTGCAAGAACACATAATGAAGTCTAATAAAGGAAAATGTCGCTTCTGTCAGAGAAAGTTTTTTGATTCTCAACATTTTATTGATCATCTAAAGCAGCATGTTTATCCAAATGTTTATTTTTGTTTACACTTTAACTGCAATCAGAGATTTAAGCTATCCACAGAACTTGCGGAGCATATAAAAAGCCACAGTGAGTTTAAAGCTCAGTGTAACTTTGCACAGTGCGGTAAACTTTTTGAAGATCTTTCGTTGCTGTATGAGCATGAAGCTCAACATTATTCCAACAAAACTGGTCCTTTGGAAGAAGCTGATGAAAACATTTTTTCAGATACTACTTTGGAATCCCAGTGTAGCATCCAGGAAAAAGAAAGTAGTAATAGTAAAAAGGAGACTGTAATAGACTTGCCAGTTCCAACATGGAAAGCGAGGAAAGATTCTACAGAACCAAAGACTTACATTCAGAGTGAGAAGAAAATTAATAGTGTAATTCCGAATGGGAATGAAAATGCATGTGAAGGTATTGCTACAGTGGTGAACTTGATAGACCAAAAGATACCTGCGGTAGAGCCAAATTCAGAGAACTGTAATGTTACTGACCAACTAGTCAATGGGTATGGTGAACTGGAACAGACTTCTTCAGCATCCCTAGATACTGATTCAGAAAGTATGATTGACAAAACAAGGACAGAAAATGGATCCGTTCTGCCTGTTTTACAGAACTCTCCTGATACACCACCAAACAGTGTTGCTCAGTTGCCTTCCAAACCAAATCTGATAACAGAAAATACTTCATATGGCTTAATTTTAACAAAGCCTTTTGTTAGACCATTGCCACCAAGTTACCTGGATGAGCGATACATTAGCATGCCAAAACGTAGAAAAACTTTGACTGAGAAAGTAGATACCCATTCAGAACAAGATAAAACTAGTAGCAAATTGGAAAGGTTAAGATGCAGCAAATGCCTGACCACCTACTGTAACTCAGAAGCACTTGAGCTTCACCTTGCACAAAAGAAATGTCGGACACTCTTTGGATTCGATTCAGATGATGAAAGTAAGTTTTGAAATACTAGGTCCATGTATAGTTGTAAAAGCATTAGACAAGATACAGTGGAAACAAGCATGTGCCAGACAAATATTGAAAATGAGTGCGGTACATTTAAGGAGAAATGAATCCAAAATGTTAGGGTAGATAGATGCAAGAAACAATTGAATATAAGCTGTCAGATTTAGAATATAGGCAAGCAAGTTAGTTTGAGTGATTTTTTAAAGACAGTATTCCATACTTGTTAAGTAGCTGAATTCCAGTATAAAACAAGAATAGAGAGTACCTCATTGTGTATACTGTAAACATAATAATGTAATATTTGTTCACAGGTGCCTGATCAAATGTTGTGAGAAGATTTCTCAGTGAAGAGTGATGTGGTGGAGCACTACAATATTCTGCATCAGTTGTCTTTCCCTTGTTGGCCTTAATTATAAGAAGTCTGAAGTTACTAAAGAAAATCATGATCTTGCTCACTTGGGTCAGATCTAAGTGACTGTAGGAACTGCAGAATTTGAGTCCAGAAAAACTGTGTTAAAGCCCCCAAAGTACCAGTAATCTAGAAGCCACAAGGTCCTACATGAAGTTCCGGTGTAAGTAAGTTCAAAGTGCAGTAACATACTGAGTGGGAACTAGGGAGAAACACAAGTGGTACATGCCTCTTTCAGATGTGCACAGTCAAAGGAAGCCTGTCTATATTATAACAACTATTTTGAGTCATTCTATTAAATGTCCGTATGCATAAAACCCAGTCAATTAAAAGTTCATCTGTTTGTAGAGGTTGATTATTCTTAGCATTGGCATTTGGCTTATATTGTACTGTACTTTGGAAAGAGAACTTGTGAATGTAACAGAAGATCAGAACATGGCCATATCCTGGTAAAAATGTTAAGGCATACAAAACATGGAAGCATGTCTCAATCTAATATTTCAAAACACAAGCAATTAAACTTCTTTCAAATGCACCAACTTTCCTTTTTTTTTCAATATCTGACCCATAGATGACCTCTATAAAGAATGCAGGCGAAGTGAAAAAAATTTAAGTACAGTGTTGGATACATGCAGTTTGAGGCTTAAAAGTAAATGCATATGCTATTGAAGGCAGCTGAACTTGACCTGGAATATAAAATGATTTTTTTATTCAAAGTATAGTTATTATGTTGGTACAGTTGATATCCTGAAAGACCAGTTTCCTCTATAAAGTGAGCTACTTGGTGGTTGTTTTTTAAAAAGATACATTTCCAACTTTTCTAGAGTCCCACAAGATTCAAAGTAGATTGTCAATCCTAGGAATAAAAGCACTTGGCAAAATAACTTCATTCTTGGTGAAAGAGCAGGGAATTAAACGAACATACCCATATTGTAATCAGTATAGGAATATATAATTATCTTTATGAAACAGTTGCTTTTTTCTGAAAGATTATTGAGATGTATTTCATTACAAAATTTGTGGTAAAAAGTTTAGGACTCACTGTTTCTTTAGCTAACTGAATGCCTGTAAGGACAATTCGCACTGTGCCTTGAGAGGTGAAACTTTAACCAACCTCATTCATAACATAGTATATGTAAAGACAGAGCATTCAGATTCAAAATAAGATCCAAACAAATATTTTCTTGAATAAATCAATATGCAAATTTTCATTTCATGAAAGGTCACATGTCAAGAGACTTTGCTAACCGCAGATATTTTGGAGACATTTATTTGGGTGGAGTGTATGTTTCAAAGCATTGAATGATGGTGTGTGAGTTATCACAATTTTAGGCATTTCAACTTGTTGATCAGGTTCACGTTGTTACCTCTTCTCATCCATAAAACAAGCGTATTTCAGTGTTAAAAACAAAAGTTCCATAATCAAATCTAGCCAAACCGGGGGGGGGGGGGGAGGATGGAATTATGATCTCACACAAACATGCTTGTACACTAAAACTATCATTTAGTGTATTGGACACCAAAGTATGTGTTTAACCTTTGCATGCATTTGAGGTTATTGACTTGGATCCAGATTTTTGTTGAGCCATCGGTATTACTTAATCTACACTTATTAATTGCCTTCTAAACCACCATCTCGGTGGTTTACACAGAATAATTTAAAGCAGTTAAAAACACAAAAACAGAAAATACAGTTAAGACAATACTAAAACCCTAACAAGTGGACCCTCATAGCAAAGCCCCAGCTGGGAGAGCCTGCTGGAACAAAAATGGCTTCAGCCATTTCTGGTAAGTGCAGATAGCGGGCACCTGTCATATCTCAACAGGAATGCTGTTTCACAGAAGAGGCAGCCACAATAAGAGCTCTGCTCTGAGTTAATGTGGAGCAGGCTTCTGAAATCCTTGGAACTTGTAGGAGGAACTCTAATCTACTGGCTGTATGTAAGATAAGGCAGTTTCTCAAGTAACCTGGTCCTGAGCTGTATAGGGACTTGTATGTCAATTCCAACACCTTGAACTTGGCAGAAATTGCCTACTTTTCCTTCTGCCAGTGGGAACTTTGGATCAGAGGTCTTTGAAGGAACCGTTTTGCAGAAGGCTTAGTTTGTATTCTGCCCACTGTCAAAGCTGCTCTAGACTACTAAAATAGCAAAATTCAATCCCAATATAATCCAGATTATAATAGCAGATTTCTGTTATGTATAAATTATAAAATATTACTTTGCATGGAAATAACTCTCATAGCACATTACACAAATGCCATACCTGGGTTCTCTGCTTTTTACCACTTGAGATCCAATATAACATTTTTTGTTTTGTTTCTGTGTACCCTGGCACCCGTAAGTGTTTAGTAGTTTACATTAAATGGGAGTCATTAACAAATTTTGGAATTTAACTGTGATTTAGCTGGAATCTGCTTGATACCATTACTAGATTAGTAAATATTTTTTTCCTATCATTGGAATATTAAAAGTGGAAGTTCTCATAAATGGCATTTAATTCAGTGGATTTCTGTCAAAATGAAGATAATGACCAAGGAACATAGCAAGAGTCCACAAGAGGTTGTTTTTCAACAGCTGGTAATTCAGAAGCATGTTGCCTTTGATTCTGGACGTGGTATATAGCCATCATGACTAGTGGCCATGACACTTTCAGTTTTCAATAGTATTCATATTCAGGTAGTCCTAGCCTTGTGTGTATTGGCTTTTTTATTTATTTCTAGTTACATTGCTAAATTTGAATGGAAGAGTATTAGCGCTGTTCAAAAACCTGCTTCAGTGGCATCACATTGAGTATCTTAAAAAAAATAAAATTATTATGCACTATATAATCAAGTTGCTTTAAAAGACAACTGGGTTTTGCAGTGCTTTCCCTCCAGTTTATGTGGATATTGTAGCTGTGATACTTTATCTGCTCTGCTGTTTTGTTGTTTTTTTGGATATGGACAACAATCTTGGACACCTCTTTAGTTTGAAATTGTTTATTTTCTGTAAATCACCATATATTGGGTATTCAAAATTTGGCTTCCTCAGGAATGATTTCCTTTTTGAAGTTGATGAATTATTTTCTAAAGTGTAGAAAATCAGTCAAAATAGCTGTAGGAAACATTTTGTAAAAAAGAAAAATTACCCTTCTCTTAAATGTTTACTTTGCCTGTTGTATCAAACCATTTTAAAAAGAAATTTTTAAAATGAATATACCATTACTTTTCAGTTATTATCTGATCTCTTTGCTATGCCACCACACAAATGCTTTGGATATGTTTTAGTACTAGGACAGCATGCCATTGCATTGCAAAAAGGACGGGTCTGCTGGCAGGTATCTGAATATTTGGGATTTCAGGCACCTTAAAACAGGAATGCTTAAAAATCAAGATTGCAAACCCAATCCGTGTGGCTTCTAAAGAATAAGCTTACCGTAAACAGTGGCCAGAATCTAGCAAACCCACTAACTGCAAAATGCTGAGAGAGCAAGAGAGCTCAGGATAACTTTCTGATTTAGGGCTCAGGTTACAAAACCCAATCTTAGGTTTTGGCTGTTTGTAGGCTGCCGCTGTTAAACTCAATACAGGGAATGGGAAACTTCAACCAACCAACCACCTGCATGCCCCTGGTGAACTTCTTGATTGTTCTGGGAAATAATTGGGATCCCTTTTCTTGTTAACATAGAACCAGCTTTAGATGTACAAAGACTGAAGCTGCCGGGACCATATGGGGAGGATTCCCCCCCACCCTCCATGACCCTGTTCAGTCTTCCTTGTTTCAGATTTTTGGCCCAAGGTTTGTTGGATAGTGGAGATTTGCTAATTCAGATAACGCAGTGATAAAGTTATTGAGATGCAACCCCCTAGGGGCAAATATTTGAACTTTGTGTGCTTAAAACTGTTACATATGGATAGTCTGCATTCTAAGTAACTTAAATAAGAAAAACCATCGAACAATTATTAATGGATGGTGTTCCATCTGTCTGTTTGTCCGCAGGACTGTATTTCTCCAGCTGTTAATGCCCCCCGCCTCCAAAAGGGACAGCACAATAGATAGTTGTTGTGAAGGGTTTACCCAGAGAAATGTGCTGTGACAGGTGTTAGTCCCTTTCCATCTCTACCTTACCCTAATGTCAAGAGAAAAAGAATGCCCACAGCCATGGAAGTGTTACTGAACTCATGACTATCTTCTTGTCTTAAGATTTAAAGGCTAGAAAACATCACAGTGCCGTGTGTTCTATGTTTCACCAGCTGGTGGCAATATTGGCAATCTCCGCTTGCCCCAATTAGGGTGACAAATACAGATTTCATGGCTGACCATGTTTTCTAATTGAATGCCCAGTATCTAACTATGCTATCATATGGGAAAACTCTATTATTTTCAAGCATTTTTGTTTATTCTGACCCTCAGTTACATATCTGATTATCAGTTGTTCTTTATTTTTTAGAATAACTCTTAGTGCCTAAAAGGGTTCTAAACAATACCCAACTGTTGGCTGTGTTTTCCAGATCAGTTTCTTTAGGATTTGAAATACACTTAAAAAGGATGTTCACAGGTTTGTTACTATATAAATTTGGTTCATTTTAAAGGATATGTAAAAATCTAATTGTATTATTTTCTGGGTAACCTTCCTCTACAACCAGTTTTCTAGAAAAAGTTGGAAATAGGATATCTGTGGGAAAGGTCACTGGTACTTTGGTTATTTAGCCATATTCGTTAAACATCTATAAATTGTATAGTTCGGATCATGTATAACAAGAAGGTTCGGCGATACTCTTTGTTTAACACCAAGGGGTAGGATGAAACACTTAAAAGGGGTGTTTTTTTATTTATTTTGTACTGTATAACACTTTGATTAAATGCAGTGTGTGCATTTTGAGACTCTTACTTTGTAAAAGCTATTACAGATTCACCAAGAAAGGAAATTTGTGCTTCCTTCTTGAATGTTAAATTATTTTATTTTGCATTTTATATGAATACAAATTAAAACTGAGCCATCAAACTGCAATAAATCAACAGTAGTGTTTCCATTTTAAACTTTTTGTATTGTAAATAGAACTGTTCAATAAAATATTGTCTGTTATTAAAGATGATTTTTATGGTGTCTGGGATTCTACCTAGGAAATATTTGACAAGTAGATACATCATTGCTTTACAACTTCTAGACTACACAACATTACATTTTGTATAGCAGCCATACAAAGCAAATGATTAAGGCCATCAAGCAAATGATACTGCTAAAGTAAATATGGTCTAATATGCCAAGTGGCAATGGAACACAGTGACAAAGTTGAAACATTGCAGAGTTAAGCTGGCTTTTCTTAGTTGATCAGGGTTTGGCCAGGTTTGAAAACTCCCTTGGCAATAGACTCAAAAGCATGGGGAAATATTAAAGTAACAGGGCATGCAAATAGTTAACCTTTTTTATATTCTACGATTTCCATTTAAATATTTACCCACAGAGCCACCCATGTTTGTTATGGCTGCTTTTTTGCCACTACCAACATCTTTGCAGATCAGCTAAGGTTTCTGACTCCCAAATATTTAACAGTAGCTAAAATGAAGACGGTTAACAATGTGTGGACTTTAGTGCGATTTCAGTTCAGGTAAAGACAAGTGCCTCAGATACATTCTATTTTGATTGTTATCTGCATTTTTCCACCTTGCTCTGGGTGGGAGATTTTGGGGTTCTAGTAAAGTAGACCCAGCAATCCTGAAGCCTGCCAACCCCCGCTTTGTACTACCGAAGTGGCACCATCTAGGCACAAGAGGGAGAGGTTTTCGTAGGTTTGGAGGAGCCCAACCTTTTAAGAAGTACAGTACAGGATACTCCTGGGGAAACTAAAACTTAAAAAAAAAAAAAAGCCCAGTGAAGCCTCAGCAAGTTACGGGGTGGGGGGATGAATGAAGGATCCTAGAAAAAGGCATGGCTGGAAGCCTAAATGCTGCCACATATTGAGTTGTTTTGCGGGATTTTATGATTAGAGAAGTTTTTTTATATATTTGATGCTCCTAATATTTCGTTGGGAGCCGCCCAGAGTGGCTGGGAAATAATAATAATAATAATAATAATAAATGTGTTTTGCTGGCCGCACTAGCACTGGGCCTAGAGAGCAGCCTTTTCCCTCAGCGCCCTTTCGTTGCGTATCACAGCAGACAGGCGGCAGCCACTCTCTTCCAACGGCCAAAACTTGGCTAAGGTATACTTGGGGAGATCCCCCTTATTAGATGAGGCCTCAGAAGACAACGGAACCAATGCAGCCCCCTCCGCGTTCCAAGCCGAACCCGTTCAGGCCGCGCTCGCGTCGAGGGGGCGGGGCCGGAGGCTGTTCGCAGCAACACCCGAGCGGCGGAAGCACGTTGACCCTTGAGCCTGTCGGTTGCCAAGGTTTCCTGTGGCGGGGGGGGAAGAGGGGGGGCGCTGGCGGCTTCGGGGGGGGGGGTCTCTGCCTGCGCTCCTCACCTCGTGCCACCAAGAGGCGACGCCGCCGCCGCCGCCGGCCGCCACCACCACCATGGCTTCGGCCTGGGCGGGGTTGACTGAGCGCGAGCGGGACGGCTGCCGGGAGCTCCTGGATCTTCTCCACACGGACGACCTGCTGTCGCTGACGGACACGGTGACTAACCGCCTCGTGCGGCCGGACGACCGCCAAGGTATTGGGGCGGGGGGGGGGGAGTACGCGGAAGGGGTCTGCGGACTTCAAGAGGGGTGGGGGGGAGTAGAAGTGGAGCCTTGTGGGTCTCACTCCGGAGCGGACTCTCATCTTCTAGCTTAGTCAATGCAGAGACTGGGGCCAGAAATGGGCGAAAGCGGGGCGGAGACCTTGAGTCCCTGTCAGGGGGAAAAGGCGAGGTTTCAGTAAACAAACAATAACAATAATCGCTTTTTCGAACATAAGCGCCTGTAGAGAGCCTCGAGGGGAAATGTTCGAACCGAATGGAAAAACAATAATACTGCATATTTTTGGTATTTGTAAGAGACCGGGGGGGGGGGGAGAGGATGGGGACAATAATGAACGATCGGGTTAGTATTTTGGAGTTTGTTTTTAAGCTACTTCATTTCTCTCCACACACACATCGTCCTAACTTTGTTTTTTAAAAAACACACCGTCAGCGATTTGAAAACAAGTGCAGATATTTGTATGCTGTTTTGTGACAGTAGGTCTTCGGGTTGTAGGAACGAAACTGATAATCTGCTCCAAGTGTGACTTAACTCTTTGGCTCATAGAACTGCAGAGAAAACAGCAGGCAGAGTTCGCTTAGCAAGTCTTTGGACTTCAGGAGCTGTGTTGTCGTTGTGCACTGTTTTAAGGGGGCACAGTTGCAAAAGAATGTATTTGGAAGGGGGGGGTCCTTAAACTTCATTAACTGAAATCCGTAATCTTTTTTAATCCTTAACAAATCCATCTGAAGATTCTAGCTGACAGGAACAGCCTGCTCTCTTGGCCCAGAGTTTGTCACCCGTCCGGCTTCCAGATCTGATTGAAGAGGTTTATATTTGTAAGCCATTCCAGGAGCCTTTTTCACTAACATTTAGTGGGTGTTAGAAATAAATTTGTTTGGCCAGAAAATATGTCCAGACAAAAATGCATGCTGTCATGTTAGCTATAATTTTTTGTTTTGTTTTGTAAAATAGGGATTTTTATGATCTTCTGACAGCGTATGTTTGTTAAAGACTATTTGCCAGTTAAATATGATACTGGCATATTAAATTCATGTGTCTTTGATGAGACCAAAATAAAGAAGTACTTTATATTGCTAATATGCCTTTAAAAATAGCTTGCAGTTTGGGTCTTTTACTATTATTTTAACTGTGTCCAGATATAAGGGAGCCATTATGAGAAAATCGCTTTGTGTTGTTTCCTATTGTTACTTGGCTGGTGATTTCATACAGCTGCATGAGTAGTAGTGTCATATGATAAAAAGTAATGCTTATTTGTAGGTAGATAGAAGTTGAAGTATGTGGTTACTTTGTGGAGTTAGTAGTGGTCATGGCTTCTGCAGCCCCACAGGTGGGACACTGAAAAAAATTAGGGGAGCTTCTAAAAGTTTTCGAAGCCTGTTCTTGCCATTGAGAAGGAGGCATTAGTGACTCAGTGTCGTGAGTCAAGAGGCAGCTTCCATTCTGCTTGGTTGTCTTCTGACCACCAGGACAGTGGCAGCTCTGCCTCTCCAATCCTCAAGTGGTATTGAACACTAGTCCTACTCATAGTAGATCCATTGAAGTCAATGGACATTAATTTCAGTGGGTCAACTCTGAGTAAGAATTGGTAGGATACAGCCCATTGTTTGCAACTAAAAGAAAGTGTGTTCAACTGATCTGCCCTTGCCTCTTCCGTCCCTGTCTGAATTTAGTTTGTACGTATGTGGATTCTTGGCATAGGGGCTTCTTTGTGTTGCTGCCTATTGTTACATAACCAATATTTTCATACAGCTGCACATCTACCACATAACACAAATGCCCCAACTAATACCATACCATGTACATGTGCAGTCACAGTACTATAAAAAGGAATTGCAGCTGTGTGTACATACATAATTTAAAATACAGTGATCTAGTGATGATTTTTTTACCTGGTGAAGAAATGGTTCTAAGACTCACTCTTACCAGGGAGCATTTAAAACCTCTGTAATTCTTAGTGTTGTATCCAGTGGACTTCTGCTTATGTAACAGAACTTAATTTTTTAAAGCTTCCTGAATGTTCTTTTAAATTGCTCTGGAGGGTTGGGCCTTCTGAAGACCAATTTTGAGGGCAGTTGCTGGACTATGGTAGAATCATAGAATCATAGAATTATAGAGTTGGAAGAGACCACAAGGGCCATCGAGTCCAACCCCCTGCCAAGCAGGAAACACCATCAGAGCACTCCTGACATATGGTTGTCAAGCCTCTGCTTAAAGACCTCCAAAGAAGGAGACTCCACCACACTCCTTGGCAGCAAATTCCACTGTCAAACAGCTCTTACTGTCAGGAAGTTCTTCCTAATGTTTAGGTGGAATCTTCTTTCTTGTAGTTTGGATCCATTGCTCCGTGTCCGCTTCTCTGGAGCAGCAGAAAACAACCTTTCTCCCTCCTCTATGTGACATCCTTTTATATATTTGAACATGGCTATCATATCACCCCTTAACCTCCTCTTCTCCAAGCTAAACATGCCCAGCTCCCTTAGGCGTTCCTCATAAGGCATCGTTTCCAGGCCTTTGACCATTTTGGTTGCCCTCCTCTGGACACGTTCCAGTTTGTCAGTGTCCTTCTTGAACTGTGGTGCCCAGAACTGGACTCAGTACTCCAGGTGAGGTCTGACCAGAGCAGAATACAGTGGCACTATTATTTCCCTTGATCTAGATGCTATACTCCTATTGATGCAGCCCAGGATTGCATTGGCTTTTTTAGCTGCTGCGTCACACTGTTGGCTCATGTCAAGTTTGTGGTCAACCAAGACTCCTAGATCCTTTTCACATGTACTGCTCTCAAGCCAGGGAAGCAGAAGAAAGGGAAGCAGAAGAAAGTGAAGTCCCATTGTGTGAACAGAAGCCAGCTTCCACAACATTGGGTTCTTTGCTTACTCAGCAGTGATCAAATAAATGTGATTGCAGCAATAATTTATAATAAAGAACTGAGCCTACAGAAAGATGATACCAATGAAGGTGTTCAATTTAAGTTTAGCACTTTGTTCTGCCTATAAACTAGAATGCTTGTAGAACACTAGAATCCTATGTTGTGTTTTAATTGTGAGATGTGTTATGTTTTTGGGAAAAAAGAAATCCTACACGAACTTGTCAGTATTCTACTATTCTGAGCATCTGACTAGATTGTCCAACTTTCATCTCTTCCCATCTTCCATCAGTACCTAGGGGAAAGGCTACTCTGCTTTGGAACACAGTGAAGTAAAGTTATAGCTCCAAGTGGGAGGTGGGAATTAAAATAAAAACATTTATGTGCTTATCTGAGAAGGTATTTGGGGAGTACATAGCCGGCTTTTTAGTACTTATAGCCTTTGGAAGGTGCTCTGATTCAGTTTAAAATTTAGGAAGCCAAACTAAAGAAAGTTATAAGACTTTAAATAAATTAAATATTTGAAGTGTAAATGGTAGAGGTTTGCTGTGAGCACAAGTTGCACCTTAAATTTGTAGCATTTGGAAGCAACTCAAAACTGTTTTGGATCCACTCATTTCCTTCTCTAGTTTTTTGGTGATCCAATGACTTTGGGAGAAGGAGAGCTTTCCTGCTAGGTGATTTATTTTATCTTTGTTATACTGGCAAAGGCATTTTTTCTGACCCCTCCACCACCTCCTTCCTAGAAGTACACTCTGTGAAATAAGAGACAACACTATGATTTTTTATTGTTAGGAAAAGAATGGTTGGGAAATAAGTCTAACTCCATCGCTTATGCCCTGCTTTCACATCCAGAATGATGACCTAAGTAAAGAAAACCATTCCTCTCTCAAATCACTGTGACTGGAGTACACCAGGGGTGTCCAAACTTTTTTCAAAGTGGGCGAGATTTGATGAAGTGAACATGCATGAGGGCCAACCAAAGCTTTTTTTACAAGTTTACCCTACAATGGTTGAACTTTGTTTAGGATTGAAATTGATGAGTTTTTAAAAAAAGATTTTACCCCAGAACATATACTGCCATGGGGGCTGGATTAAATCGACTGGCGGGCTGGATTAGGCCCCCGAAATGGACTTTGGACATGCCTGGAGCACACTGAGAAAATTATCTACTGTGATTAAATGCTAGTCCTGTCAGTCAAAATGAAATATTATTCCACCTCCCCTCCCCTCTCCTTTGCGCATACACACCCTTTTAAATTCTGGGCATTTCCCCACTCAGCTTGGATTTGTATCTCAAAAGAAAAGTGAGGGATGTGTGTTTAATTTTATGGAAAAACACAGGCAACACTTACAAGTTTGGTGATTCCCTGTTTGCCCTTGATACACTTTGTTAAGCAGGCAGTCCAAGTTGGAAACATCAAAGTCTTCCTGAATCACCCCAATATGCATCATTATTTGAGGTATACAGAGAGCTGATGCATATTCCTAGTAAATATGGGGGGAAATAACATGTTGCATATATTGATCCTTGTAGTTGAACATATTTAGGCAGACTTAATTACAATAAGGATTATTCTGTTTTGATTGGTGAATAATTCTTGATTGAAACATGCATTTCCAATGGATCTCTTAGTGGCTGTCAATGGCAAGCTGAAGGGTTGTCGCTATGTAGCAGAGCAGCTGCTTTGCATGCAGAAGATCCCAGGTTCAGGCCCCAGCGTCTCCAGGTGGGATAGGGAAAGACCCAGTCTGAAACCCTGGAGAGCTGCTGCTAGTCAGTGTAAATAATACTGAGCAAGATGGAGGAATGATCTGACCCAATATAAGGCAACTAGCTTCCTATGGCACATGGAACTTGTTTTCTTGCCAACCAACATGTGACTTAATTACATTGGACCATGAACCTGCGTGGAAAAATATGTTTTAAATAGCAGTTGCCACTGAAGACAGGCTCAACAATATTTAGGCCTCTGTCTTCAGCAAGAACCTTGCTGCCTTTTACCCATCAGAGTAAAGTTTCTTTGGCTTGGGAGAAGGGTATGAGGGAAGGAACACCAGTGGCAAAATTTGGCGTTTTTGAGAGACATAATAGCTCAAAAGGACCTTTTAACGGTTCTCAAGTGATTAAGACCAACACTCAAGTTCCAGCTTTCTTTTGCAGAATGATAATTGGATTCAAGGAACACGCCTGTTTCTGATTTTATTTTCAGAAGCCATAAATGCCATCGTATTGTACAGTCAAAGTGCTGAAGAGCTGCTGAAGAGAAAGAAGGTATTTCGAGAGGTAATCTTCAAGTATTTGGCAGCAAAAGGTGTCGTAGTGCCACCTTCTTCTGAAAAACACCAACTTGTTGATCGTGCAAAGGAGTACTGGTGTGAACAGCTAAAAGATAATGGCTCAGAAGAAATCTATACTGAGCCTGATGTACAGGTGAGGTTTATTGTACATGTTTTATAAATTCAAAGCATTCTTTTTGGAAATTAGTTGCTTGTTCATGCTTTAATAAGTTGTTCACATTTGTCTTCTATGGAGGAGCAGGGGGCATATTCTTTCTGTTAGAAGTGTATCATGTGACAGCGTTTTTGTGCAACATAAGCATCGGACCTTCCTGTCTGTTCCTCACATGCTTTGAAGATAGTAGAATAACAGGTGTCTAAATGAGAGAGGGTTCTGTGAGTGATTCCTACAGAAAGCAGGCCGATTTTGGAAGCCATATTCAGCACAACTGTTCTTTAGAGCAGAGATGGGGAACCTCTGACCATCTAGATGTTTGAGTCAAACCCCTTTCATTCTCTGCAAGCTCCTACACATTTTTGAGGTGAGGCAACCAGAACCATAAACAGTATTCCAAATGCACTCATGCCATAGATTTGCATCATGGCATTATTATATCAGCAGTTTTATTTTCAGTTCCTTCCTAATGATCCTTAGCATGGAATTTGATAAGAATTTACCTTTCTCACAGCTGCCGCACACTGGATCAGCATCTTCATTGAACTACCCAGAACTACTCCCAGGTTTTGTTCCAGGGTAGTCACTGCCAGTTCAGGCCCCATGAGTGTATATGTGAAATTAAGATGCATCCGTTTTCACTTGTTTATATTGATTTGCATTTGCCATTTTCCTGCTCATTCACTCAGTTTGGAGAGTACTATGTGTACATCTGATTTCCCCCTACTTCTTTTGCTGACTTGAACATGGGGGAGGAGAGGAAGTAGAAGTCCTATTGTGTGAAATCCACTTCAGCATTTCATAGAACCCATGACTAATGAATGGTTCCTGTTTCCACAAAACAGAAATCTACAGAGGTTTTTTTCTGCCTAATAAAGTGGATCCAAGTAAGCTGTCTATTCCACACATCTTTAGACAGCCCCTTCATTTGGTATGCATAGTTCTGAACATTTTCAAAGCAGAAATTATGGCTGCATTAATTGTTGCATTCCATGTTAGTTGTAGTCGTAGGGTCCATTTCAACTTTGCTGAACAGTACCATGTGGAAAGGAATAAGTACATTTTGTTACTGCTTAAAAGTAAAAGTCCCTACTTTGTTTTTCAGAAACCTGAAGAGGGAGGGAAGGAAGGAGGAGACAAGCAAGATCACAGCAAAGATTGCCACAGTCTGGGAGAGGAGTTTTGCCAGTGGTTCTTTGGAATTCTGAACTCTCAGAACCCGTTGGTTGGAGAACCACATGATGAATGGGGACCACAACATTTTTGGGATGATGTAATCCTAAAGTTTTGCTATAACACTTCAGAACAAAACATGGAAGAGTACTTGGGTGCAGAATTGGTTAGCCTTCGTTTACTGTCATTGGTGAAAGAAGAATACCTCTTCCTGAACCCGAACTTGGACGCTGGTGGGCTGAAGTGGACAGTTTCACGACATGGCTTAGTTGTGGTGGCAGTAGCAGGCACAGTTCATAGAAATACTTCTTGCTTGGGCATCTTTGAACAAATCTTTGGACTCATCCGATGCCCCTTTAGGGAGAATACGTGGAAAATCAAGTTTGTGAACCTAAAGATTGTTGGTCAGAATGCCATGGAACCTGGGACCCGCTTAGAAAGACCTTGCATAAAATATGAGCAGGAAGAACTCCAGGAATTCTATGTTTCCAATGATCTTTCCTTGGTTGAGTCTCAAAAATCCTGAGCATTCTGTGTGCAGAATGAAGTAGAACAGTTTGTGGGCCCAGAAAATACAACACATGAGCATACTTGAGCATTCAAGTAAGTTGTTTGCTTCTATTTCTTGAGTTAGACTTTCTGGTTGGATGACAAGCCAAAGTACCGCCTAAACAACTAGTGCTAATTGGGTTGACACCTAGTGCTGGTTGGGCTGACTCAGGTTCCCTAAAGTTACAGTCTGGCACCCTGAAGAGAAAGGAGGAATGGTGAGCAGATGCTTACCTTCTCTCCCTTCTGCTACTGTTCTCTCTCCTGCCCTTGCTTTCCCCCACTGTGAGACACGGGGAAGCAAGCAGAAAGAAGCAAGCACAAATGAGAAGGCTGCAAAACGGGGAAAGACGCATCATCATCATCTTGTCTACCTGTGGCTTCGTCACCTTCTCCTTGGGGTAGCAGTGGGGGGGGGGTAAGGGATATGTGTGGATCAAGACCACCATATTGCCAAAGATTACTTAACAGTCACTGGATCTGTGAAGGTGTCTTCTCTTAGAGTAGTTCTTTCACATTAAAGAAGCCCTAACAATGATGGAGCCAACATTAGTGTGCTACTGTTAGTTGGAAAATTACATTTCTCTTGGGTTCTTTTTGTAATTTGCACTTGTCATTTAATATTTTTTGTGTAAAAGAAACAATGTAAGAATTAAAGCTGCTGTTGATCTCAATGCAATTACTATTTACTAGGTATATAAAAAAAGGTTAATTAAAGAAATGTTTATAAGAATTTCATGAATCTCAGGGTTGTATAGTGCAATGTATTTAATTTTTTAATTTGCAGACATTTATGACTTGATTAAGCTAGACACAATTTAGAAGCTGTATAGTACAACTATGCTTAGTCTTACATCTAAAATTATAGCTACAGTGTTTAAGAAATTTCCATTGATAAGCCTTAAAAACAGACTAATTTCACTTTTCTATAATTGTGAAATATTTTAAATCTATCCCACTACACAGTTCATTGTGTCTGATTCTTTGTATGGCATTATAGATACTAAGGATGAGCAGCTATAAAATTCAGAAAATGTGGTTCTGATTTGGGTCAATTATATCAAACTACTTTTGATACAATTATATCAAACTACTTACTGTCTGACAGTAAGAGCTGTTTGACAGTGGAATTTGCTGCCAAGGAGTGTGGTGGAGTCTCCTTCTTTGGAGGTCTTTAAGCAGAGGCTTGACAACCATATGTCAGGAGTGCTCTGATGGTGTTTCCTGCTTGGCAGGGGGTTGGACTCGATGGCCCTTGTGGTCTCTTCCAACTCTATGATTCTATGATTCTATGATTCTACTTTTTATTTATTTATTTTAATCCAGTACAGGCTCCAGTTCTGAAACTTAACTGGATGATATCCAACATTAGCCATATGTAGAACAGACCCATTTAAATCAGTGGACTTAAGTGGTTCTGCTCTGAGTGTGTCTGAGATTAGTTGAAATTTTTACGGAAAATTATTGGGGGTTACAATTCTGAGTTTCAAGTTTGCAATGCACCTTTAATACTTGTATTCTTGTTAAAATGAACTATTTTTATATAAAAACGAGTGAATGGCAGCATTTGAAAATCCTAAAGTTCTTGAAATCTTCAAGACTATTTTTGAAATTACACATCAAAGACTTTTTTGTATTACTTTGCCTTTGGCAAAAAGGTGGAGGAGCTCCTTTCCAAGCAAAACAAACAACCAAAAAACCTGACAGCTATCCTGGAAACAGAATGCCACCTGTATGTACAACTATAAAAAACAAGATGCTTGCTAAAAAGGACAGACGTTTCATTTTGTGAAAATGTTTTGTAAGGTCATTCAATATGCAGTCTTGTCTTGATATCAGTACAATGCAGTCAGCTTCCATTAATGTTTCACTGTAGGTGTGGGGAACTTTTGTCCCTCCAGATGCTGCTGAAGTGCTACTCCAGTCAGCCCTAGCCAGAATGCCCATTGGCCAAGGATGTTGGGAGCTATAATTCAGCAACACCTGAAGAATCAAAGGTTGCCCACACCTGTTCTATGGGCTGTTGCTTCTTCTTTGCCTTTAACAACAGGTCGTGTTAGCAGGTAGTCACATTGGCCGCCATGTTTTCCAGTCACCCTTGCTGCTACTGATCCAGGTTTAAGTTTATTGTATTGATTTACAAAGCCCAGAATAACTTGGGTCCAGGATATATCTCGGGGATTGCCTTAACCCTTTATAATCCAGCTTGATCACTAAGATCATCTGCACGAGCATCTTTGGTCATTTCCTGAGTTGGTGAGGCTCATTTGATATCAACAAGAAACCAAGCCTTCAGGGCCATCGGCCCAGGCCTATGCAACATCCTGCCAATAGAGATTCAGCCGGGCATGTTCTGTGCCAACTTTTAAACACATGCTGAAAACTTTTGGGACAGACCTATGCAAACAATTAAGAGTGCATTCACCACAATCGTCTATTGATGTTTATTTTTAATTTATTTTTGCTTTTGTTTTTAACTTGTAAAGTGATAAGCTTTACTTTTTTATACTGTTAAAAACTGCTGTAATATATTTTTAATGATACAGCAGTATATAAATATTTGTATAAATAAACAATAAATAAAGTGAAAACAAAGAACCACACGGCTATAATCGCCAATATACCTACAAGCTTTTCTCAGCTGACACTAGAAATTTCTGCAGAATTTTGAAATTCCTGTTTTGCCAGCAAGGCACATAAGACACCCTCCAGTTGGTGCAAAGAGTTGCAGACCAGCCGGTATAGAGTGAAATCCAGTGCATAATTCACCTACAGAACAGAAAGCAAAATCCTTGTGAGAGGTGAGGGCCGATTGTATATAACTTTGCTGTACTGCATGCTCAAGACATCATGAGTTTAGTGCCATCTGGAAGTGTGTGTGTGTGTTGGATTTGAACATCTCTCCTTTTTGTTATTTAAAGAGATTTCTTTTTTCATTGACACGGGGGTGGGCAACCATTGTACCATGGTTAAAATTTGGTAGAGGTGGCCAGGTCCGGATAAAAATGGCTAGAGGTTGGATCTAGCCCATGGGCTATATGCTGGGGATTGCTGGATTAAGCAGAATTTCACCACTGCACACTTCCTTGATGCCTCATCAGTAACGCAAAGGCTGGATATTTCCTTTGGCTGAATTACCTCTATCAGATAGAGCAGTTGGAGACGATCAACCTGCCATTGATAAAGATCTGAACCCGTCCTTGCTTTTTTCAAGATCTGCTCCTCTCTCAAGCTGGTCAATAATGTCAAGCTGTGATTTATTTTTTTAAGGGAGAAAATAAAACCTGTATTGTTGCTGGGGTCATGCAGGAAAATGTTATCCATGACAGCTGTCAGGAAGAGAGAGAGAGAGTTGGCTGGCTGGCAACAGAATTTCAACTGACTTGTTAACAAACACATTTCTGAGAGTCAGGATCCCTGTAGGCTTAGGAGCTCAGGAAGGAATATAGAGCACTGTTCTGGCAAAAGAATACCTCTCTCTTCACCTGACTGCAAATCTTAACAATCATGTTGAGAGTGAGATTGAAAGAGGAATTGCTTGCTTTCAGCACCTGTCTCTCTGCCTTTACATCATCTCCAAGTAAGTTATTTATTTTGCTGCTTAAAGAATGATGCAATAATCGTAACAAATCAATTTCATTAAGGTAGCAGGAAATATTTCCTGAAGAGTAATTCAATTTCGTCTACCGCCAGACTTGGAACAGGTTCACACATACACATACATCCCTTGATCATCAGATTACTTGACGTTTGGCCAAATGTGTGAATTACCTCTGCTGAAAAGTGTTTATCCATCACCACCATGTTAATAAGTGATTGCTCATTAAGTACATCAGAAGCAGGGAACCCAACGGGAAGATGGCTGGAATGTCAGTTGCTACCAAAGGAGTGACAGAACTTCTAAAGGTCGGTTGCACAGAAGCAGCATACATTTCTTTGTATGTGTCTCCATTGTAGAAAGTGCAGCAGGGAGAATTGGTTGGGATGGCTACATCCAAAAATGTCTTAGTCCCCCCACCCCCGAAAGTAGATAGTGAGCACCTGTAGTATCTCAACAGGAGCACTGTTTCACAGACTTGGGGCTGCTGTACTGAAAAGTCTGCTCCGAATCATTTTTCTAAACATTGTGACTTGAGACACTCGTCTTAACTGATAAAAAGTAGTGTGTGCCATAGATGTCAGTTTGGCTTCAAGTTATAGCAAAGATCCATGAGCCCCTCCATACTGCAAACCTGATACTTTAGGGCAGTGTTTTTCAACCTTTTTTGGGCAAAGGCACAGTTGTTTCATGAAAAAAATCACGAGGCACACCACCATTAGAAAATGTTAAAAAAATTAACTCTGTGCCTATATTGACTATATATAAAGTAATTCTCTTGAATAGGAATCAAATAAACACAAAGTATTTTATAATTACTTTATTATGAAATAGTAAGTAAACAGAAATATGAAAAATTATAAAATACTTTATTCAGTGCGCAACCTGGGCCTGTTTGGCTGAACACAAAGCTGATATTCTGGCTGGAATCGAAGAAAGACACACACGTAGCTCTTCGTCAACAGCTCTCAGTCTCTCTCTGTATTTAGTTTTTATAGCAATCATGCTTGAAAAGCTCATCTCACACAGATATGTAGTGGAAAATGGGAGCAATGTCAAAATAGCTTTGTTTGCCAGAAGGGGGAACTCCTTGGCAGTATCCAACCAAAAACTGTCCAAAGGTAGATCAGCAAATCTTAGCTTGAAACCACGATTTTGTCTCAGTTCAGTTAGTTCCTCCTGCTCCTGTAAAGTCATGTTCTTTCCACCAAATGATGCTGAGCTATAAGGGTCCCTAACCCAGTCAAGGCATTCAGTGGAGACTGAAGAGAAATAAAATGACAACTTCTCCGGTCCTCCTGGTGACTCGAGTCGCGACGTCTTCTCTCCGCTGCTGTGCACACTGTGCTCGGGCGGGAAGGAAGTCAGAAGATGATGTCCTACTGTGATAGGTCCAGGCTGGAGTCTGGACTAATCACAGCCTGGACATCAGAAAAGTGGAGGGTGTGCCCCTGAGGAGCGCCAATTGGCGCCCCTGCTGGCCGAGGGTGGGGTCAAAAACCCCACCCCCCCATACCCAGGACACAGTCCGGCGCCCGCCTAGTGGGCAAAAATTATTTTTTTAAAAAAATCTTTCTCATTTTTCAATTTTTCCCACGGCACACCAGGCAACATCTCGCAGCACACTAGTGTGCCGCGGAACAGTGGTTGAAAAACACTGCTTTAGGGGCAATCTTTTTTCTGTTGAGGGGCCACATGCTTGTGGTAGATGGAGCCAGAGCCGTGAACAAAGGGGTTATTGCAAGTTTGGTGAGGGTTTAGGCTGCATGATGCCTGAGCTCCTAATTCCTGGATACAGCAAGGGCTAACATCTAATGGGGAATCCCACTGTTGAATTAACCAGGCAAGGCCCATAATGGTCCCTAAATAGTGTAAGAAAGAAAGAAGCTTTGTGCCAGATGGCAAATGGTTGAGCCCTCTGCCTCACCTGCCTGGTAGTGTGAAGGCCAATAGCCAGAAAGTGGCTCCTGGAAAGACCAGAGCCCTTTGTTTGTTTGAAGAACAAACCCATTCCCTTTTTTTTCATTTCCCCATGGTGCTTCTCCTCAAGAATAGCATTTTAAGCAACATACTTGTCAACCACAACAGTGAAACATACGTGTCACTTTCTTCTTTAAGTTGTTCTCTCCTTGTAGTTCATCAACATTATTTATTACTTGTCCAGATTTCTAGTAGAGTATTCATTCTTTTAGCAATTTGCATTATTTATTGAAATGGCTTGCTCCTACGTGACATCATTTGTAGCAATTATGGGGTTTGGCATAATAGCTACGTGATGCCTCAGATGTCGCGTGGAAATGAATGATGACAAAATCCTGTCCCGGTGGTTAACACTGATGTATTGCTGTGAACTTTAAGATCTCTAATACATTTGATTTTTCCTCATGTTTTCATAATGCTTCAGCATAGAAAGCGACTTTTGGGCTTAGGTCATATTCAAGTCATAGCATAATGTCTGGCACTTATCTGACATGTGTCTCTGTAGTCCTGTAATTCCAAAGGTGAATTGCTATCAAGTTTCTCCAATAGTTACTAAATTAAAATATAGAGAACAATAACGAGTCTGTAGCTGATATGAGTAGAACCATTCTGCCTCTTTAAGTCTGATCTTGTGAGCAGCATTCACTGTTCTGCCATCATTGATATGAGATTCTGATCACTGAACTGAGATCCCCTGGATAGGGGTTCCTGAATAGGGGTGGGGAAGAAATTTGATTCAGTTCACATTGAAAGGAGAAGCTGCCTAAAATCACACTGTCCAAACAATAAGAAAACTGAAACACAGCCATCCTTCAACATTCAGATTCCTCCAAATCTTTCAGTGTAGTTCTCTAGCCAAGTATTGTGTCCAAAAATGCATATACTGAGATAAGATGTGCATCATAATGCACATATTAGTGAACATGGCGTACAAATATGCTTTAGATTATGGGAAACTGCTTCGCAAAATGCAAACCTTAAGGAAGATTGCTTACAAATGTACATATTGGAAATTCACACTGAAATGCTGATATATTTTTATGAGAATTTATTTTTAATCACAAGCTGATGTGAAAATGTAGAGAACTGAAGATCAGAAAATGAGAACCTGAGAGAAAATGAGAACCCCAGTGACCTCTAGGGGACAAGGCCTTTTCCAGTTTCAGTTTACAGTTTAAACTGAAAACTTAATAAAAAATATTCAAATAAAAGGCCTTTTCCAAATCTAGTACAGTAGTACCTCGGGTTATAGACGCTTCAGGTTACAGACTCCGCTAACCCAGAAATAGTACCTCAGGTTAAGAACTTTGCTTCAGGATGAGAACAGAAATTGTGTGGCGGCGGCAACAGGAGGCCCCATTAGCTAAAGTAGTTAAGAGCAGTTTCAGGTTAAGAACGTACCTCCAGAACGAATTACGTAAATTCTTAACCTGAAGTACCACTGTAGTGTGCTGGGGATTCAGCTAGGGAATAGTTTGCATCAGGCAGTGTGTTGGTTGGCATCTGTTTGTCTCGGGAGACCATGGAAGGGTGCACCTTCAGGGCTGAAGTCAAACTATTGGAGAGTTACAGCACCTGCTTAGGCCGTGAGCTCCAGTATGGGAGAGACACGATTCAAGTTACAAGAAAGCAAATTCTGACGAAACACCAGGAAGAACTTTCTGACAGTAAGAGCTGCTTGACAGTGGAACAGTCTCCCTCGGGAGGTTGTGGACTCTCCTTTCTTGGAAGTTTTAAGCAGAGGTTGGATGGCCACCTGTCATGGATGCTTTAGTTGAGATTCCTGCATTTCAGGGGGTCGGACTAGATGAGCCTTGAGGTCCCTTCCAACTCTACAATTCTGTGAGTCAATGTTTTGTTGCAGCTGGGCAGGTGAAGGAGTGCAGTTGTTCTGATGTGGCTGCACCATGGCATTTCTCTCTGCGCTCCTCTTAGCAGTCATTCCTCCTCTAGTTGCTGCTGTGGATACATGGCCTGATTGTCTCTGCAAGGGATTCCCACATGGTGGGGTAATGTGTGCTATTGATTATAACACAATCCTCAGCCTGCTTAAGCCGCCATGCTTTCAGTTAATGTAACCTGGTGCTCTCTGGCTGCTTTGACTACAGCTCCCATTAATCCCAGCAAGTGCAGCTACACTGGTATAGACAATATGGCCATGCTGACTGGGGCTGATAGTTGTTGTCCAAAATAGTTGAAGGGCACCAGGTTGGCAAAGGCTGAAGGCATGTACCCTCACCCTGAGTTCAGGATAGTGAATCCATTTAGATGTATGCAAAGAGGTTGGTCGCTGTCATCTAAAACTCCAAATATAATCACCCGATGATCTGTTTGTTCCCACTCTTTCAAGGGAAGATACAGGAAAGCTGCTAATGAGAGGGCAATTATTTCAGCTGAATGCACTATTTGTTTATAGCTGGTGAAGAAAAACAACAACAACCACCCCAGGTTAACCACACACTCAATGCAGTCTGGCAATTAAACAGTTCAATAGCAATAAAACAATTAGATCACAATGGTGAATTTCCATTTAAAGCTAATTAAAACAGTGTAAAAAGTGATTTGCATTAAGGGAAAACAAATGCAACCATCAATATGCGCTATGAATACAAACAGTGGCTCTGTATCTTATGGGTTTTTATGCAGTAATAATTTTAAATGTATTTATTTAAATGAATGCTAGCTGTCCTAGCAACATTTCCTCTGCAGCCTTACCATCTCGGGTGGAAATGAAGATGAAGGAAGGCGTTCTCTAAAGCAGAGGGCAAAAGAGAGACAGGGCAGCAGAGCACCCAGTTGCTCATCGCATCTTAGCAGTGGTCGATGCCAGAGAATAATAGGAGCTGGGGAAGAAGGGGAGCAACCACAGGGTAGGAAAGAAGGAAATGCTACACAGGGAGATGGCAAATTAATTCAGGTGAACGTCAAGCACACAAACCAATTAAAGCTAATCATGTTGAAATTCCATTGACACCACTGAGAGAAAGAACATGCTTCCCCATCCATGGGACTGAAAACTGCATAGTGGGGTAGTGCACAGGCTTCACGTGGGTAGGAAATTGTCTTTCACTGAGATCAGTGGTCCCTCTAGCCAGTATTGTCTATCGACAGGGACTGGCTGGATACCTAGGAGGGGGCACCGGGAGAAGGTGGGGTTGGAGACTGAATTGGAATAAGGGACCAGTGAACTGAGGGAGCCTGCAACAGCTGAAAGACAAGAGTTGGAGGCAGGAGGAGCTGCAGGGTTGGAGAGTGAAGGAGAAGAGAGTTCTGCAGCTACTGAGATTTTCCCCAGCCTTGAGGCTTATATCTGATGTGTGGATGGTCAATACAGAAGCTGATAGATATGCAGTCATTGTTCTATGTCACATGCTCAAAAATGGTTACCGTTTCCCCACCACCAAGGTGGCAGACTTGCCCACTGCATTTCAGTACGTTAGACTGCTTGTTAGTGACTCAGCTAGGTTAGCTGATATTAAATTGCATCTCTGATATTAGCACCAGCTTCAGTTCTAAAAGCACCTTTGGCTACCTATCATTGAGTGAATGGGCTGTGGGCACTTGATGAGGTAGTCCTATAGCTAAAGCTAAGCAGCTATGGTCCTTTAAGCTGCCTGGATGGAAGACCACCTGGGAACCTTATGGTCCATCTCTAGCTGTTAAATCAGCAGTTTGGAGGTGATAAATGTTTATTTCTGTAATGAAAAGAGTCACTTGCTGATTTCTGTATATCATACCTTTATTAAAAGCACACAAACAGGTCAGCCCCTTACACACACACACACACACACACACACACACACACTTGATTATCCACAAGTATATATGAATGGTTCATGTGAAAGTGTGAAAAATGAAACTACGTTGCAAATGTAGAAACTGCCTAATGCCCGGTGGTCATATTATTTGTCTGTCTACCCTGTTACATTCAGAACCTTTTCTGACCAGCCACTCCTGTGCACTTAAATACAAAATCTTTGCCTCTTTCTTGAGACAGAAATATTTCCCGGTCCTGGGGAATTCCATGATATTCCCACAGTTGCCACTGTGTGGAGATGTTGTGTCATAATCCCATCCAGACTGTGAACATTGCAGACGGCTCAAGGCTCAGTTGAATTGTCATTGTCCAAAGTGCTTTTCCTGCCAATTCCATCGTATCATATTCTGAAAAGCTCTGCCTGCATCTTCCTATTGAACCAATATATCTGGTGATACAGAATTTCTTACAAACAGGATGTGGCCTGCAATGTTAGGTGCATTTACCTGGGAGTAAGCACTGAACCCAGGGGAAATTGCCTCCATGTAAACATGCATAGGATTACATTTATAGTGATTTGTAAGTTGGGGTGCTGTCTGTATTTATCACTTTTGTAAATGGGGTGTCGTATTTTTCACACACCCCTCAAAGAATTGATCATTTTTATTTTTATTTTTAAAAAGTGTGATGGTAGATTGCAAAGTATTACCATATATGCATTTCAACCCTGTTTTTCTATCAAGCGGACACTCAGATGTCTGTATCAGTTGTGGGTTTACCTTCTTGATTATAATCAAGGCAAAGTGTTATTTGCTTTGCTTTTTCCCTGGCACAGGTAAGTGGAGGTTGCATTCAGAATCCAGAGCAGCGGTTCAAGTGATAGATCTTACTATCTATCCAGGAAGAAAGCAGCATTACGGTCATGACCCAACAACAAATAAAACAAAATGTAACAAAGGTGAGAACAAGCAAACCCTTCACAAATATTATTGGGATACTGATATACAGAGGGTGACAAAAAGCAGGGGTAAACCCTCTGCTTTCCTCCCCTCTTCCTCAGCCAGCTCTTTGGAAATCCCTCCCTAGAGAAGCTAGACTGGTTTCCTCCTGGCTGTCCTTCCACCAGCAGCTGAAGATAGTTTTATTCTGACAGGATTTTATGGATTGGCTGTTGTTGTTGTTTCTTTAGGAAAAGGCTTTTGAATTATGCTGTGCTATTTTTCCTAGCTGTATATTAACAGATTTTTTTAATATTGTGTTCATTCTATTATAGTTTTATTACTTCTTAACTGTTATCTTTCATAGGTTTTTATGAAACATATTCTGTATTTTAGCTGTGTGTTTTTTAATTTGTGTAAGTTGCCATGAGTCCTGGTCTGCAAAAAGGCATTATTATTATTATTTATTAAAGTCGTACCTTGGTTCTTGAATTTAATCCGTTCTGGGAGTCCATTTGACTCCCAAAACTGTTTGAAAACGAAGGTGTGGCTTTCAATTGGCTTCAAGAGCTTCGTGCAGCCAATTGGAAGCCCCATAGGACATTCGGCTTCCAAAAAATGTTCACAAACCAGAACACTCACTTCCGAGTTTGCAATGTTCAGGAGCCAATTTGTTTGACAACTAAGGCTTTTGACTACCAAGATATGACTGTATTGTTTCCTTGCCACTGCTGCCAGTTCCACTCAGTAGTTTTCCTGGACTTTGGCAAGTCCTCATACTTCTTCAGGGATATGGGAACTTGGGAGGCTCGCCTCCAAGTGTTGGGGTTGAGGCACATAGGACTCAGGTAGGCAATAGAAGCATCCTGGGTTTTCAGCCGGAAAGAAGAGGGTGCTGCTGGTCCCAGCTATTGTTGTTGTTTAGTCATTTAGTCGTGTCTGACTCTTCGTGACCCCATGGACCAGAGCACGCCAGGCACTTCTGTCTTTCACTGCCTCCCGCAGTTTGGTCAAACTCATGTTTGTAGCTTCAAGAACACTGTCCAACCATCTCATCCTCTGTCGTCCCCTTCTCCTTGTGCCCTCAATCTTTCCCAACATCAGGGTCTTTTCCAGGGAGTCTTCTCTTCTCATGAGGTGGCCAAAGTACTGGAGCCTCAGCTTCAGGATCCATCCTTCCAGTGAGCACTCAGGGCTGATTTCCTTAAGAATGGATAGGTTTGATCTTTTTGCAGTCCATGGGACAGCAAGTGCCATATACTTGTCCATAAATAAATATGCTAAGATAGATATAGATATAGATATAGATATCACTTAATCAACCCAAACCTCTAAATGGTTTGCATAAAACAACAGAACATATTCCAATAAAATAGAATATAGACAATATCAATAAAATCAAGTGCTATTATTAGCAATAAATAAATAAAATCAGCCGTTTTAAAACACACACACATAACATAAAATTCCATCTTAAAATTCCATGTCTGGGGAGATTGGTCTGCACAAAAGTTCTTAGGAGCCACAAACAATACAGTGAAAGCACCTAGCTAATATTAATGGCAATATTAGTATTGTGTTGTATCTGATAGCACTGAAACCAAAGATGATTGTAGCCTTCCAATTTACATACACACATCTATCTAAACAAACCTTTTCCTGTATATACAGGGTGGCATCTGAGGTCGTGCGAGTGGACTTCTGCTTATGCAACAGCACTTCCCCCCCTTTTCCTCCTGCAAAACCCCCACCCCATTACAATCTGTAGGTTTCTCATTATTTCTGTTAGTTTATTGTTCTCTTGTATATTCAAGTTTGGACAAGCCATCCCGATTTCTTGTAATTAATTATGTATCCTGCTGAAATCCCACCAAATGCTTTCTAAAACGATTAAAAACAACACCATTTCTTGATCTTGTTAGATGGTCATAAAATTAGCAATGCCATCTATATAGAGGTTAATTTAAAATATTGTTACTATTCTAATTATAATTGCATTTCCTCCGTCATTACTAGGGGCCACTCAACAGATAAAGGGCAGCCTTTCCTTGTACTCTCTGAAATGGACTGTAGTCCACGAAAGGATACACAGTAAAAGATTTGCTCATCTTTTAAGATGTCACAAGAATCTTTGCTGAAATCAAATTTTTGTGGCAATTGCTGTAATTAAAATGCAAGAAAACACGAATTTCAGAAGCCGAAAAAGAAGAGAGCAAGAACACCACCACCACCACCACCCTCCTTTGTCTCCAAAAAAGGTAAAGGGACCCCTGACCATTAGGTCCAGTCATGATCGACTCTGGGGTTGCGGCGCTCATCTTGCTTTATTGGCCAAGGGAGCCAGCGTACAGCTTCCGGGTCATGTGGCCAGCATGACTAAGCCGCTTCTGGCAAACCAGAGCAGCGCATGGAAACGTTGTTATCTACTTGCACTTTGATGTGCTTTCGAACTGCTAGATTGGCAGGAGCAGGGACCAAGCAACGGGAGCTCACCCCGTTGCGGGGATTTGAACCGCCAACCTTCTGATTGGCAAGTCCTAGGCTTTGTGGTTTAACCCACAGTGCCATCCGCGTCCCTTTTGTCTCCAAAAGGAACCCCAAATAAAGATGTCTTGCAGCATGAGATTTAAAGCTTTAATTGCTCATGTGCTGTTAGCAGTAAGAGTGATGCTGGAAAGATTAGAAAGTAGCAATTGCAGTTAAACCACCTGGATTTCCAAGCCAGGCTAAAAAAAAAGATACAATTTACAGCACCAAAAAGTAACGAAGAACTCTAATACAGGAGAAGCCTACATGACACCCTCCAGATGTTATCGGACTACAACTCCCATCAGCCACAGCCAACATGGCCAATGTTCAGGGATTTGGGGAGTTTTTGACCACAACATCTGGACCATGTCATATTGCTCTAACAGAACCAGCAGCAAGGTGTTTCCCCTTCTCAACTTTCAGTTGTCAATTATTTAACACCGCCTCCATCTAATAACTGAGCTGAACTTTAAAGCATCACAAGAAAGATGTCCCATCTGCAAATGGTTTAAATTGCTCTGCTAGCAAGCATTCCATTGACTCCCCAGAAACGGGAAGGTTGGATACCTATCTAAAATGGCCTGGGCAGTCAATGCATCCATGATGGTTTCTTTTTTTAAGGAGACAGCTATGCCAAGCTACCACTTAGCATAAATAAAATGAGTTCACACACCAATATATTTTATCTAAAAGGGACAGGCTGCATTTTTCTATAAATAAAAATGAAATGGCCATGCTTTTGATTCATTAGATCCTCTCAAGTCATCTAAGATTAGTTAAGGCTGCAGTGACTGTGTCACAGTATAAACCTATGCATATGCCCTCAGAAACAAACCCCACTGAGTTCAGTGGGGCCTAAAGGTAAAGGGACCCCGGACCATTAGGTCCAGTCGTGACTAACTCTGGGGTTGCGGCGCTCACCTTGCTTTATTGGCCGAGGGAGCCGGTGTACAGCTTCTGGGTCATGTGGCCAGCATGACTAAGCCGCTACTGGCGAACCAGAGCAGCACACGGGCCTAATCACTGGCAAAGTGCATAGGATTGCCACCACAAACTTTGAGCCTGGCTACTTGATACACTCACCACAGGCTACCAGGCCCATCTTGTAGGGGCAGATATACTATGAAACTAATGAAGTTTGAGCTTCAGGGCCCCTAATCCCAGAGGGGTCCCAGAAAAGACTTTAGTCCACGTTGCTTAAAATTTGGGGGGTCTGGTAGACCCAAATGGAGTCACACAATTCAGATTGATTAATTTTTGGTTGTATATAGTTCAACAATCACAAAGTTTTGAGAGTCAGTAGCACAGATGTTGTAAAGGTGTGCTGGTCTGTTGTGGAACAACTCCACTGAAGAACGTAACAATAGCTACCCAGACCTCTTTGCTGGTTCTGAAGGGCCCCCCTTAACAATTCACGCTTTAGGGCCCCCAAAATGTAGGTCTGCCATTGCCATCATGACTGTCCAGTTTCAAAACAACGGAGGAGGGCCAGATGGGGCTCCTATATGGGGAAAGTCCCTCTGGTAGGTGGGAAAGTCATACAGTTGGGTGGAATCCCTCAACCCACTTTGCCCCATGGCTCTTGTGAGGGGTGGCATGAGAGTCTTTGTGTCTAGCATTGGGGAGTAACCCCAGTGGCAGAGATGGGCATTGTATTGGCTCAAAAAAGGGATAGCACTATTTTTAGGAAAAACAATATGGAGTCTTGTGGCACCTTAAGGACACATATATCATGGCATAAGCTTCTGTGAACTAAAGTCTGCCTCATCAGTTGCATGAAGTGTTATTCTGAGTTACAGGTATAAAAGCAGAGACATCACCTTGCCAACAAAGGTCCGTATAGTTAAAGCTATGGTTTTCCCAGTAGTGATGTATGGAAGTGAGAGCTGGACCATAAAGAAGACTGATCGCCAAAGAATTGATGCTTTTGAATTATGGTGCTGGAGGAGACTCTTGAGAGTGCCATGGACTGCAAGAAGATCAAACCTATCCATTCTTAAGGAAATCAGTCCTGAGTGCTCACTGGAAGGACAGATCCTGAAGCTGAGGATCCAATACTTTGGCCACCTCGTGAGAAGAGAAGACTCCCTGGAAAAGACCCTGATGTTGGGAAAGATGGAGGGAACAAGGAGAAGGGGACGACAGAGGACGAGATGGTTGGATAGTGTTCTTGAAGCTACCAGCATGAGTTTGACCAAACTGCGGGAGGCAGTGGAAGACAGGAGTGCCTGGCGTGCTCTGGTCCATGGGGTCACGAAGAGTTGGACACGACTAAACGACTAAACAACAACAACAACATAGACACATCACCTTTACCTTTACACACATCACAGCAGGCCCTAAACAATGTGATGCCTGTGGCAAAGGACAAGATGGTGCCCCATCCCATGCCCAGAAGCTGACTGGACAGGTAGTTGAATCTTACTTCAACATGGGAGATGAGACAGTATGCTCCACCACATTTGGGAGCATCAGACTAGCTTAGGGAATGTATAACAGGCCATGTGGGGAACATAACTGTTGTCCAACCACTTACCACTTCTCCCGTCCTCCTGTGTATCTGCTTGTCTGAGGTGGCCACCTCACTCAGCCTACAGGTAGAGGTTTAGGGGTAAGCAGAATTGTAATAAAATGAGGTCAGATGCAAAATCACACAGTATTTCCCTCTGGCCTCACAGTTTGCAAATGCACACATATACCACCATGTGTATATGACTGCAATTCATGATAAAGCTTCATGCATCTGATGAAGTGGACTGTAGTCCCATATAAACTTAGGCCATAACAAATGTATTTGTCTTTAAGGAGCCACAAGGCTCCTTCTTGTTGTTTCTGTAACAGACCAATATTGCTGCCCCTCTGAATTTTCTTAGTGGTGCCAGTGAAGCCCCAGATAGTTGCATAATTTTATTTATTAGTACCTTTACAATGCGTAGCTATGAGGCCATTTAAAAACAGAAGTAGATCGTTGGATTATGATTGAAAGATAGCAGAAATTATGCACCACAGAAACAGAGCAGATGCAATATGGGGATTGTTAAACAGTTAATAGATTTTGTCTAGCATCTGCTTAAAGGCCTTAACAGCAGGGATATCTATTGCACCACTGGCTAAATTCTGCTCTTTCCTTCTCTATCTAGTGGGGAGGGAAGATGAGCAGGGACAAAAAATAGGCAGGTAGATTTTTCAGCTTTGCACTCAAAAGAAAATGAGCAGGAAATGGAATTCTTAATTTCCATTTCAGAGAGCCATATATAGACTTTGGCCGTGTCTATAGCACAAGGCATTCTGATTCTTTTCTGTGCAGTTTTAATTCACAAGTTTGTGTCAAGGTTTTACCTCATGTTACCTGATTCTTCCCTACTTCTGTTTTTAATTTGTTTTTCTTTCGCTTGTTTACAGGGACAATCACTTGTGTCCCACCATAAAGCCTTCTTGAAGGCTCAGGGAGCCCTCCCGGACGCTCTGGGGCCACCACCACAAATGTACAAGAAACAGACCAGATTTTTTAAAATCCTCACTAACTGGGTTAGGAGGCAATTTATAGGCAACACAGCGTCATTCACATGCATTTTAATATGTCAGCTTGGATAGTTGAGGGCCAATGTGGCACACAACACAGTGTCTCACATTTTCAAGCCTTCCATCCCACTGGGGTATAGCACATTTGGCAGCCATTTTCTCAAATGATGGTTAATAGAGCCTCTTTAGACAGAAGTAAGTTCTAGTGAGTTCAAATGGCTTATTTCCAAGTAAATGTGCCAGGAGTGCAGGATAAATAACTTGGGTTTGTTTTGTATTTCCCAGCATTCAGTTGTACCTCTAGAATGTATATTTGGCTTAAAATGGGCTTGCTGCCATTTTCTATTCTACATCAAACATATTCACAACTGATTCGTTTCAGATTAAAAGGTGTTTGTGAAAATCTCCTAATTGCAAATGTCATAGCATCACTCTGCCAGACACATACACGGATTCACAGATGTCTGAAACTGTAAACCACACAGGTCAGATGACTATAAAAGGAAGCTCAGATCTTTTTCCTGCAGAATTCTAGAGGTACCAGCCAGAGAAAAATGTAGGTATGCCCAAATTCTTACTGAAAAACTGTTTTAAATTGTCCACCCAAGGCCTTAATCATGGAAAAGGAAAGTAAGGATTCCTTGAGCTTCAATGTTCTGTTTATTAGCATTCATCTTGATTTGCTTGCAAAAAGCTTCTTCTGTAGATAGACTATCTAATGTCTTTATTAAGTATTTGTTTTGATTTGTTTATGGGGTGGTTATATGACAATGAGCATTCATCCTGTTTGCTCTGTGGGGTGTCGACATGTCTTCTCATTAATCATTCACCCCACACTTTTCATATCTCCATCAATTTCCCAATTGCAAACATTTGTGTGTGTGTGTTTTAAACATGGATTTGTTGCACTATGGCAACAGGGTTCTTTAATTCACTAAATTGCACAAACATTAATTTCAACTATGTGCTTGAATCCCTTCCACAAAATAGTTGGTCTGCAGACACCCTAAAATGTGGGTTCTTGCGCAAAGCAATGCAACCAAAAATTTCCTCAGTTTATGCTTCCCAGCATCAAACACTATGTATGATTTTGCTTTGGAGAAATACAGAAGTGATGCTCTTTATCAGATGGATGGACGAGGCATTCCTCCTCATGTGTACCTTTTGCAAAGGGGAGGCAGTGCTTGTGGGACAGGCTCATCATAGCAGCCTTGATCATATAATGAGGGAAGGATTGAAGTGGAGAGACAAGGTTGTTTCTGCATACTTTAGAAAAGGCATGAAAGCTTAAATGGGGGAATCAACTGAGTGCAGCAGTTACTGTAACAATTAAGCTGACATGATGAAAAGAGGGAGCAGAGAGGGTGGGACAGATCATCCACCCCCACAGAATGCCTGCATGGGCAGGTGGCAGTTTTGAGCCATGCCTCCTGCCAGCAGAAGATAATGGAGCTCAGCTACAAAGCTCCAGTGAGACACAGAGGAGTTTGGGTGGGGAGGCAGATGTCTTTTTCTAAAGTTAAGGAAACACAAACAGATTAGCTGACTAAACCAGGTCAGATAGGAAATGGGAGACAATGGATCGTGGAAGCTAAAGCCATGATAGGTGGTGGAAGCAGTGATGCAGAAGATGTAGCTGGTACAGTCCTACATTCGTAGCTGCCTTATACTTACTAAGTATACTGAGTATACTTACATGGGTCTCAGTATAGTTTACAGTGACTAGCAGAGAGTCCTGAACCATAGGGTACCTGGCGGCAAGTCCCACTGCTGTACACAATTCAACTGCAGATGCTAGCACAGGCATCCCCAACCTGCGGCCCTCCAGATGTGCTGGCCTACAACTCCCATGATCCCTAGCTAACAGGACCAGTGGTCAGGGATGATGAGAATTGTAGTCCAAAACATCTGGAGGGCTGAAGGTTGGGGATGCCTGTGCTAGCACATAGTCTGGCAGACTCACAGCTCCAAAGTGCAGTGGACCAAAGCATCTGCAGCCGATCCAAGGGTCAGGGCACCTAGAGGTCAGTCCAGACAAGCTCAGACCCAAAGAGCTCCCTGGAACATCCAAGCCATGGTCTGGGCAATGTGGGAAGCTGAGCAGAGACAGCTCTCAGCTCTGTTGCCCTTTTATATGTTGCATGCTGATTGGCTTGCATCTGAGCCTGTAGAGGCATGCGACCTTCACCTGCTTCAGCTGAGGAATCACACACCTCCTCCCAGAGCTAGCAAGCCCCACCTGGCCAGCTAGGGAGCTGAGCTGTGGGCCCTTGCCTGCCTCAGCCTCCTGGAGCACCACTCCCGCTGCTCCCTATGCCTCAAATCCTGCTGTGTTCATGGAAACAGGGGCCCCTGCTGCTCTGGTTCCTGTGCACTGACTGCTATCCCTTGGTCATCCTCTGTCACCCTGAGAGTACTTCCCATACCAGCCTCTCCTTCCCCATCTCCAGCTTGCCCCAGTCCTGGCTACACCCCTCACCAGGATCCGCTTCCTCTTCCCATCTGTCCTGCCAGTTCATGACACAGAGACTCTTCAGAATTTCAGATCTGAGTCTCCCTCAGCCCTACTTGGAGATGCCAGGATTGAACCTGGGTTTCTCTATGTACAGTTAGGGTTTCCCTACTGACAAGTTGTGCCCCATGAATCTAGTGCAGTTTGTGTCTGATCAGAGGACACTCCTACAGATGGATTTGAGGAAAACCATCCTCACAAACCCCAGCTCACCAGCCGCTGCTGAATGTCCAGGGCAGTTCAGGCCAGGAACCTTGTGGGGTCCAGAAACTCAGAGCATGCTGCTGGTTAAGTTATTCAGAAATTGGTGTTTAGGTGAAGTGAACAATGCCAAATGCTGAAAGACGTGCAGAATGGCAACATAAAGAATTTCTGTAAGCTGCTGCAAAATGCAGTTGACAAATATCATCCGCCAGAGTCTTTCCAGATGAAGCATGTGAACACTGGTAGGTAAGGGCTCACCTTCACTTCCATTTGTTCAAGTGGTTTTGCCTTGGAAAACTCAATTGTTTTGTCTATTTTCCCTGGAAAACTCAATTGTTGTTTGGGGGAAAGTGGCAGGCCAAATGAAAGTGTGGATGGCTCCTAATTTCTGAAGTGTCCCATATCCCACCACGGGAGTGACTGGTCAACTTCCCATGATACATCATGGCTTGGACTGCTAAATTCTGTCATCTCTCCCACCTTTTCTTAGTTGACCTGGTTTACTCTACCAGGCTGTTTGCATTTATGCAACTCAAAAAGACATCTGCCACCAGCCACCCCCCGAAGTTCTCATCTGTGCCTCAGTGGAGTTTTGCCGTTGACTGCTATCCTATTTATATTAATTGAATGCACTGTAGTCTCCATACACCACTGATTGGCCTAATTTATTTCAGTTCCTTAAAGGCCTGGGATTTTCCTGTTTTCCCTCGCTGCATTGTTTTTACTCATTTGGCTCCAATTAGCCTCAGCTAACAAAAATACATTATCCTGAGCCTCTCCTTAGCAGTGCTGTTTCTAATGGCACAATTTGTGATTTATTTATTTTTATTTTTAAAGAAGTCTTTAATGTAAAGACATTAGGAATTAAGTTACATTTCTCTAGTGGGGAAGAGAAATATTAATTGCAAGCACCTGGGGTCCCCCCATCTTTAAAGAAGAGTTGTGATTTTTAACTTTAACTAATAAACGTTGACAGAATCAGTGAGCTATCAGCACCATGCGTCAGCCCTTTGTGAGGGACATATCATCCCCCTTGCTTGGTTTGCTGAGGAAGTGCTTGAATTTTAGCACCCAGACTTGGTATATTTTTCAACTATCTTTCAGCACCAGGATGTTACTGTGGGAAAGAGATGAACTGTCCCTTTTAAGTTACTGGATTGTTTTCCTTAGCTAGCCAGGTGAAAAGGAATTGCATGCCCAGCCGCAGAGTCCCCACCCCTAGGGAGTCTGGCTAACTAGAGAGATGAATGAATGGATACGACAAGTGGCTGGGATTTAAAAGGCCACAGCTTTACTGATTTCAGGTGTAGGTAAACTTTGGCATAGGCATTGGGCGTGTATCCCTCTCAGTCCCCCGGCATGAGAGGATCTAATTGGGGAAGAAGGGACCGTCGCAAAACGCAGGTTTATGCAGATGGTGCCAGTCTACTGTTTATGCCTGGGGAGCGGACCTGAGTGAAGACTGCAACACCAGAGTCACTCCCGAAGCACCACCCCCAGGCCGCCACAGATTGGCTGAATTTGAACTGAGGGCCTGGCAGTGCGCACAATGCTCTGTGGCAGCTGGAGAGGAGCAGCCACGGCCACAAAAACAGGGCTAGGTTCTGAGGGCGCCATGGCAGGCTGCAACCGCTGCTCACTGCTGAATTGGGTAAGCGGCCATTAAAAGAGAAAGACAATTGCTGAGGTCGTTTGAGGCCTCAAAAGATTAACCCACAAGCTTCCTCTGCTCTGAGGCTGTTCTTCCACATGGCACCACCAAATAGTACATTTGAGTCTCTATTTGTGCCATATTGTGTAATTTAGTTAATGTAAAAAAAATAAAAATGCACAAAGTGTTAAGTGTATATTTTAGCTAATATAGCATGCATATCTTGCATCGCACAGCAATTTAAACATGACAACTTTAACTTCACATTGTGTAAAACTTCCCTACTCCTGCCTGTGGTTTGAGTAGAGCTGGATAAATCTGTCAGTAATGGCTTCTCTCTGTTTCTCTCCCCTTCCCCAGTCTTAAGTTCACTTGTCCACATTTCTGAATTAGTTTGCAATTTGTTTTGTGAAGAAAAAGGGGAAAAGTACTCATGAATATTGGTTTGCATTTTAATATAAATGTATCCTGAGACACATGTTTTTGTATGCAATTTGCCTATAACACACATTTTTGCAAAGATATAATACATTTCTGAATGCTTTCTACAGACCAGTGTAAAGATGATATTGATAGCCTATCATTTTAGGATACTATGGTCAATCAGCAGGGTTTTCTCCTAGCATAGAGCATTCGTTGGGTTTACAAGGCAGATTCTGTGCCAAAAACAGACTGTAATGGATTCAGATAATCCATATCTTCCAATATGGATTGTGGGTGGATTTTGTAGGGGGGTGGGGTGGAGAAGGACTAAGTCTCCATCGATACTGGAATAAAATGTTGTGTGTACGTAGTCTATAGATGGAAAGTGCATTAGAAAAAAGAGATTTAAGTCAGGGGTGAGGAACCTATGGCTTTTCAGATGCTTTTGGACTCCATCAGCTACAGCTAGCATTGCCAATGGTTAGGGATTATGGGAGCTGGAGTCCAGATTTCCATCCCGGATTTAAGTAGCAAGATTATTTTCTTCAGTAGCTAAAAAGAAAAACTTTTTTAAAAAAACAACCTTTGTATGTAGCTAGCATGTAACCTCTGAGACCCACCTTCAGTTCACGTGAAAAACCATGGTGAGTGGCTGTGGATACTTCCATGAATGCCACCAGCGGAGGAGAAAAAAGTTTTGCAGTTTTCTTTTCAAAGGGTTTCTGTCACTGTTCTTGCTGAATTGATCATCTTAATGGGATATGTTTGGAAAGGATCCAAATTCTAATTTTGGAAATTGAATTGTTTTAGTGATTAAACAAAGTAACCGAGGGCATCACCCTATTAAATAAGATATTTCATGCATGTGATTAATTGTAATCTCAATGTAAATCCTTTTGATTTAGAGATTAATGTTGATTCTTTGCTTTGAGTTTACTGTCCATTTGTTTTGTTAATTAAAATTAAAGATAGAAGACAGATAGCTGTGGAACCTCTTCAGGTTGTTGATGCCCACTTTATTAAATAGGACATTTCCCATTACTATCCTCAAAAGTAATGGGCTTGGTATAACTATATTAACCTTCCTGAGGAGCAGCATCAATGAACGAGGGAAGTTTGCACTCATTTCTTCTGATTGTAAAGCATGTCACATTTCACATCACTTTAAAAATAACAATAGACAGCCTTTTGGTCTCCAATGCAGTTTTCTTCCTTCAAAAGAAAGACAATGTGCTTGAAAAATATATCACTTTAACAAAGAGGGTCATTTTCCCCTTGTGCAGCTTAGTTTATGGCTTCCGTATTAAATAGCCATCTAAAGCAACAACAGTTTATTGCAGAATGGTGTGCTGCTTTTTTATTGGCATCGTGTGTTGAAAATGCACCCACTCCTGCTACAAAGTGGTTCTGTGATCATGGGGGAAACTGAAAAAATAATAAACTTCAAGCTTATTTTATTTAAAAGTGTATCTGCCTTGCTGGATCAGGCTAAGGCCACTGTTTCAAGCAGTGAGTCCGATGCCTATAGATGCTCACGACAGGGCATAAGAACAACATTCCTCCTGTTCCTTCTGCATGTGGCAGTCAGAGATACACTACCCTTATTCATGGAGGTTCTAGTAACCTCTAATGTCTAATAGCTGTTGATGAATCCATGATCCATCCATTTGCAAACCTTCTTTAAAGCCATCTAAAAGGCCATCTGGCAGCAATTTTTACAAGTTAATTCTGAGCTGTATGTCGCCCTGTGACCTCTACTTTTATTGTCAGTTTCACTGAGTGACCATGGAGGCTAGTATTGTAGGGAGGAGCATTAACTGTTGTCCCTGACCATTGTTTCCATGACATTCACAACTTTGCTAACTCCGATAATGCTCCCCCAATCGTCTGTGCTTTAAAACAAAACAAAAGTCCCAAATGTTTCAACCCAAGGAAACTCCCATTATCCTGGACCATTGGGCATGCTGTGGGGAGTCAGAGACCAAACCATCTGGGAGTCACCATGTTGTTGTTGTTGTTGTTTTGTTGTTGTTTATTGAATTTATATACAGTGGTACCTCAGGTTACAGACGCTTCAGGTTACAGACTCCGCTAACCCAGAAATAGTACCTCAGGTTAAGAACTTTGCTTCAGGATGAGAACAGAAATTGTGCGGGAGGCCCCATTAGCTAAAGTAGTGCTTCAGGTTAAGAACAGTTTCAGGTTAAGAACAGACCTCCAGAACGAATTAAGTTCTTAACCTGAGGTACCTTACCGCCCTATACCTGGAGGTCTCAGGCCAGTTCATAGAATAAAATCAAGATTTAAAACCACAAAATACATAATAAAAATAAAAACAACAACGCAATAGCCCCCCCCCCAAAAAAACACACATTTTGAAAGGGCATAGGATGTTGGCTACTTGAGTGTTTCTTCATAGGGAAGATGTATCAATGACTTGATTGCTTTGTTGTTCCCTTTGGTGGAATCTTTTTTGAATAACAGTTGCGGGAAACTACAGGAAAGGAGAGTGTTGTTGCACTCAGATCCTCCTTGTGGGCTTTCCATAGGCAACTGGTTAGCTAAAGAGAATGGTGGATTGGATGAGCCACTGGCCTGATTCCTTGATAACCTTTTTTGAGATGGGGAGCCTGGAGACGCTGTAAATATCATTGGAGCTTAGGAAGCTGCTTGCCTTTCTAGCTCTGCATTGGCTACAGTGATTGGCAGCGGTTTCCCAGCCTTTCAGACAGTCTTTGGTGGAGACACGAGGATTGAATGCCAGGGGTTGAAGCTTTCTGCAATCAGAGCATGTCCTCTACCACTGAGCTACAACATCACGAGGTGATGTGAAGAAGGCTGGCTTTTGCACGTCCAAGAGTTTTGCAGAACTTCTTTCAATTTCAGTTGTTGATCCGTAAATATTGAGCTGGTCTCAGATGCCACAATGGGTCAGTGCATCTGGCTGTTAACTAGAAGGTCGGTGGTTCGAGCCCATGCAGGGATGTCTGTGAGCAAGATTCCTGTATTGCTAGATGGCCCTTGGAGTCCCTTCCAGCACTCCAATTCTATGATAAGCAACCTATTTTGTCATTGGGGGGTCATAGTGGTGCATAGGTGCCCTGGGGTTGCATGCCAGCGGCTCATGCCATGTAAAGCTGTGAATGCACAAAGTGAACACACACATTCAACACTCCCTCTTCCCCCCTGAAACACAATCCCCAGTACAGGAACAGTGATTTGGACTACATCAAGATTGCTGAGAGGAGTCAGATTAAAACCTCTACTTGCTAATGAACCTGATGAAATCGAGAGATTGCCGCTAATATCCACATGGGGACGGCAATCTTTTGAACATCAGGATTGCTGGGAAGCAGAGTATTCAACTTACCTGCAAAAGCCTGATGCAGTCAAAACTAAGTAGTATGGAAACGTTTTGCACCATAGTGATAAAGTGATGAATCCCGAGAATGACTAAGTCAGGAAACCGGAGCATAAACACTATAGGAACTGCATCTGGAAGACGCACAGGGATGTAACAATACGCAGGTAAGCTGAAAATATTCAAGTACAATGGTACCTCGGGTTAAGAACTTAATTCGTTCTGGAGGTCCGTTTTTAACCTGAAACTGTTCTTAACCTGAAGCACCACTTTAGCTAATGGGGCCTCCTGCTGCCGCTGCGTTGCCAGAGCACAATTTCTGTTCTCATCCTGAAGCAAAGTTCTTAACCCGAGGTACTATTTCTGGGTTAGCGGAGTCTATAACCTGAAGTGTCTGTAACCTGAAGCGTATGTAACCCAAGGTACCACTGTAATTCAAGCAGTCTTTGCAATGACGCTATTGTAAGTCTAGGGACTTTGGGTCAAAAATGCTAACTGCAACAGTCTGGGTAGAAAGAAAGACTGAGATCCAAAGCAGAGTAGAGGTAATTTTAAGACATGCAGAATCATAGAATAGTAGAGTTGGGAGGAACCATGGGAGTCATCTAGTCCAGCCCCCTGCAATGCAGGACTCTTTTGCCCAACATGGGGCTGGGACCCTGATTGTGAGATTAAGAGTCTCATGTTCTATCAACTGAGCTATTTCCATGCAGCAAAGGAAACCTTGAGTTTATGTGTCTTAACCCCACCAGATTACAAACTCCTACTGAAACGGAGTGTCTGGAAGTATGGTGTATGGAGGCCTTCTGTTCAAAATGGTTGGGAAAGGGTGCTAAAGCTCTGGGATGAACATAAATGTATGACGTTTCCTCACCCTCCACCTAAATTGAGCCCTTAATCTGTAATTGCCAGGAGAGAACACAGCAGAAAGGAAGATGCTTCAATTAGCTAGCTAAATAGGATAAATGCATTTTTAGTGAAATGTCTGCTGACCTGCATTCCACAATCAAACCTTTCAGTGATTTGATAATTGGGAGTATCCTGTGTGGAGCTATTAATAGTTACATGCTTGCCAATGAGAAAGGGGGAAAGAAGCCTGAGAAGATATGAATAATGGAAATGTAAAGCAACATTAAATGCAAAATAACGGCACGGTGTAATTGGCAAGCTGACCTTTCATCTAATATTTCAGGTCTGTGGTGCTAACTCTCCTGGTGATGAATCTGAGTACAGTACAATATTCAGATAATTACAGCTCCAAATAATCCAAATCTGTTAATAAATGTCTTCTGAATTCAGGGTGGTTCCCAGAGATCCATTTTGGCAGCACAATATTAAGAAGCTCTTACAATAAATGGGCTGATTAAGGCTATCGGGAAGAAATTATTGCCTGTTAACTATTTAGCTACTGCTCAACGGGCAGATAGCAGCCACATACATCTATGTTAGAGACGTGTGTGTGTGTGTATGTGTATACATATACATATACATGCGTCCTTGATTGAGCAATATGACATGCTACTAGCAATTCTTATCACTTTTTTGCATTTTTATATTTGAATTTTAAATGAAATTATATCCACAGTTGATACCTATACACAAGTCTTCTTTGGGTGTTAGAAATGTAGGTAAGGAAGGCTGCAGGTAGGGAGGCTGGGACAGGGCAGCAGGACGCGGGTGGCGCTGTGGTCTAAACCACTGAGCCTCTTGGGCTTGCAGATCAGAAGGTTGGCGGTTCGAATCCCCGTGATGGGGTGAGCTCCTGTTGCTCTATCCCAGCTCCTGCCAACCTAGCAGTTCGAAAGCACACCAGTGCAAGTAGATAAATAGGTACCACTGCAGCCGGATGGTAAACAGTATTTTCGTGTGCTCTGGTTTCCGTCACGGTGTTCCATTGCACCAGAAGTGGTTTAGTCATGCTGGCCACATGACCCAGAAAGCTGTCTGTGGACAAATGCCGGCTCCCTCGGCCTGAATCCAGGGATCCTTTACCTTTTTACATCCTCATGGAGCCATGAAGGTCACTAGGTGTCTCCACCTGACTGACCTCACAGGATTGTTGTGAGGATAAAATTAGGAAGTGGAGAACCATGTATGCCACTTTGAACTTCCTGGAGGAAAGGTGAGGTATAAATGTAATAAATAAATATATGCATCCAGAAAATCCCAAAATTTTCAGTATGTAATAAAAGAATATGATATTGTAAACATGCCATAGAAAGCCTCTAATAGACAGCAGCATGTGGTTTTACTGACGGAGCAACTGAGTTACTCAAGTAATATGACAAAAAGAAAGGGAAAGGGAAAATTAAAATAAGTAACCCTGCACAAAATCTCTGGGAGTACCCAAGTAAAGTCCCCCTGCCAGCCATTATTATGATTTAAGATGCTTAGGTACCTTTCCTGAAAGGCCAACTTACCCCCCTGCAATATCTGTTGCTGTAATATTATTTTAACACTGTAAGATATGTGACTGAAAAGTTTAAGGTTACAGCTATATAAATGTCATTCTCGAGGAAAAAAAAGTGATACATGGTAATATGATAATGAAGCACTTGGATTAAAAGCTTCCAGTATTTTATGATCTATGGGAGCTAGCTGGAAAGCCCCTATAAAGTATTTAATGATTAGCTTTTCTTGATAAGGTTTATTGGCTTTACATAGAATTGATTTGGAATGGTGACGAGGAATCAGGCTTTTGTTTGAGTTTATTGTGCTCTTTAATATGTGGATGGATATTGGAAGACTAGCAGGTTATACTCATGCAATACCTTTCGCCTCCAGGGCATTTTAGAGTAATAAAAGTAGCAAACCTAAGTCAATATTGATGCATTTGATCTGATTAATGGGAAGTAAATTGCGCCCTACATCAGCGGTTCCTAGCTTGGTTCCGTGGTCAGTTTTTTCTTCTTCGTCAACAAGCAGCCTGGCCCAACAAGATTTCCTTCTATGTGGACCTTCTCCTGAAATGTCTGCTGCTGGGCAGCAGGCCCAATACTACCAGGCAGTTTCCACAGCCAGCTGCTGGGGATCAAATACCCCAAGCAGGGTCTACTGCAGATGCTCTCCCTTGGCCTTCATTTAAATTTGATGTAGTGGTTAAGAGCGGTGGACTCGTAATCTGGTGAACTGGGTTCGCTTCCCCGCTCCTCCACATGCAGCTGCTAGGTGACCTTGGGTTAGTCACACTTCTCTGAAGTCTCTCAGCCTCACTCACCTCACAGAGCGTTTGTTGTGGGGGAGGAAGGGAAAGGGGAATGTTAGCCACTTTGAGACTTCTTCGGGTAGTGATAAAGCGGGATATCAAATTCAAACTCTTCTTCTTCTTCTTCTTCTTCTTCCAGCTGGCCAACATTTTAACTTCCTACAATGTATGTCAGGTTCTGCTGGTCCCAGAGGCTCACTGGAGCTTCTTGTTGGAGGTTGACTCTAGAAGGTCATAGGCTGAGGGGTCCCCTCAGAGCTGAAGATGGTCCTGCATTAATTCACATTCATGTTCCATCTTTGCATGGCTCTCCTCCCCATTTTATCCTCACAACATCCCCACATGGTAGGTTAGCCTGAGAGACAGTGACTATCCCAAGATCACCCTATGAGCATCAAGGATGAGTGAGGATTTGAAAGCTGGTCTCCCAGGTCCTAGTCCAAGGGCCTTTTCATTGCACATGCTTTTCATTGCACATTCACAACAATTTGTGCTCATGATGCTATCGGGACAGTCAAATGTGATCTCACTTTCAATACTGTTTGGACCCACGAAGGTTTTTGGGGTGGTCACACTGCTTCCTTTCCAATCAGTGCATATCTCGTAACTTCCTGTGGACATCTGGCAACTCTTTATACCACAAACGTTCTGGTTTCGTTTTGTCCAGCTTTTGCTGCATTATAGTCCCTCTGTTAACACCGGTGAAGCATTGCGGAACAAACTAAAACAGAATAAACCCACCACTAAGTCATTAAGATTGGGTCAAGGACATGTTGCAGAATACATTCACAAGAGAAGACTACTCTGAAGGGGCCCAAAGACACTAACCACTATGCAACACACTATTTATTTGAATGGCACCACAGCCGATGACTTTTTGGCATCTGGACCGAGGAAAAAAAAGAAGAAGAAAATTAAGTGTTTCCCTGCTCCTTGTGGTAAGTCATGCATTTAAAAAACCTAGTGCTGAGCTGCACTCTGTTCCTTTTTCAAGACATTTCCCCATAACCATGCTATCTCAAAGTTGCTAGGAATGTGCCTCAGTGCTCCATTGGTGCTATATCAGTGTCCCCATATCATGTGAGTGCAATAAATTTAGGCCACATAGCTATGAGAATACAGAAGTACTCCTTCAGCTCTGCTAACTGTATCAGAATGGGACTGAGGCAGATATGTGGCTTATTATTATTATTATTATTATTAAGCCTGGTGAGGGAGGGGTAGCAGTGTGTGTGAGGGGGTTAATATGTCTGAAGTGTCACGCAGTGTAGCCCTATCTCTCTGCCACCTCTGTGCATGGCAGCCAATCTCACTGCCAGCTACCTATTCAGCAAGGAATGTGCAAACCACATAAAAGGGGGGGGGGTGTTCTCGGCCAATCAAGAGTTCCTCTTTGCATCTACACATGTACATTGGTACACATGTAAGAAGACCTCTCAAAGTTTCACAGTCATAGAATTGTCCAGTTGGAAGGGACTAATGCATTGGTAGGCAAGTACAGCTGTGGTGACTGGCCTTTATGTGCTCTTAAAGCATGGGAAGGTCACCTGACCCCCCCCCCTCCCCCAGGTTTGTGAGCAGCATCTTCTTGTGTGTTTGCATGTGTGTGTGCAAGACCTAACTGCCTCCCATTACACAAGTACAATGATGCAGGCGAAGCAAAGTTACAGGAAACCAGGCAGAGGGCCTTCTGGGTAGTGGCGCCCACCCTGTGGAATGCCCTTCCATCAGATGTCAAGGAAATAAACAACTATCCGATTTTTAGAAGACATCTGAAGGCAGCCCTGTTTAGGGAAGTTTTTAATGACTGATGTTTTATTGTATTTTAAATATTTTATTGGAAGCCGCCCAGAGTGGCTGGGGAAACCCAGCCAGATGGGCGGGGTATAAATAATATATTTTTATTTTATTTTATTTTATTTTATTATTTTATTTTATTATATAATGAGTTTCAATTATCAGCTTGGATAGCTCAGTTGGTTAGAGTGTGGTCCTGATAACACCAAAGTTGCAAGTTTGATCACCGTATGGTACAGCTGCATATTCCTGCATTGCAGGAGGTTGGACTAGATGATCCTTAGGGTCCCTTCCAACTCTACAATTCTATGATTCTATGAAAAACCACTTTTCCAGAAAGTGGGCAATCCCTTCAGGCATTTGTAGCCCACATGATCCATGGCCATGCCAAGGGATCAGCAACCAAGCAATAAACTTCTCAGCACATCCACACCAAGCACGCTTCCAACCACAAAGATCAGAATGGGGGCAGCAGCACAGACAGACACAGATACTTCCCAAGGTGTCCCTCCATCTTTGCATTGGAAGATCTGCCGCCATGCCACACACAGAGTGAGAGCGAGAGCAAGAGAGCTCTCTGGTCCACAAAGTCCAGAAAATCTACACAGCTAAGCACAGATTTGGGCTCCAAGCAGCAACAATGCGCCTTCCCTCACCAATAATGTTGAAAACCACCGTTCCAGAAAACAAGGACATCTGTTTCACGGGTTACAAAAACCCATTAAGGACCATGGAAACCATGAAAATAAACTCATGTGCTTTTTGTGGTTTACTTTGACTGGTTTTTGTTAAGTTATCCTTACTTTTGGAGTAACTATAAGGAAAACAGAAGTTTCAAGGAATTGACCACACTGATACTTCTGTGTTTCTGCATGTTTTAGGAACTGCCTCAGAGGAAGGAACACTGCTTCCCTTGAGAGACTAATTCACACTTTAGTAGATTTCAGTGGCAGGAAGTTGTGACCACAGTTTATCTTTCATATATTTTACATGATCTCCACTGTGCTTATGTAAAATATGCTAAAAGCATTAGCCAAGGGGTGGGGGATGCTTAGCCTACAAATGGGGAAGGAAAAGAGCAGTTAAGAAGACAAGTTTAAATAAATTTGAATGCAGATTATTTATTTTAAGTAGATGTTTCATGCAGTATATTTTAAGCTGACATTGATTTATTAAACATGAATATATAAGCATATATAATTCATTTCATGGGTAAGCAAAAAGGATGCTAGATAGGAATTGCACATTAATTTAAAAACAAAGAATTGCTAGACTTGTGCAAGCCAATTCATATTCTAGAGCACACAAAAGGGGGAAAAATCCATATGTACATAAATGTGCTTATTCCTTATTAAAAAGCCAATACCCTGGTTCTCTTTTTGTTGGTGAGGCAGTGTCTAGATCCATATTTGCCACTCAAAGCTCTAGCAAAAAGGGCCAAACTAGATATGACATTACTTACACACTGGACTGGAACCTGGCTTAGGGTAGACCCATTGAAATAAATGGTTTTCCAGGGTTTTAGATAAAAGTCTTTTTCTGCCTTATCTGGAGATGCAATGGCAAATGCTCCACCAACTGACGTACTTCTCAAACAATTTTTCAAGATTTAAAAAGACAATGCTCAACAATTGCGAACAGCTTTTTTTTAAAAAAGGGGGTGGACAGTTTTAACAAGAAAAGAGCTCAACGAAAACATTTTTTGTTCACCATTAATATTAACAAGATGTTTGTCTAAGACGGTTCTGGATCATTTGCTCTTCTGTGCGATGACAACTCTCTTAGCTTCAGGCTACCTCTTTCACAGGCGATTGAAGTGTGAAAGAATAAATCCTTATTATCCCAAAAAATGGTTGAGACTTTAATCAGACAAAAATGTCGCGGTAAAGTGCATGTTCCATCTACTAACCAGATGGAACAAGACGTTAAGCTGGCCTCATGCTGCTGCCGTGTCTTCAAAATGTAGGGAATGTGCTTTAACAACATATACTTTCTTGAAATGAGAAATGCTGTAGCATATTAAAAACTGATCCGCCCCCCCCCATTTATTCAGAATCAAGTAAGCTTACAGACATGTATCCAACCCTGTGGTTTATGACCATGCACAAGGAAGCTGTTCCATTCATAGAATGTTCCAAGTCAAATGTCCAAATCCATGGTGGAAAGCCATGGACATACCTTCAAGACGTGGCAAGTTTATGAGGCCCTGCTGACCTTCTTTGTGCCATCATTGTGAATATTTCATATCATGGACATGGCAAGTCCTTTTAGCCAAGATTGCTACCTGTAGGCCAGATTGGCGAGCAAGGACAGCAGTTAATTCACAGTACATTAATGTAGCCCACCCTTGTATCACTTGAGGTAGAAATCCATTATCGGTAAGGCCAACTTTACGTACACAAGGGGACAGCCTGGCCACAAAACTAGGAGGAACCTGTTGTGGAGGAGCCTAGCAGACTGCTAGAGTGAAAAACAGTTCCAGAAAAGATGCTCTGCAAGTATGGAGGAAAATTTGAGCTGGGTGACTGTGTGAAGGACTGTGGTTGGATGAGAGATGGTGGGGCAATCAGGGGCAGAAGTTGGTTGGAGAGAAGGCGAAACAGCCCAGATGAAGCCTTTTTTCCTATAAAGCATGTATCTTAAAGGAAGGCTCTCGCAGACTCTTTGGACCTGCAATGCATTACTAAATGAAAGTCTGACTAATTGGGAATCTGCTTGGAGCCTCCATAGCGAATCCCCAGAATGATTTTTCTTCCTTACACTCACAGTGATAAAGGACATTTGAAAATAAATAGAATCTGGTTCAGGGATGGGTTTATTAATTCCCTGATTTTAATTGTGCTGTTCTTTTTAATTTTCTCCATCTGGAGTACAAAGGACAATCTTTCTGCTTAACTCTCTTCCACTGAAGTAAAAGGAGCTCATTGAATGTGACTTCAGTTGAATCATGTGCACAGGGCATATGTGTTAAAGGTAATGTCTTTTCTTGAACTGGATATAAAATGTCAACTTTTATTGTCTTTGCTTTATAGCAAGAAAACAAAATGGGCAACGTCTTTCCCTTGACAGTAGGCTCATTTGTACCACATTTTCTGTTAATAAATAAGCATTAAATTGCTCATTAGAAGGTAGACCTTGGAAGCTTAAAATGGAAAAGTCAATTGAATTTATGATATATTTAAATCAAGGCTGGTTATAATAGCATGCTTGCATGGAAATGTGTAAAATGTCCACCCTTTAGCTTGCTTGTCAGAATCTTCAGGTTTTAAACATCTCCTTAGCGCAAGATAATAAAAATATTATATTTAATGTGATCTCAGCGGCAGGGGGAAAAGGTTATGAACCTTGCCATCTGGTTAATGACCTCAATGGTTCCTAGCAAGTTATTTAACTAACCATTTATTCATTCTAATTTATTGTGCAATTAATGAGAGCTAAAACACAGCCATGGGATTCACAGTCCTAGAAAAAATAGACATAAATTGTGGGCAGGTTTAAAGGGGCATGACTTATCGGACAATCTTCTCAGTTCTCTCTGGGGAATTGGTGTCTGCCCACACATTTATGAATGGTGCTTGTGACACAGCGTTCCGCCACTTGTCCCTGGTTAGAGGCTAGTTCAAAAGCTCCTTGCTTTCCAGCTCTGAAGGCTTGCAGCAAGGAAGACTATCTTGTTGCACCGCTCAGTAGCAGCTAAACACTTACCAAACTGGAGTTCCTGAATCTTGTCAGGACAATCATGAAAATCTTTTAAGAACATATGGAGATCCTTGCTGAATCAAACCACAGAAACCAGCCAGATTCTAAGGGAAGCATAATACTGATTTGCTGCCTACACACGGTCCTGTTTGTAACACAGTTATTCTAAATCAGGAATCCTTCGTACTCATCCTCAACATGCTCTTTTCAGTGAAGATTCTAGATCCTGCCTTCCACAAGGTTGGGTGTGGTTACTTGATAGTGTTATGAGTTTTTTGGGAAACTTGCAAGAAGATCAAACCTATCCATTCTGAAGGAAATCAGCCCTGAGTGCTCACTGGAAGGACGGATCGTGAAGCGGAGGCTCCAATACTTTGGCCACCTCACGAGAAGAGAAGACTCCCTGGAAAAGACCCTGATGTTGGGAAAGATGGAGGGCACAAGGAGAAGGGGACGACAGAGGATGAGATGGTTGGACAGTGTTCTCGAAGCTACCAACATGAGTTTGACCAAACTGTGGGAGGCAGTGGAAGACAGGAGTGCTTGGCGTGCTCTGGTCCATGGGTCACGAAGAGTCGGACACGACTAAATGACTAAACAACAACAACAAGGTTGTATGCCTGGGCCCCCTTCTAATTCCTAGATCCAGAAGGGATTCAATACCTGGAATAGTCGGGCTAGCTTCCTGGTGAGGTAATTGCCCTCTAAATAGGAGCCATTAAGGTAACAAAGTGTCTCTGTGCCAGATAGCAAATGGGTGGGCACCCTTCCCTCATCTCACTGGTTAGTTAGAAAGTTGAGGCCAGAGTGGAGAGTTGAGTTACATGAGCTAGAAGGTAGAAGATGGCAGGTTGCAAGCTAGGCAGCTGGGAGAAGAGCTATGCCTGATTTCTGTCGGAATCCAAGGCTATGGCAAAGGGAGAAGCAAGACCCTCTTGGCATGTTAATGTTGTGCACCCCTCCATTGTAGGATCAGATTGCATACGTGTGTAAATAAACCATATATCCTAAAGACCCCACAGTCTCCTCTGTACCTCATTCGAAAGGAAATATGATCCCTGGGATCTCCTGGAACCCCTGGAATCTCACATTGCTGAGATTGGGGTGGTGTGCAGCAAAATGCATTTGGAAGCCCTATGTTTGAGTAGGCTTTCCATGCCTTTTCCTCCCTCCTCATGCCCCGGAAAGAAGGAAGTGGTGATTGCGATCTTGATAGATGCCCATTCAGAACATCGTTGCGCAGGTGTGGATATACCCCATTGCCAGGATTGTCTGCTTCCGTTTTCATCTGTTTCAACTGGATACACTGTGGAGCAATGTAGAATCAATCAATGAGCATTTATTTTAGAATGGAATCAGTTTCTCAAGAAGCGCTGTCCGGGGGTGGGGATGGGGATGGGGATGTGAAATGCATCTAGATTGTGTGCAGACTATGAAGAGAAACAATTGATTCTGGAATAAAATGAGGAGGAATGAAATTTAGTGGACTGAAAGGGAGAAGGGAGAAACACAGACATAGATACAAATACTTAGACCAAGACATTTCATTGCTTGAATAGATCATTTCCTAGTTCACACAGTCTTCCAAAAATTTCCTGCCCGTAGCCATCAAAGGAGACACCTGAGATTCCAATGTACCTGGAACTGGGCAAAAGTATGTGCTTTAGTTGACATTCCTGCATTATATGGGGTTGGACTAGATCAGGCATAGGCAAACCCGGCCCTCCAGATTTTGGAACTACAACTCCCATCATCCTTAGCAAACAGGACCAGTGGTCAGGGATGATGATGGGAGTTGTAGTTCCAAAACATCTGGAGGGCCAAGTTTGCCTATGCCTGGACTAGATGATGCTTGGGGTCACTTCCAACTCTACAGTTCTATGATTCTCTATGTACCTCACTCGTGTCCAAACCTGAGTGTTTATTTATTTTTATTTGTATACTGTGTGTGTATCTATATCTAGCATATGTACATTTATTTACAGTTTGATCATTAGCATTTATGGTGTAGATAAAAATAAAACATACAGAGCATAAAACAAAGTCATACTAAAACTTAAAATGGATTGAAAACACCAAATGGGGGGAGGGAACAGCCCAGTGGGAACTGAGCATGCTCAGTGGTTATTGACTGGGGGTGGCGGGGGGGGAGGGAGAGAGAGAGAGAGAGAGAGAGAGAGAGAAGGAAAAGGGAATGAAATGAAGCAGGGACCCTGAACAGAAGCTCTCCTATCTGCAACATTTTGTTGCAGGGTCATGCTTGCACATTCCTAATTGCATTTGACCACATTGGACTCCCAAAAGTAGAAACATGACCTCCGAGATTTAAGATGCACTTGTGGTCCATTTTCTTTATGGTCCTGTTAATTAGTTAATTTGTCAGAAATAAATAAGATACAATTAGCGTGATACTTTGATATTTTACTTCTAACGACAGGAAGACGATTACCTTCAAAAATAATAAGACTTAAATCTCAGTAAGGATCTAAATTATACTTGTTGAGTTGTGAAGAAAAAGCAAATTCATTTAATCCCTATTTGCATGTGCCAATTAGCTAAGTATTAATCAATCTTCTATATAAATGGAAATGAGGATACTAAGCCCTCTTTGGTAAGATAATGTTTTTCATTAACACGCGTACAACCTCCTAACACTTTAATGTAGAAAAATAATCTCTTTGCTGCGCACTAAAAAGCCCAAGCGAATGGACCACAACATCCACCCAAAGTCATTTAGGAACATTTCAACATGTCTGTTTCAACTATAACTAGCCTGGGATTAAATCACAGAAATTGGAGATAAGTAAAGAGAGATGAACTAGGAATCTCAGAGAAAGGTATAGAAAATGTATGTATCTATAAATTGACTGTATTTTAGGTAACCATACATCAAGGGGAGCTTAAATGAAAAATGACGGCTAACAGCCTTATCTCCTTTGTTATATATTTATGTAATCCATCCTAAATTTCTTAATATCCAATGTATGTTAAATCTAATATTCAATTACAGTGGTACCTCAGTTTACAAACTTAATTCGTTCCGGAAGTCCGTTCTTAAACCGAAACCGTTCTTAAACCAAGGCGCACTTTCCCTAATGAGGCCTCCTGCCACTGGTGTCCTTCCACCGTCCGGCTTCCGTTCTTAAACCAAGGTAAAGTTCACAAACCAAGACACTTCTTCCGGTTTTGCAGAGTTCGTAAACCGAATTGTTCGTAAACAGGGCTGTTCTTAAACCAAGGTACCACTGTATTTAATGTATTGTAATGCATTGTAATATGCTTATGATTTTTTTTCTAGAAAAGGAGGGGTACTGAGGTGATTGACAACCAAAAAATTATCGTTCTGGAAACTGGTTCTTGTTTCAGCCTTAGTTTTTAAATATTTTAAGGAACACTTCTGATTTTTTCAAAAAGGTGTGATTCTGTATCCATGTGTACTAGGAACTTGTTAATTGTTCCCGTGACCTAGAGCTCTGGTCTTCAGCTGGTGGGTTGGTACCCAGTAGGTTGCAGCCTTATTATTATTATTATTATTATTATTATTATTATTACCACCCAAGAAATGAGTCCCCAAATGCATGTTTGCATTTAAAGTGGTAAGAGCTTTCTTACCGGAAAAAGGCATTTTTTATTAAATTAGCAGAGCATATTTCCATTATATGAATTTCTGAAAGATCTATCGTATACTGCCAAACTATATGGGACTTGCAAGATCCGAGATTAGACCTCTTAGTGTATTTTGCAAAACACAAACATCTGCTTTAGTGAATACAATACAGCAGTCAAAAGAATGTCTGAAAGTCTCTCTCTCTCTCTCTCTCTCTCTCTCTCTCTCTCTCTCTCATGTGTGCATGCACACACACAGGCACACAAGGCAGCAAGATTAACACTTGTATTATCCTGTTACCTGCACCATTTTTAAAGGGAAGGCATTCAAACACTGCAGATTTGTTCCAATCATAGAATCATAGAATCATAGAGTTGGAAGAGACCACAAGGGCCATCGAGTCCAACCCCCTGCCAAGCAGGAAACACCATCAGAGCACTCCTGACATATGGTTGTCAAGCCTCTGCTTAAAGACCTCCAAAGAAGGAGACTCCACCACACACCTTGGCAGCAAATTCCACTGTCGAACAGCTCTTACTGTCAGGAAGTTCTTCCTAATGTTTAGGTGGAATCTTCTTTCTTGTAGTTTGGACCCATTGCTCCGTGTCCGCTTCTCTGGAGCAGCAGAAAACAACCTTTCTCCCTCCTCTATGTGACATCCTTTTATATATTTGAACATGGCTATCATATCACCCCTTAACCTCCTCTTCTCCAGGCTAAACATGCCCAGCTCCCTTAGGTGTTCCTCATAAGGCATCGTTTCCAGGCCTTTGACCATTTTGGTTGCCCTCCTCTGGACACATTCCAGTTTGTCAGTGTCCTTCTTGAACTGTGGTGCCCAGAACTGGACACAGTGCTCCAGGTGAGGTCTGACCAGAGCAGAATACAGTGGCACTATTACTTCCCTTGATCTAGATGCTATACTCCTATTGATGCAGCCCAGAATTGCATTGGCTTTTTAGCTGCCACGTCACACTGTTGGCTCATGTCAAGTTTGTGGTCAACCAAGACTCCTAGATCCTTTTCACATGTACTGCTCTCAAGCCAGGTGTCACCCATCTTGTATTTGTGCCTCTCATTTTTTTTTGCCCAAGTGCAATACTTTACATTTCTCCCTGTTAAAATTCATCTTGTTTGTTTTGGCCCAGTTCTCCAATCAGGGCTGTCTTAAGCATATGTGCAAAGATCTGTCTGCACCCCCCCGGTTGCCCAGTCCCAAGCGCGCAGGAGGGTGGAGCCAGTCAGCCGCCTCAGCGTCTCACTGGCTCGTTCACTCCTGAACTCATGGCGCAGAGTGGCCCGCAGCAGAAGAGCCCGTCGCGGTGCTCTGACTGACAGGTGGGCTCTTCTCCGGACTCAACTCTTGGGCCTCGAACTCTCGGCCTGGTGCCCCTGAGAGCCCGGCGCCTGGGTGCCCCGCACCCCTAGCGCCTATGGGTAAGACGGCCCTGGTTCCAATCCCAGCTGGTAAAAAGGAACATATGAATAACCATGTGTTCCATGATTATTACATGCCAGCCAGCTCGTATGCATGTTTCTAAAGTAATACGGTCCTCATGTGGTTGATCTGGATGTTCTCATGCTGACCATCCCTTTTTTGTTTGAGAAAGCTTGGCTTGAAATTGCTCATCCTCTGCCCATCAAAGCAAAGAGACTGGCAATTCCACTGGGGAGAGAGGTCAGTTCCCTAGATATTGTTCACACATCCTTGCGAGGGTAGGCCTTGCTCAATCGGAGAGCTTTAGACAGAGGGGATTTTCAAGAAAAAACTGCAGAAAATATTGGCGAGATCCGCTTACGTGTTATTTAGATGGAGCATAAGGAAATGGTTCATAAAAGTTTTTAAATTAATGTTACCCTTGCTATCTTTTAATGTTAGAAAACTAATTAGCATTTCATAGCATGAGATTAGAGTGCTGTAAACAGAAGAATAAATCTAAGCTTAACAGTAATGGTGAGCACTCTAACTGAGCTCTTTTCCTCTCACACTGTTGAATGCTCCAGCGGAAAATGAATGGCGGTTCGGTTTTAACAAATGGTTTGCAATTTGTTTGTTGGCTCTGCACCAGCTACATGCACCCATTCAAAATGATTATTAATATTTAAAATATTAAGGGGCTTGGTTGCACCTTTAATAAATATTTTCTTTACGAGCTCCCTGAGAGACGCAATATATTTCAGCTCCCCCAGGACTGGCAGGTAAAGTCCGCAATGTAGACGGGGCCTTTAATGCATACACATTCGTGACTAATGACCGTGGGCTTGGAGGCAGGTACTAAATCTACTTTATTGTGGTCAGTAAAATTGTGTTGGAAGGTAAACCTCAACTAATTGCTTCTATCTGTTCATTCTGAAAGCAAAACTGGAACTTTTAGAGTTAGACAGGGAATCCTTTTTTAGCCCATACTCTTTGCTGAGACCCTCCAGGGCCATTGCTGGGCAGGACCAGAGGCAAAAGTGAGAAAAGCTTTGCACAGTAGACTACTTTCTATACACATTCTCTCACACTCTCCTCTCTATCCTCCATCCAGGTGAGCAAGTAGCATAATCAGAGTTCATAGAATCATAGAATTGTAGAGTTGGAAAGGACCCTGAGGCCCATCTAGTCCAACCCCCTGCAATGAAAGAATCTCAACTAAAGCATCAGTGACAGAAGGCCATCCAACATCTGCTTAAAAATTTCCAAGGAAGGAGAGTCCACCACCTTCCAAGGGAGTCCGTTCCACTTACAGCCCTCAGAGTCCCTTCCAATTCTACAATTCTATTATTCAGTCCTTGGTACCTTCTACAAAAGTCTACATGTTTGCTATGGTGGATTTCAGCTCTCATTTCCAGGGTCATGAGATGTTTCAGAGCCTTCTGCTTTGCTGCGTTCTTCTTTTCTACTGTACAGTAGAATTTATATGGTGACTTCCCAGGCTGAGCACCAAGTGAAACGGTAACTATCGCGACCTGGACCACTTCCTTTCCTACTGGTTTTTCTCCGGGATTATCAACTGAGATAAGGGGAAGCTCCTGTTCCTTAGAATAGATCAGAAGTAACCAATATGTCCCCTCAAAATATTGTTGGACTCAGCATCCCATCAGCCCCAGCCAGCATGGTCAGGGATGATGGGAGTAGTAGTCAGCAATATCTGGAAGTTGCCTCATTGGCTACTCTTTTCCTCCTCCTCCTCCTCCAAATGTACAGATAAGCCAAGAAGAACATAAGAAGAGCCTGTTGGATCAAGCCATCATCCTGTTCCCACAGTGGCCAACCAGATGCCTATAGGAAACCAGCAATGACTTCTTGAATAGAAATCTATGTGGAATTCAACCTTGTGAATAGGCTCAACATACCTTCAGCAGCTTTTCTGCCTCCCATTTGCTGCACCATATGACCTAGAGCGCAGGTGGCCAATGTGATGTCTTCCAAATGTTGTTGTCCTACAGCTTCCTTGATTCCTTACCATTGGCCATGCTGGATGAATCCAATGGAGGCTACAATCCAACCATATATTGAGAGTACCGTATGGGTCCCCCTTTAACTAGACTTAACCATCCAGGGGTCCTTTACCTAACTTTTTACCTGTGGGTCACCCCAGTCTAAAGGCAGCTAAGCCTGAAAAAAGTTCTTCACGGTATTAGGCTCCTAGTAGGGAAAATGGGGCCTTTTCAATGCTGTGCTTTAAAAAGTGTTTCTAGTCCAAAGAGAAGAGAGAGAGAGAAATAGCAGCAGCAAGCTTAAGAACAGATAACATACCTCTCTTGTGTGTGATATGTTGAGCTTTTTCTGTCCTAAGGCATAAAAGCCTTTCTAAATAACTATACATAAATCCTCAGACCAGACCACATTATCTTCAAAACACATTTGCTATTCCAAAATGTCACGAAATTGCAAAGTTCCTATCAGAAAACCCAGGGTGGCATACAGAAAGGAGGCTTTAAGTGGTGTCATTTCCTCTGTGCTTTTGCAGCGAGCATCTCTTGAATCTGAGCACCTGCATTTTAAAAAAATTGTCGCTGGAGATAGGATGGGATGCAGTGGGCCTCTTGTTTAGATTAACTGGATAAAAGTACCACTTTGGAATCCATCTGTACTTTTTGCTGAAGTAAGTTGAGCTTGTCAGAGGCATTTTCTAAAGCAAGAAAATGTTTTAAGTACCTAAGTCAGGGGCCTGATCCTTTCCCAATCACTGTTTCTTTGTTTCTAAAAAAAACAGCCTTCAAACATTCACAAGTGACATAAGTATATGTTTTGTAAGGAACATGGAAGAAAAGGCATAGACAACCTAATCAAGAAGAGGGATTTCAAATGAGTACCAAATAACTATTTATTTATTTATTTATTTATTTATTTAAGTCGTACCTTGGAAGTCAAACAGCCTAGTTCTCAAATGTTTTGGCTTCTGGACGACTGAAATCCGCTACAAGAGGTTCCTACAGCCAATCAGAAGCTGCTCTTTGGTTTGCGAACGTTTTGGAAGTTGAATGGACTTCTGGAACGGATTCTGTTCGACTTCCAAGGTACGACTGTATTATTATTAGCTAAAAACAAATTAGAGTGCATGCAGCCATAGCAGGACAGGGAAACCTATAGCCCTCCAGATGTCACTGAACTCCATCTCTTATCATCCCTGACCATTAGTCAAGCTGGCTGGGACTGATAGGAGATGGAGTGCAACAACATTTGGTGGGGCCATCGTTTTCTTATCCCCAATCTACATTTTTGCACTACAAACAGGTGAGTGTTTACATAGGCTATGTGTGTATATCTAGATCTAAACACACACATATACATATTCAGAAAAGTATTGCATGCTTTTGAACTACATGTAAGCCTTTCTTCTTAAGCTCTTGGGTTCACTCTGCACTGGCACCTAGTTTTCAAATATTTAAATAGAAGGTATTCCATGTAAATTCTGCTTTTTAAGTTCAAACCCATAATCCTGGCCTTTGCATAGTGAGATAAAGCTTGTCGACTCTTGCTATGGGCCCATTTACTTATTTATGCCACTGCGGCCAGGCTGACAAAGGAAGCAGCCCACAACATCCTGCCAAAGCACTTATAAACATTTGACAATGAACACCATTCTTTGACTATTATTAGGGACTTGCATTCTTGGATAGGACAACCCAAAGAATAAAATCCACTTTGACCTGTCAAGACTTATTTGGCTTCTCTATAGTATGACTGAATTTGCCTGCCTTTCAGTGTACAGCTTCCGTGCATATTTCAGCAGGGTATTTAAAATCCTATTATACAACCTCATTCTTGGGAATGGTGTGTGGTTTGACAGCTCCATCCTCATCATGCAGAGAAATTACATCTGGATGGCTAGAGCTTTTGCTGTATAGTTTCAAAAAAAAAGGGCAGGGAATAGTAAACATTTATCAGTTTAGATTTATTTGCTAGTACTGAGTGTTCTGACGAATTGAGACCAGTGCTTCTTAATTATACCCTGCCCCCGTTTTAAACAAAACTTGTGTTAATAACATCATACAGCATATGGTGTGTATTCTATCTTTTTACAAGTTATCAGCTTAGCATCAGCAAGAGCATTCAGCGAGCGGGGGGAACCTCCACAGAAAAGTCTTCTATTTTTCCCTAAGATAATCTGATTCCATAAACAGTTACTTGAAAATCTGTCAACAGATTGAAAATGACATTTTAATTACAACAGAAGTCGAGGAGTACTCCTTGCAACAGCTTTGCAGCCTTTCAATTATTATTTCAAGCTCTTTTGTATCTGATTACTTGAACCATTTGTAAGCTTTCTTAACCTAAAGCGATTAGAGAACACAAATATATGTGGGCAATTTTACTCAGCAGCATAAACCAGCTGAATGCAATTGAATTACTCGTGCATTTGTAGGTGTTCATGTTTGTGGTCCTTAGCTACTTATGGCATGATTATCTGGCTTTCCTAATTATCATTGCCCTTATTATCAGTGATGAACATTATTATCCCATTCTTACAGTCAGCATGATGAAGTATAATAAAAATAGTGTCTGAGATTTGGGATATGCTAGATTAGTCATATTCTGATTTGATCAGACCTGTAGCCCTAGCTCAGACCTCCAGCCAGGTTTCACATGGTCAGTAGTTTGTTTAATTCTACAGACCTCCAAACTTACCATGCCATTTCTCAGACTTCTCATGAAACTCCTCCCAGTAACAATGGTGATTTGCCAGATGGTATGGAAAATTAGTGATCAGTAAACAAACAGAAGCCCCAAACCCCTTTGGACAAATGTAGTTTGATGGATTCTGGTCTTTATGTATTTGTTATTACATTTATATATCACCTTTATTCCTCAAATCTCAAGGTGGTGCAGATAGTTTTTCTGTACCCCATTTTATCCTCCCAGCTATCCAGGGTCACTCCATGGGTTTAATGACTGAGTGGAGATTTGAACCTGGGTTCCCCAGATCCAGGTCACATACTCCTAACCACTACAGTGTTACATACGCTTCAGGTTGCATACGCTTCAGGTTACAGACTCCACTAACCCAGAAATAGTGCTTCAGGTTAAGAACTTTGCTTCAGGATGAGAACACTTCCCACACTTTTAGCTTATAAAATAACTCATAAGTATTCTGTAAACTAAATTGCTCACTGAAGTGAAGGCACAAAGCCAGTGGATTTTTTTGATAAGAATACATAAACACACACCCCACCAGAAAATCTCTTCAAAGCATCAGAGTCAAAAAAATCAATTGGTAAAAAATTGCTAGCATTTGCAAATCCAAGTCTTAGGCTGAGTAAGGCAGCAGCTGTTACTTTATCAAAACTTTGAATGGCAATGGGAAAAAATAAAGTTTGTGCAAAATCTTGTGTGTTGGATACTGCTGTCAAAATTCTGTATTTTGAATAAATGTGTGTTTGGTTTAATAATATTTCAGAATCTTTCGTTTAGGAAAAATTACTCCTCCCTTTTTCTGCACTCCCTGAGGGTACTTGTAGCAAAGAAACAAAGAGTGAACTTAATAACTTCCACCTGAATGAACAATACTATAAAGAGAGATTTCATCTTTAAGCTTCCAGAACCAAAGGAGGCTAATTTTTATAAGTCCCAAATGCTTATATTTTCCACCTGGATTAGGTTGTTGCAGAAAGATAAAATACACACATACAATAGCTTTATTTCCTTAAAAAATAACCCCTAAAATTATGATAATGATTAAAAAACAAGAATAATCTAAATCAGCCTTCACCAAATTGGTGCCATCCAGATGTTTAGGACTATAGCTCCCATTAGGCCCAGCCAGCTGATATTCATAACATCAAGAAGGCACCAGGTTGATGAAGACTGATCTATGTACTGGGGCTTCTTCAGAAAAATGACAGCTATTTCCAGCAGTAGATGTGTAAAAGCAAATGCAGATCCAGCAGTGAGTTGGGGGGGGGGCACATCTATTTCTGTGATCATTCTTGTTCCTCTTGTGCTTCCAAATTGAGGGCTAAAAAAAGGCTAATGAAACAAATAGTTTGGGAAACCCTGGAAGACATTGTTGTAAGAAAAACATGAAGTAGAATTTGCTTGCCTTGTAGATGCACACACTGACTCTACCACACCACAGCTGAACTTAAGGAAGCTTCTTTCAAGCCCATCGTGTTCCAGAACTGGTCAGCTAAGGTGAATATGCACATGGAGGAGAGGGACAGTACATTATCTGACATATTGTGGAATGCACAAAAAACCAGTTTAAGGAGGATCTCTCTCTATCTCTTTACTTTAGCTGTAAGCTGCCTTGAGTCCCTGTTAGAGATATAAAGAAATATAATTCAGCTGCTGACTTCACCCCCGAAGGCACACTCTTCCATTGTCTCCCAAGACAGACGGACGCCAACCAATAATAATAGTCCGGCATCCTGTGTCCCAGCTCAAAACTTCCAGAATATCAGCAAGCAGAGCATGCAAGCAAGCTGGATAAGCAACTTGTGCTCAACTGTCCTTGAACAAGGAGATTCCATTTAGTGATCATGACTAATAGCCCATGATAGTTGACTTGCTCCATCTAATCATCCTTTAAAGCCAACCGAGCCATGACCATCACCAAATCTTGTGCTAGTGAGCTACATAAGGCAATTAGGCATTCCATAAAGTAGTATTTCCGTTTGTCTGTCTTGAACCTACCATCAATATCATTGGTTGACTCATAGTGTTATGGGATAGGAGAAAAACTGCTATTTGTTCTCTTTCTCTACATCATGCATTGTTTTACAAATCACCCTTATGTTTCTTCTCAGTCGTTTTCTTGAACTAAAAAGCTTCAGATCCATTCTTAGTTGTGCTTAGACTCACAGAAACGAGCCATGATTAACTTGACTCTCATTGAATTTGGCAGATCTTCTCTAAGAGTGACTAACTTTGGATCCAACCCTAAACATTTTAGCTCCTCCCCACAAAGAAGGTATTCTAGCCTCACAATTACTTTGACTGCCTCTTTCTGCACATTTCCCAGCTCTATAGTGACCCTTTTTCCTTAGATTTGGTGAACCAAAAAAATGTACAGTAGTCTGAATGCACATGCACAATAGCTCAGAGCAGAATCCTTTGGATCACGGTCCATATGAATACATTTAAGTAGCATAGGACATGCATAGGACTGACCTCTGGGAGTGATAACTGCAGCATTTGCAAAGATTTAACCTTTGCTATGTGTGTCATAAAACTGAATTACCATATTGTATATAAGGGACTAGAAGGGATGCGGGTGGCACTGTGGGTTAAACCGCAGAGCCTAGGACTTGCTGATCAGAAGGTTGGCGGTTCGAATCCCCGCGATGGGGTGAGCTCCCGTTGCTTGGTCCCTGCTCCTGCCAATCTAGCAGTTTGAAAGCACGTCAAAGTGCAAGTAGATAAATAGGTACTGCTCTGGCGGGAAGGTAAACGGTGTTTCCGTGCGCTGCTCTGGTTTGCCAGAAGCGGCTTACTCATGCTGGCCACATGACCCGGAAGCTGTACGCTGGCTCCCTTGGCCAATAAAGCGAGATGAGCACTGCAACCCCAGAGTCGGTCACGACTGGACCTAATGGTCAGGGGTCCCTTTAATTTACCTATATAAGGGACTAAGTATACAACAACCAAATACAAAACAACAACAACAACAACAACAACAACAGTTCATTTGGGGAGGCTTCCTAGTTTAGGAAAAAAGTGAGTTGGGGGCATGATGAAGGTCATAACATTAAACATAGTGTAGAGAGAGCAAATAGAAGCATTTCTCCCTCTCCTAGACTGCAAGAAATAGCAGCAGCATCTAATGAACCTGAATAGAGAGGAGGTTTTGGACAGGAGACACAGTGCATTCTGAACATATGGAATTTGCTACCAATAGGCATGGATCACCGGCTTAGATGTTTTGAAAAGATTAGACAGACCCATTGAATTCATGGAAGATAAGTCTCTCCACATCTACTAGTCATGATGGTTATGCACTACCTCCTAGGGGGAAAATTGTTCACTTTTCATTTTAATGCAAACCTACCTAATTTGCACTTCTTGGACCAATATATGAACCAAAAATACAACTTTTCTCCAAAAGGCACACTTAATTTGACTTGTGCAATGTGGTTGCCAATCAAAGGTTCCATAGAAAAATAATTATATTAGAAAAAATAAATTATGTTACGTACATATATTAGAGAAGAGTGAGCATAAGATGCGTTTATTACTGAAAACAATGCATAAACATGCTTTATATTAGGGTGAATTGCTTACAAAATTGTATATTAGGTCAAATGCACACAAACATGCATACATAAGAAGTGTATTAATTCTAGTCCTTTACCTATCCTGATCTATGCATCACGTTTTGATGGTAAAGGCTGCCGGGTGAGTCAACACAATTTCTTCCTCACCTTGAGAGTGCTGAGGAAATGTGATCTCCTGATTTCAAAATGTTTAGGGATGTGGTATTTTCAAGTATTATCAGCATTCCTGTCAGCGGTGATCTTGTCTCTACAACAAAGTGGAGATGCACCTTAATAGTGTCTCTTCTTTGTGTGGTCAGACAGAGGGGGAAAGATCCACATTTTATCCTCTTGGCAATGACAATCACATTTGAGGCCAAGTTATTGCTTAAAGGATATTAATGGTGATCCACCACCAGTTGCTAGTGATGTGGTGGATTTTTGCTGCTATCTCAGCAGTGAAATGTAACACTGCTGGCCAAGGAAACATGGCAAGAAATGTGTAGAACCTGGGCATGCCTTTCATGGGCTCAGCCATGCTGCTCTTCTGTACAATTCCCACTGGGAGCAATGGAATGTCATCAAGCTCCTTCACCTGCAAGTGGACCTTTTGTTAATTCAATGTATGTATATACTCGTTGCTCAGGCTGTAGGTGGCTGGGTGCACAGTTTCAGAGGTTTAAAGAGGGGGAAATGGAGCTCTCCCTTTGGAAATGTTCACCATCTCTTTTTCTTTTAACAACCCTGAACAATTAATTTGGTGTCGTTAGTAAACTTGGCCACATCACTGCTCACCCCTAACTGTAAAGGGTTTATGATGAAGTTAAACAGCACAGATTGACAGATTACGCAAAACGATCTCCTCTGATTGACACATGGGCAGAGTTTGTGGAAATGCAGGAGCCTGGAATTAGGCTTGTGGGTCAGAAGTTCCAGACTGAATAGGAATTTCTTGGACCTTACTTTCCTGGCAGAGTTTGAGTTCCAAAAGAGATCAGGGTAGTTAATGTCTCCCATAAGTACTATATCTCTCCTTGTTGAATCTTTGGTAATCTACTCTAGGAAGGCATCACCTAAATCCTCCGTCTGAATACACTCTCTGAATACACATTGCCATCTTAAAATGCAGCTAGGGTATTCTTCTTCTCAATTTGGATTGAAGTTGGTTTTGTGGGAAATGCATCAAAATATTTCAGAAGAAATTACAGGATAGATATGAATTGTGGCTAACACCATATGTGCACCACTTTCCACCACTGGATGCAGACTAAATGGGAGTGCGCACACAACCACAGCAGTTTGGATACAACTACTGGGTTGGATCTATTCCAGGAGTTCTAGAAACTGTAACTCTGAGAGTGGGATAAGTGTCTCCTAACAACTTGCAGTACCCTTCACAAACTACAGCTCCCAGGATTACTTGAGGGAAGCCATGTCTGTTTAATGTAGTATCAGAGTGCTTTAAATATATGGTGTGAATGTAGCCTAAATCATGCTCAGATCAGACCCATTGAAATAAATGGAATTAGATTAGATTAGATTTCAGTAGGTCTACTCTGAGTGTAGCTTAGTTGGATACAACCCACTGTCTCCTCTGACTTTCCAGTAATCTAGGTTTAATATGGTAAAAAGACTCAACAAAGAAAACGTTTTCTTGAACCGAAGGAAAAGATGCTTATTGAGAATTTAAATGCTGCAGAAGACACCACAGTGTTAGCTAAATATCTCAAATAAAGTTGAATGGAGTCCAAGTGATGCATCCTGTCATAGACTGAAGTGTAATCTAAACTTTATTTTGTCAAGAAATGAGAGATAATCTATATCTAATCTCTGTCTCATTTGTAATAGGAATTGGCCATTGCTGTTGGTCAACCAGCTTCAAATGTTCTCCTTTCCTATTTGGAAGCACTGAGAAGAATGTTTACTGGCTGGCAATTTCTTTCTCATGTGCTGTTTTATTGTTAAGGAATCTCAGCGCTGTAACCTCAATATTTGGCTAGGTTGACCCATAGGGCTTTTATAACCTTTTTGTCAACTTAACTGCCAGTCACAAAACTGAAGGCAATTACTCTTCAGAGATGAAGTAGACCTTTCCTCCAGCTTTGAAGGCAAGAAAACAGCCTCAGGTATTTAGGTAACTGCTTGAACTTTTCTAATTGGTACAAACTGTCTGTAATAATTCCAGTTTGCCTTGGACTGCCACCCAACAGCTCTGCTATTTTAAGTTAATACACTTATCATGATGTTATTCAGTGATATACGATATCAGCAGCTCACTCAGATTCTGAGACAGACATCTCTCTAGGCCATTGCTCTTTAAAGTACATGCTAATAAAATAACTCTTCATTGATCCATGTAAAGTTTCCATCATGCACTGGAATACCGAGCATGGAACATTGGTTTCTTAAATGCAACTGAAGTTTATGTGATGAAATATAGATGGTTTCAACATAAAATTGAATTCCATTTTTGAACAGAAAAGGCATACAAAGATAATACAGCTTGATATGCAGCCAGCTGGTGTCATTGTGCTTTTAACACCATATTCTCAATAGGAAAACAGGAAGCTGTCCCATATGGAATCAGACCACTGGTTCAGTCATACCTGTACAGGTGATTGAACCTGACTTCTTCTGCATGCACAGCAGATTCTCTGCCACTGAGCTGCAGTCCTCCAGTTCAGAGGAGATGAACCTTCTATAAGAGAAGCCTCTTTAAAAGGAGCGAGCCTGCTTTTATGGATAAATTTAAGATTCTAATGCACACAATGAGATCAAAGGCAGATCCCCACTATATATTAAAAGCATATTCAATGCACATTTAAAGGACACAACACCCTCCAAAGAATGCTGGGACCTGTAGTTTTCTCGGCACAGTGCTACCAGTTCCAACGACCATTTCCACCACTATACAAACTATAGTTCACAGGATTATTTGAGGGAAGTCGTGTTCTTTAAATGTGCATTGACTATGCTTTAGATGTATGGTGTGGGCCTGTATTTCTGTTTCTTTCGTCCAAGGTATCCAGCGAGAAGTAAGATCCCCAAACAAGCAGAGTACAAAGAGAGTCCACAGTGACTTACTTACTTATTCAAACAAACAAACAAACAAACAGTAAAATGCATTAAGAGCCATCAGACTCTACATATTGCACATTTGACAGATAAATACATCATTAATTTAATTTTATATGACATTATTTTTTGTGATGCTGCTGTTTCTCAGAATTTGTCCCTCTGTAAACTGAATCAAGAATGGCCATAATTCTCAAATATATCTCGAGCTCTGACTTCACCAAGCTTTAATATTTTTGTATTTCAAACTAAGACTGATTGCAAGTTAATTTGTATTTTCTGTGCAGGCACAATCTGCATCCAGGAGAGGGGAAGTATCAGAAAACTTACAGCATATCCAGTATATAACATCTTGATTTATAGGCATCCTTTTTAGGGCATAACACTCATGAGGTAGCTTACATAATCATAAATTGCATATACAAACAATAAAAGGCAACAAAATGAAAGAACGAAATTTTTCAAAACATATAAACCAGCTGATTAAGAACAAATGGACAAAACAACAGTTTAGAAGCCAATAAATCTAGTAATACTAAAACATTTTCAAAACAGCTCCACCATAAAAAAAAACCCTGTGGCATGTGGTGATGTGAGGGCAGTCCCCCTGGAAACGATGTTACATGACCACATAGTGCCATTTGCAGAGACATTTTTGGCCCCATTTTGGAAGTGCGTGTAAGGGGCTATGTTCCTGGCCTATTCAAGAGACCTCTACCTTTAGGTGAATATAAGAAAATAAGGAATATAATAGTTAACAATCCCACGGGCAACTTTGCATTACTGCAACTTTAAATTTGACGATACTTCAATTTCTCATAATAATGGAGGCCTTTCAACTTTATTGATGCCATTGGATTTGTAACTCGGTGAACAAACTGCAAATGACGATACTGTTAGAGGACATTCAGCACAGAAACATGTGTGTATACCTTTAAGAAGTTTCTGGGATTAATTGGCTGCAGCTGGCCGTTGCTGTAAAAGAAAAAAGTTGAGCTTTGTAGCCTGCCTGCAGGAATAACACCCACCAGAGTTTGTGTTTATTGTTTAGTAATACAGTCTTTGTTTTAGTTTGGGTTTTTACTCCTGGAGTCACTCTGTCCTCTGCCACCAGCTGGAAATCCCCCTCCAACAGGTTATGGGCCCAATCCCCAGTCCTGAGTGGGCAGAGACAGAGCGCGAAAAGAACCCAGAGACTGGAAGCAACTCAGCGTTTCTCAAGCAGCTGGCTGTGTGAAGGCATCGGCAGGGAGTGTCTGTTTGAGACCAGGAGCCGAACATTTCTTCAAGCCACGTGTGAGTAAGGACTGAGTGGAAAGCTGAAAGCTGGGTGGAGCCATGGCTGGACTTGGAGCTGGAGCTCAAGGGGGAGCTTCCTATTTTCCAGTAGAGAAACTGGGAGAGTCCAATTATATGTCATGGAGTTTACAGATGCAGGCGTTTTTAAAGAAAGAACAATGTTGGACTGTTATTGTTAACCCTCCTGTAAAAGAGGAGGATGAAGAAGTAGATAAAGCAGACCAAAGGCTGGAGGACAAAGCCTATGCCAATTTAATTTTGAGTTTAGAGAAGTCTCAGTTATCTCACGTGCGAGACCTTGAAACAGCAAGTGAAATTTGGCAAGCACTGAGAGCAATACATATTAGAGACACTGCTGGCAGCAAAATTACTCTAATGAGAGCTCTGTACCGAGCCAGACTAAGTGAGGGTGAATGTGTTTCAACACACCTTCAAAGAATGCGTGATTTATTTTCACAGTTAAATGAATTTGGGGAACATTTTTCTGAACAGAGAAAGGTTTATATTGTGCTGTCTTCACTTCCTGAGTCATGGGACAATTTAGTGATGACTCTGGAGGCAATTCCAGAAAGCCAATTAACAATTCATTTCTTAACTGGGCGTTTGCTTGATGAGGAGGAAAGACGCCATGAGAGGAAGGCCACAACCCCTCACCGTAACTCCAGAAATGGGAGGCAGTCCAGTAAAAGATATGCAACTGATGAGGAGCGGCAACCTAAAGAGGTTGTAGACCACAGAGAGGAAGCAGCTTTCACAGTCAGAAGATGCTATCGTTGTGGGTCAACCAAGAATTTAGTACGTCAGTGCACTGTGTCTGTGGGAGAAAACACAAGAAAAGGGCGGCCTGCGTTTGCTGGGAAGCGAGGAGACAGGAAGAGTCGAGTCCAGTATGTTTCTGCAGCAGTTCGAGGCACCAGTCACGACGTTGGACAAGACTGGATTTTAGACTCAGCAGCGACAAACATTTTTGTTAAGTCTGCACAAACCCTTGTAGAAAAGCAGCCTTGTAAATCTGTAAATGTAGTACTAGCTGATGGAACAGTGCATGAGTCAGCTGGAAAGGGTAGTCTGAATATCAACTGTTTAAGTACCAAGTTTACCAATGTTTTATGTGTACCAAGTTTAGAAAATAATTTGCTTTCAGTTACAAGTCTTGTTAAGCAGGGATTTAAAGTAACCTTCTCTGGTTCAGGCTGTAAAATAGAGAAAGCTGGAAAAGTGGTTACAGCGTCACTAAAAAATGGTTTGTTTGTTTTGAAAGACCAGCTAATAAGTGAGTCTGGGGCATGTGTTAAAGCCTGTAATAGAGCCTTGCATGATGAGTGCCAGCATCTTTGGCATCGTCATTTGGGGCATGCCAATTTCCGCAGTGTTGCAAAAATGCCAGAATTAAGTAAGGGAATTAAAATGAAAAAATGCAGTTTTTCTGGACTGCAATACCTGCAAGGAGTCTAAAAGTAAGCAAGGGTCCTATTCTGAAAGTACTAGAATTAGCAAGAGGCCATTTGCTTTAGTACACTCAGACCTTTGTGGGCCATTTGCAGAGTCTGAAGGAGGAGCAAAGTTTTTTTTGGTTCTTGTGGATGATTATAGCCGGTATACTTGGGTATACTTGTTAAAACACAAAAGTGAAACTGGTCAACTGATTAAGAATTGGGTCAACTATATAGAAAGGCAGTTTCCCTACAAAGTTACCCAGTTGCAGAGTGATCGTGGAGGCGAGTTCATGTCAGAAGCTCTCCAGGTCTGGTTGAAAAAGCGTGTTATTAGTCACCGTAAATCGTGTCCTTTTTCGCCTGAAGAAAATTCAGTTGCAGAACGCAAGATAAGGTCTTTGCAAACAATGCTAGATTCTATGCTATGTGATTCTGGCTTATCCAGGAAGTTTTGGGGGGAAGGAATTCTGTGTGCTAACTACGTACAGAACAGATCGTTTCATTCTACCATAAATAATACCCCTCATTTTTTGCTTTATGGAAAAAAAAACCCTTTTTGGACCATGTTAAAACTTTTGGTTGTTGGGCTTGGGTTCACATCCCAAAAGGACAGAGAAGGAAAGGAGAACCCAAGGCAAAGAGACTTAGGTTTGTTGGCTATCAAAGTTGGTCAAAGGGGTATCGTTTTGCACTAGGGCGTGGCAGAGTTGTGATATCAAGACATGCAGAGTATTGTGAGCAAGATGGTTGGGCTCGTTTACATGGGAATTCAGAAGTTGTGTTATCTTCTGATGATACAGATAAATTTGTGAAATCTGAGTAAGAAAAGCCACAAATTAAAGAAAGTTCTAAAAGAGACAGTGATGAGGACTCAGGGGATGAGGGTCCCAGTACACAATCTCCTAAAGCTGAACCAATTTCTCCTGAGCAAGATGAATCAGAAGGGGAAGATAGTTCAGAGGGGGAGAGTGTTCAAGTTAGAAGATCACAAAGAAGCAATAAGGGGGTACCTCCAGAAAGGTTTACTTTACAAGAAGTTAAAACTGTTGCTGTGAAGAAAGAACCTTGTGATTATGAGGAAGTTTTAAAGTTACCACACCATGAAATAGTAATGTGGAAAAATGCAATGAAAGCAGAAATGAAATCTTTAGCAGAACATAATGTGTTTACCATTGAGCCATTGCCAGAAGGAAAAAAGGCAGTGGGCTGTAGATGGGTGTATAAAATAAAACACTTGGCAGATGGTGGTGTTAAGTACAAAGCTAGGCTGGTAGCATGAGGCTTTACTCAAAGAAAAGGTGAAAGCTTTGATGAAACCTTTTCTCCTACTGTAAGGTGTACGCTTATTGCTAGCTCTTGCAGCACAACGTGGGTTTAAGGTAAATCATTTTGATATTGAAACAGCTTATCTTAACGCAAATCTGCAAGAAGAAATTTTTATGAATCAAGCGCCAGGTTTTGAGGCAGGCGAACAGAATACTGTATATAGGCTGAACAAAGCAATTTATGGGCTCAAACAGTCAGCTAGAAATTGGAACGAGTGTCTTGATAATGCTTTAAAAAATATTGGCTTTAAAAGAAGCTTAGCTGATAACTGCTTGTACACTAAAGGAAAGGGTGATAAACAAGAATTATGTCTGTCTTATGTTGATGATTTGCTTTACTCTACAAAAAGTGACAAGCAAGTGGAAAAGTTTGCAGAACAATTAAGAAAGGAATTTAAAGTAAGAGATTTGGGTCCAGTAAAAAATTATCTCAGTCTAGAAATTCAAAGAACAAATGATGGAAGTTTTTTGTTGAGTCAAAAAGACAAAATAATGGAGTTACTTGAAAGAAACAATATGCAAAACTGCAAGGAAGTAAAAACCCCAATGGAAATAGGTTTTTTCAAGGATGAAGGAGATTTACAGAACCTGTAAATCCTGAAATGTACCATTCAATAGTTGGAAGTTTACTATACATTTCATTGTGGAGCAGACCAGATTTGTGTTATGCAGTTGGAATACTGAGCAGACGAGTAAGCTGTCCCACAGAAAATGCCTGGAAAGGTCTAAAACGTATTTTCCGGTATTTAAAGCAAACACTTGATTATTGTTTGAGATTACCACCTTCAGGGTCTACAAAATTGCAGTGTTACATTGACAGCGATTGGGCCAACCTTCCTGATAAAAAATCAATTTCTGGAATGGTATTTCAATTTGGGAATTCCTTGATAGATTGGAAGTCCAAAAAGCAAGGTATCGTGGCCACATCTTCAACAGAGGCTGAATACTGTGCTTTATCAGAGTTGTGTAATGAAATAAAATTTTATGTTCAGATCCTCAAGGATTTAGATATACAATGTGATTATCCCGTTCAAATATGGGAAGACAATCAAGCTGTAATAACTTTGGCTGGGTCTGAGCAGTTTAGAAACAAATCCAAACATTTAGAAATTAAATTTCAAAATGTGGCTGAAAATGTGAAGCAAAACCTGATAATGCTGAAGTATTGTGAGAGTATGCAAAATGTGGCTGACATATTTACAAAAGCACTAACTTTTGAGAAACATGCACAACTAGTGGCAAAATTAGGAATTGTTGTGCGTGATGTGTAAATATGTTCTGTATATGTTTAAAGTACTGTTGTTTCTGTTTGAATGAGAGGGGGTGTTAGAGGACATTCGGCACAGAAACATGTGTGTATACCTTTAAGAAGTCTCTGGGATTAATTGGCTACAGCTGGCCATTGCTATAAAAGAAAAAAGCTGAGTTTTGTAGCCTGCCTGCAGGAATAACACCCACCAGAGTTTGTGTTTATTGTTTAGTAATAGTCTTTGTTTTAGTTTGGGTTTTTACACCTATGTCTCCTGGAGTCACTCTGTCCTCTGCCACTGGCTGGAAATCCCCCTCCAACAGATACAGTCACTTTGCCTCTCCCTCTTATATTTGGTTCGCTGTGATAGTTTATCTGTTTAGTATAGATTCACCTGATAAAATATGCTTGTGCCTTGAAACGTATTAGGTGCTGTTTATATAAGAAAAAATCAGCATCTACATTCTTCTGTGCGTTTTCTTTGCATTGCACTTGTCCTTTGCCTTTGTTATCTTTGGGGGCTAGAACCTGGTCAGGCAACCTTTTTCTATTGAGGTCACATTTAGCAGTACTCTGTCAAGGCCACATACCAGCTGCATGTTGCATACCCTCCAGCGTGATGTGTGTGTGGGGGAGAGACCAGGACACCATCCTCTGGACTGTGCCAAGCCCCGAAAAAGCACCTTTTCAGGCACAGTGCCCCCCAAAGTGAGTATGGGGTGCTGTGTCAGATTGCAGCCCCTAAAATCACACCACCTTCTTATCTCTCTCTCTCTCTCTCTCTCCCCCTTTCTTTCTGTTGCCTACTTTCCCTGGAATTTTACTTCCACTGCCACTCACAGCCAAGGTCTGAATGAGATTGGGCTAGAGAATATAGACTTGGCCTCCACAGTCACTTATGGACTCATTGTTAAAACTGTGTTTATGGAAGACAATCTTACTTGGCTACGATCGCCAAAGAAGTAGAAGAAGAAAGAAGAAAGAAGAAAGAAGAAAGAAGAAAGAAGAAGAAGAAGAAGAAGAAGAAGAAGAAGAAGAAGAAGAAGAAATAATGCTGGAATCTGAGCCTTGGTCTGTATGGCAGCCATGTGGATCATTAGGATCACAGTTTGCTTCAAAGCCAGAATCAGTACCCTCATATAGAACAGGGATGAGGAAGCTTTGGCTTTCCAGGTGTTGTTGAACTACAACTTCCATCATCTCTTACCATTGGCCACATTGGCTGGGGCTGATGGGAGTTGGAGTCCTGCAGCATCCCCCACCCCAGATACAGGTCATGTCCATGCCACGCGTTCAAAATATGCATGCCACTTTAACAACCATGGCTTCCTCCCAAAGAATCCTGGGAACCGTAGTTTATTAAGAGTGTTGGGATCTGTAGCTCTGCAAGGGACCTCCCAACAATTGTGTCCCAGCAGTGCTTTTCCTACATTCCTATGGAAGAAAGGGGGGATATTCTTAATAAATACATCACTTTGCAGAGACAAGACTGACTACGCTCATCGCTTTCAACATCTCATCAGAAGTCCTATGTCCCAGGTCCCGATGTAGAAGTGAAAGGTGGAATGAAAGGTCAGCACAATCTGGAGCGCTGGCATTGATCTCAAAAGAGTGGATTAGCTCATGTTCATTTCCTTGAGGACATTGATATCATCAGAGAACCCCACCCTTCTCCATACATCATACTTGCTTTGTATTGGCAGACAAAAGCTAATTGAACATGCCTTAGAGCTGTTGTGGAAGAAGGCAGATCTCCTTCTCTGTGTGCATGCAAGCTTCACTATATAATACACAAGGGCTCCTTGGCAGTCATTAATCTGTGTCTCTGTGCTGTCACGGTCCCGTGATATATCACAGCACATACATAATTAAATATGGAAAGGAGCTGTTGCTGGAAGAACATCCCTCCTACCTCCGAGTGACCAAAAATTCTTAACATTTCCCTCCCTGCTTAATCTATTTTATATCTCCAGGCAGATAGCTAGCGTAGGAGCAAGAGGTAAATTATTATGTGTCCAGTTTGTCGAGCAACCTCTAACTGAATCTAGGAGCCAGGAGCTACATAAAGCACTTAAGTAGTTCTTCTCTCTGAGAATGTGAATACCGTTCATCACTATTTGTGGTCCAGGGGGCTGCAAATGCTGATAAACCAGTGTCTTATGTGCTTATCCAAGACTCCAGAAAGCTGTGGTTCACTGTGTGGCTAGTCGCCGGTCACGAATAAAATGAGTTTCAATGGTATGAATTACAGAGGAAGATGTGGAAGAATGTGAGGAAGCGACTGGGACAGGTGGAAGTTCTTCCCTCCTCTCAATCCTGTCTGGCTCTAGTGTAGAGAGAGGACTTCTAGCTCCCTTCTCTCCTGACAGAGATAGAGCATTGTTGGAATCTTGGGAAGGCTCGGCGCCATGTCCTGAGGTGGCTGAGCAGGATTTGTAGAGGTGGGGAGGCAGGTCCAGTGCTCTCTCCCAGGGCCACACATCACCTGAAGGCAAGGTATGAGAAAGGCCCACTTGCTGTTCAGCTGCTCATGCAGGAACAGATGCTCTCACAAGTAAGGACTGCACCACCTTGGTTCTAAAGCTGGGTGGGTGGGTGTGAGAAACTTCTCAGCTCTGGTGAAGTCTTGAACTTCTTGTTACTGTCCATGAACTCATCACCTTGGCCACTGTTCCTATACCTGGACCGTCCCAGCCAGCTGATCATCTTGTGTGCAAGGACTGGAACAGCTCATTTCCTGTACAGTGGTACCTCGGGTTAAGAACTTTTTTAAAAAAATAATTTTTATTAAATTTTCCTTTATACAAATTTGCCATATCAAACAATTTTCACAAATTTCAACTTTTTGGACTTCCCTCAGCTTCTCTGCCAATCATCCATATTTTCCCATTTTTACACATTTTCTAAACTTAATATTGCATTTTTAGATTACCCTTACTGTCCTGTTTCTGTTTAACAATACTCCTCTCACCTTCACAAAGCCTCTTTAAATCCCACTAGCGTTATTTGTTCATCACATATACTTTTCAGATATTCTGCAAATTTTCCCCAGTCCTCGATGAACTTGTGGTCCCGTTGATATCTTATCTTCCCAGTTAGTTTATCCAGTTCTGCATAGTCTATGAGTTTCGTCCTCCATTCTTCAAGAGTCGGTAGTTCCTCCTGTTTCCACCTCGGGTTAAGAACTTAATTCATTCTGGAGGTCTCTTCTTAACCTGAAAGTGTTCTTAACCTGAGATACCACTTTAGCTAATGGGGCCTCCTGCTGCCGCCGTGCGATTTCTGTTCTCATCCTGCGCCTAAACCCTTACTGTTGGAGGCAATAACCAAAGAGGACTTAAAATCTGCTAAACCCGATCCACCAGTGGCCACCGGAGTGGGTGTTCTCCTCCAGGAGATGAGTCAAGTGGCCTCCACTCCCTTAGCAAAGAACAACGACCACCCGGAAAGTGGCCTGACACCACCAGAAGAGATCGAACTCATTGCCTCCTTTGCAGATTTACCAGCGGTGGAACAAAAAGAAATTATTAATAGACTCGAATCGCTTAAAACCCAACTTATCAGGAAGCTCAGCACCAGAATACCTATGTACAGCGAGTATGACATCCTAGAAGAACCAGTTCATATGGATATCGCAATATCTAATGCTAAATGTATGTCGGTAATGGAGGATAAGATACAACCCCAAGAAGCAACTACCAGTCCCTCCCTCCAACCAGAACAACCCTCTGTGCTCTTAATAGATTTATATGACCGTCCCTTGACAAACATACCTGAAGAAAGCAGCACACAACAGGAAAAATCCCCTTCTACACATTCATCGATGCCTGACCTGGAACCTTCTTATAGCACTGACCAATCAAGAGATGAGGTGCCTTTGCCAACCTTCCCAAATAGCCCACTCACCCAGCCTTATTCTTCTTTGCGGAGTATTATGGATTTAACAGCAAGACCTGTGACGGAACTGACTGAAGATCCAACAGGCCACATAAATCAAGTAGCCCAAAAGACCAGTAGCAGACTACAGGGAGACCAAACTTCTGACGAGATAGATGGACCACACCGGGTGGCCCACCAAACTCTTTTGGAAAAGGGGCCGCCCCTGCTCAAGGTCCTACTCTTAGTAGATCGAGTGGCCAAGTTCAACAGTCAGACAACCTTGTTAATCCTCCCACTCAGCTTTCACGAGAGGTCTCTCATCAGAGGAAGATAACTGATTTTTTATTGGCTCCCTCTTCCCGTATTAAAGTTGAGCCAACCTTCCGAATGACAGTCAATTGGAGGAACGAGGAATCCGCAGCCTTCAATATTAAGTTGGAACATTGCTGGATGGAAAAGTAAAAAATCAGATCCAGAATTCCAAAAATATATTAATTCCTTTTTTATCATACTATTACAAGAAACTTGGGTGGAGGAGGAAATTGAGTTAAATGGCTTTGAGTTTATATGTCTGCCTGCTAGCCCGTCAATGAATGGTGGCCGCCCTAAAGGTGGCCTTACAATTGGTATCTCTCTTAAACTTCGGGCTAAACTTTCACTAGTGCATGCATTGCCGCCTTATGCTATTACTGGACTGATCTCTGGTGGAAACTTCTCTTTATTGGTTACAAATGTCTATTTCCCCCCGGGAGGGTTAGCAGCTGATCTTATTTCTAGATGGGAATCCCTAGAGGATTTTTACTTTCTTGTTATCTTAAATATCCTAATGTCCCCTCCATTACCGGAGGCGATTTTAACGCTCGGATAGCCTCAAATCGGGAAGCTCTTATAAAGTCTAAATGGTGGGTCGACCCCGGCGCTCAAACCTACGATCTAGTATATATCCCCACTAGAATATCAAAGGATGTAAAAGTCAATAAGGCGGGAGTGATGCTTTACCAGATGGCTTTACGCCTTAATTTAATTATATTAAATGGCAGGTGTCCTCCAGATATACCAGGAGAGTTCACCCATCTGGGGTTAAAATCAAACAGTGTTCTTGACTATGTATTGGTTTCTCGGGATCTATTTTTGAATGTCACCTCTTTTAAAATTGATAATGCCCAATTTAGTGACCATCTTCCCCTGACAACCAAGTTATGTGTTGACTGGCACCTGCTCGTGCGCTCCCACCCAATCCCGGTGATTGTGGAGCCGTCCACTAAAATAAAGGGGATTAGATGGTCCCCTGCCCTCGCCCATAGATATATGGATTTTATCCGAGAAAAGTTTCTTGGTGATCAGCCGGACGTAGGAATAGTCCCGCGTGATCCTATTACCTGTTTGAATTTTTCTCTTGCCTGATAGAAGTTTTAACTCGCTTTTTACTTCTCCAAGCTATGGAGTTAAAAACGATTATTTTAAATTTGGCGCCCCTTGGTTCAACTCTGCTTGTAAACTAGCCAGACTCCATCTACATACAATATATAATGACTATAAACTTTCCGGCGCTCTGGCCTTACCTCCATCTTATTCCCTGGCTAAAAAGCATACAAACAGGCCCAGAAATCGGCCAAACGGGAATGGCATTTAAATCGCTGGCAGACTATAATTTCTACCGCAAAATCTCATAACTCCCGGAAATTTTGGTCCTTAATAAAGGGAAGAAACACGAAATACCCCTTAACGGTGATCCCGGCCCCTACATGGGAGCAGTTCCTGAGAAAATATTTCTCAGTGGCAGAAGCTCCGGCCACTCGCTGGAGACCTTCTAATCCCCTTCCCGTCTGGCACAATACCGACCCTGCTGAAATCCTAGAATTGATAGCTGAGCTGAAAACTGGTAAGGCCCCTGGGCCAGATTTGGTCCCTGTTGAGGCTATAAAGCTACATTCTGCATGGTGGGCAGGGATTTTAGCTAAAACGTTTGACGCAATAAATGCCACGGGCTTAATACCAGGTACGTGGAAGGAGGCCATTATAATTCCTATCTACAAAAAAGGTTCTCCCGGTGACCCAGGGAATTACCGGAATATCAGTCTGCTATCGTCCATTGGGAAAATATATGCCCGTTTTTTGCTGGCAAGGCTGATGAAGTGGTCAGCTGAGGCTGACCTGATTGGGCATGAGCAAGCTGGATTTAGATTAAACCGATCCACAACAGATCAGGCAATTATTCTTTATCACTTAGCCCGGAAATACTCGACACCTCGACGGGGCCAACTTTGCGCAGCCTTCATAGATTTGAAAGCTGCGTTTGATAGTATTCCGAGGCAATTACTATGGGATAAACTTGCCTGCTGGGGAATAGATAGAAGGCTCCTGTGGCTTATCTCCCAACTTCATGCCGGGTCCGTGGCCAGGGTAAGAATATCCCCTGCTGGAGACCTAACTAACCCAGTGCCAGTAAATAAGGGTGTACGCCAGGGTTGTATTTTAGCGCCTCTTCTTTTTAACTTATTTATCAGTGATATGAGGAACCCATTAATCGACTCACAAAAATTTATCCACACCCCCCGTATAGCAGATTATCGTTGTCCTTTACTTCTCTACGCAGATGATGCGGTACTACTCTCTTACTCCAGAGTGGGTTTAAGGAGGGCACTAAAGATTTTTGCATCATATTGCCATTCTAATCATCTGTCTATCAACCACACCAAGTCCAAAGTACTGATATTTTCAAGGAGTCGAAAATTATATTCATGGAAATTGGAGGGCACGAAAATTGAACAAGTACATAAATTTAAATATTTAGGAATTTATTTTCAATATAATCTAGGGTGGAAAGAGCACGTTGAATATCTTCAAAACAAGACAAAAGCCCTATCACACTCCCTCCTCCGTTTTTTCTACTCTGAGGGGGCCTTATTCATTCCTGCGGCCTTGAAAGTGTATAGCATCAAAGTGATGGCCACAATGGCCTATGCTGCACCTTTATGGGCTGCCTTTGCAAACCTTTCACCTTTAGAGTCGCTTCAAAGCCAATTCTTACGCCGACTTTTAAAACTACCAACATGCGTAAGTAATGCGGCTATTCGCTTAGAAATGAAGATCCCCTCAGTGGAGTTAGTTTTATGGAGGAGAGTTTTGATTTATTGGATATCCCTATGGCATAAACTACCGAACCACTATCTCATTCAATGCATGTGGCGGGATGACTTTACAAATTTGTGGTCAGGAAAAATCCATGCCAAATTGCTGTCCTATGAGATCTCGCCCACGGAATTGCTCAAACTGGATCTAAACGCGGCAAAAAGGTGTATAAATCAAAGGCTGGATGATGTGGAGCTATACCAAAATTTCTTAGCTGGTGGTGGAGCCTGCTCCCCGTTAAATCTCGGCATAACCCCTATCTATCGTGCTCCGTCCTACTTAACATCGCTTATAGCCGCATCTCACCGATATGCCTTCATTAGAGCCAGGTTCAATGTTTTCCCAACAAACGTGCTGAGACATAGATTCACTAAGGGCCAAGTCCCTTCAATGTGTGCTTGTGAAATGAAAACATCTGAATCTTTACATCATGTTATGTTTATCTGCCCTATGTACAGTTTAGCTCGCGCTAGTATACTAAACTCCATAATCCAGCCTATGGCTGACAAACCAGTAGACCTACAGCTTGCCTGGGTTCTTCAAGATGTAGATCCTTATATTACTCTACAGGTTGCTAAATTCCTAACAGCCGTTCTCTCGTACAAGAGACGGAATGGAATGTTAACTGATTATTGATACTTATAAGAATTTTTGATATTGACATCAGAAATTGATTTAGCGTAGTGCCCAAATTTTTAACTTTAATCTTAAATTTCTGTTTTGATTTGCCAATATTTGTCCTTGTGAGCTGTGAATTGTGTTATATTACTTGTGGCTTGTTCGAGACCGCTGTTTTATTTGATTTGTTTTGTGTGTTGTGCTTTATGATGGGCGTAAAGCCGAATAAACATTTTGGTTTGTTCTCATCCTGAAGCAAAGTTCTTAACCCAAGGTACTATTTCTGGGTTAGCAGAGTCTGTAAGCTTAAGTGTCTGTAACCCGAGGTACCACTGTATGCTTCTTCAACAAAGTTCCACCCTTACCTGTAGTCCTGTTTTGGGAAGGAAAGCAGTCCATGCAGTCAAATGACAGAACTTGAAGTGGCACAATGGAGTTACGATCCTATGCAATCATAGCAGCAGAGTCAACAACCACTGAGTCAAGAGCTGTAGAGACAAAGGCTAATGTACTGTAGTAATGCTACACACATTCCTACAGTGTTCCTGGAACCCTGACTTTGCAACATCATTTGCTGATGTTGCCTCTAAATTGATCATGTGCAGAAGGCATTGATCAATGAAGGAATGAGCAGAATGACACTTTGATGTCACCATCGTACATACTCACCCTTCTGCACAATATGTGCAGATAGTCAGCTTGAAAGGGACTATGATACTTCTCTCTCAACAAACTATGATGATGTTAGAGACAGGAGGTCTTTATGCAGAACCCAGAAGCCTCTCAGGAGCAAAAATACCCCCATGCATATAATTTTAACAGAACTGTGAATGGCATTATATTGACAGAGGGGTAAGGAGAACATTTTGTTTTCTTTTTTGTAGGGATAGGGTGGATAAGAGGCAGTGGAAGCTACACAAGGTAGAACAATGAACTGCCCAAAAGCCTACTAGCAAATGGCAAAGCAGTGAAACCATTGGATTTGAGTCGGACAGGCTGCTATTCTGTGCTTTCGGAAAACTTTGTTTTGTTCTTCCTGCAACTCCTTTTCCATTTTGCTGTTGCTGTTGATGTCAGGACCTGCAAAAGGCAGAAGAAACTTGTGGAAAGTGGTGCTGTGATAGCAACAGAAACTTTAAATGGGCCTGGAATGGGCTGTGGGGGTGGAGGAAATCAGGCAACCAATTCCCCATGCTGCTGCAAAGAAGACCGGTTATGGGGCCTTGGTCATCATCTCTCAGACACCAAGACCATCATAGCCCTTTTAATCTTTGCATCATCCTTGCTTGGTCCTGACTCCAAAGCTCTTCCATTTGCAGAATGGAGCATTTGGATTCCTCCCAAGTTGTTTATAAAAATTAAAGCAACTATTCACACCATCTATTTGATTTGCATTCTCCCCACTTTCCCAAACCCACAGACTAGTATGTAACTTCCTGGAAACTATGGGGGAACTTACTGGAAAGTTACACAACTGTGGGAGAGAGTCATGTTTTGAATATTTATGAAGAAAGACAAGAATGGAGGATATTTCCTTGAAACTCAGTCCAGACATGTAATGAGGCTGATCTGAATCTTAAATGTGTATCACAGCACCAAGCCAGCTGGATTCTCCTGCTTCTGGTTTTGTCTTTGCTGTGGGAAGTGTCTTGTATCCCTCTTAAATAGGGATTTTTGGTGGAAAGCATGTGCCTTTATCTTCCATTTAGAGGCAGGAGTTCATGCTGTGAAAGAAGCATCCTTCCCTTGATCATATTTCTGTAACAATTCCAGAATGCAGTTCAATTTGGTAGCTGTATCCTGATTAAAGCATTCCCCTTGATTAATTGTTCTTTGGCTTTTGGACAGTGCTGGTTTCTTCTAAAAGCCAGCACACAATGCCTGGATTACTTGACTGCACATCTGCTCTCTTCAGTGCCTGCAAATATTTATACACATTTTAATGATTCCCTGTCCACTGTAAGGTTTTACTGCTTTGCTAATCCTGATAGCATCTTTCTCGCTCTCTAACATTTTCCATTCTAAGATCCAATTGTGTAAACAGAGAAACAAACAGCATGTTTTTGGTAGATTATTTTGTTTTGGTTTATGTTGAACAAGGAGACTAAACTGAAATGTTATCTAGAGATATATACATCTAAGGTGGAATTATGCTCTGGTTAAGGAGAGAGAAATGCAAGTAACAGTGGCCAGGGCCCAGAGTTAGATATATTAGATTCAGAGCTAAGAGTGAACATTTGTTAGGTGCTATCTGCTAGGCTGTACTTTTATGGAATCGGTATTCATGATCATTACCATTTGGAAGCCCTCTCACAAGAGGATGGCCAGGCAGGCAGAAAACGATACAAAGATCTGTTCTTATATGTATTCCAGATTAAATTGAAAACAGGCAGTGTATTTCAGAAACACATGTGGTAAGGTGTACTTGTGTGTATATACTTAATGACAAACCAGTTACTCTATTTCCTCCCTTGCCTGCAACTTTTTAAAGCAGAGGTGGTGCATATAATTGTTCATTTTTTTAAAAAAAATGTTTGTTGGCTTTCTGTACATTTATATTCCATCCTTTCATTTTCCACTGCTCAGGACAGCTTCAAAAAAGTAATAAATTATGAAAGCACCAATTTATAGAAACACACAAACACACACACCACCAAACAACAACACACACAGCATAAAATTAAAAACACTGAATCCAAGTGCAAAAACTAAATCAAAAGGGGGTTGTGGAGGCAAGGGGTTAGTTCCCTGCCTACTTTATTATAATAAAACTCAACTCCCAGTCCAGCAGTCCTCCTAAACCTCAGCATCATTTGGGCTCACTTATTTCCTCTTCATCCTTAACCAGCAACCTGGTAAATGTGAATTATAGGCATGGTACAAAGCCAGTTAGATACATATATGATATATAACAAATGTATCTACGTTCATTTATTACAATATTATTAAGTGCACAAGCTTATCTGGTCACTTGAAAATAGTAAAATAGTACAGTATCTCTAAATGAGTATCTAGAGTTCTTTGTTCACATGTTACAGTAACTTTAAATATCAGCTATTAATGTTAAACTAAGACAGTTAATTTCCCTATTAAAATCCTTTAGCCAAATTGCCCTTTTATGCTCTTCACTGCAGTTAAGCCTCACCAACACTATAACTGGGGACTCTACTGGAAATCCTTTCCCCCCACTCCTTTACTGACCTATTGAAGTGCAGGTTTGTTGTATGGTCCTGCCCTGGACATCTCTTTGGTATTCCTATCAGAAACCAGAGCCCACCATTCTAAGTTGCTTCTCACTTGCTCCCTTAGTACTACAGACAGGTTCTCTCTCTCTCTCTTTCTCTTTCTCTTTCTCTTTCTCTCTCTCTCTCTCTCTTTTTTTTCTTCAGCCTAAGCCAAGTCATTTAGCTATTGTCAGCAAGTCTTTAACCACCAAGCCACTCCACCTGCCTTCCAGGTCTCCCTTCTTCCTCCCTGACCCTCTTCCTCTGATGTCTTCTGCCTCTTCTTCTTCCTGACTCCATGACCACCAAGCACCAACAACTCTACCTAACTCCAGCTCTTCTCTGCTGACCAGAACCTGGCCATAAGTACACTTCTGTGGAGCGCTGAAAACCTTTGCTCAGGGTCATTGCTCTGATGGATCCAGAAATGAGGAAGCAAGGAGGGAGGGAAAGAAGGTCAGAGCAGAGCCTAGTGGTGAGAATTAAGTAGTATGGTTGGGCTTTGCATTCTCTGGACATAGCAGAGGCACTTTTGTTCTGTGGTGGGCTGCTCAAAGACCATGAGGACCTGGTTTCCAGAAAGACTTCCACATTGACAGTGACTTCTTCAGGGGCTTACCAGCAGTGCTCTCTGAGGTAAGTCCCAAGTTGTTCACATTGCAATAGATAGCTCGGGATGTGGCGGGGAGGTGGGGAGGTGAGAGACACTTCAGGTGTGGGGATCACAGCCCTCCAGGCTTCTCTATCTCTCCCTCAAAGTCTTCCCCTCTCTGCAGGCCACACCCCTTATTGCTCCTACTTCACATTCTCCTTTAATGCTTTTGCCTCGATAGACTGTCCTCAAACTCTGGCTGTCTGTTGATTGGATGGAATATAGAGAGGATTGTGTGAGTGTGTGCAGAAACTAGCCTACCCTACAAAGGTAAACTTGACATGTTTACACCCACCACTGACACGTGGCTCTCGGAAGATTGTGTCAGAGGGAATCATCCAACTGGATGGAAAAGCATCCCCACCCATAGTTGCACAGAATGGGCTGGGCAAAGGCAAGAGGCAGCCATTTTCAGACATTATTGTTGAGCTCCATCATGGAAGAGCAAGGCTTGGACAGGGCAACGGGGAAGTTTATCTTTTGAGAAAGGAAAGCTGGGGGCGGGGTGGGGAAGCTGATTTTAGAGGGAGGTGCAAAGAAATTCTTAAAATTTAAGTTTCTTTGTGGAGGTTTCCTGGAAGACCAGCAGCAGTTGCCTCCCCCTCCCCATTCACTTTTCAATTGCTCTGTTGACAAAAGTGTAACTTGTTATAAACTGTTTCTAATATTGTGTTTTAATGTTGTAACCTGTCCTGGTACCTTAGGGTAAAGGGTGAACAATAAATAGATCAATAATAAACATATTCCTTCACAGTGCCTCCATATCAATGGCACCATGTTATTATGCAGTATCATTATGGGGAGAAAAGAGCCTCCAGTCCTGTGGAGTTACACATGGTCTGAAACACAGAGACAAGGGAGTGGTGGCTGCCCTTTCCCGCCCTCCTTAGATGGTGCTGCTCCTGGTTAGATTGGCTGGTGAAGCAGACCATCTTCCATTAGCTCCACACAGCCTGGCTTGTTTGCATTAGACACATCAGCCACAGATGACCTTCTCATCCTCCTGTTATTCCCCACACATGGAGCAAATATTGCGACAAACTTACTGATCAATGGATATATTATTTTAACTCCAGAGAATCTCAGCTTTCATTTTTTTTTTTTAAAGGTTTTCTGTCCCTTGTGATTCCACAGTGGTTTGTAAATATACTCAGTAACATGCCTTTGTCTGTGCATTGCTACATATGTTGGGGAAGGGTTATAGCTCTGTGGTAACTGAGCCCATGCGGTCCCAGGCATTAGGGGCTGCAAGCCCTTTTGAATGGACTGTTTGGAAGTGAAGAGGTGTCAAGTTTATGAGGAATTTCACTGTATCAGTTTTAAAAAGGAAGACTATGGAGGTGATGAAGAAATACAGATGTTCCTAATGGGAAGAGGATTAAAAAAAAGGAATAGCTTTTTAAAAAGTAACAGACTGGTGAAAGTCAGAGACTGCAACATTATTGAGGAAGGCGTTTGTATGCAGAAGCACGTATAGCTATATATAATAGCCTTGTTTTTCATTGCTGGTGTGTGATGTTTTTGATTGAAGAACAGAAACAGTTGATATTTTGAGATATAGACTCAAGCAATAGGGTGCCAGATATTATTCCAGCATGTTGAAACTAGGAAGATATTTTGATCTCCACTTGATATTAAATAATCAATGCTGGATTAATACCACAATACAGTGTGTGTGTGTGTGTGTGTGTGTGTGTGTGTGAAGAGAGAGAGGGAAGAGGGGACTTTTTATTTAATAATTTTATACTTTGGATTTACAGATCCTTGTGGGAAGCCACATTTTCTCCCCTTGTTTCTCTTGTTTTAGTCTAATAAAATAAATCCCACGAAACATGAAAAGGCTCTAGCAAGTCTCTAGGTGTGAAGATTGCACAACTGAGGAGCAGCCCCCAAGAATGTCTCCTCACAATTCAAACCATCTCTGGTATTACAATCACCACGCTCCTCAGATGTTCCAGAGGGATGGGTAGCCTGAAAGTGGGCATTCTCACTGGCAACTCCCAGACCGTGGAACTCTCTCCTCAAAGAAGTGCATCCAGTCAGGAGTGGGGGTATCACTAAGCCTATCACTAGGGTGCAGACCTCAGAGGGGTTCAGCACCTTTGAGGGATGCCATTTTGTACAGCTTTATGCAGATTATTCCAAATGATTTGTGTGCTAAAACATTTCCTTTTGTATGTAAGAAAGATAAACAACGATTGATGTATTACTTATTCTTGCAATTCAAAATAAGATTAGAAGTTTCAAATTTTGTGCTTTTGTTTTTTTCTACAAGCCCGCTCACCCCTTTGTGTGTGGTGGCACTGTAGGACGGGGGAGACTTCACTGGGGCCCCAACGTGGGAATTCAAACTGCTGTGCCCTTCCTGATAGGCTGAGGGGGCATGAACCCCCTCGGCCTACCAGGAACCGAATCCTAGCCTGCAGTCTGCTTTGGCAAATGGGGCTGCAGGCCGGGACTTGGGCTGTGCCGGGAGCAGCACCGATGGAGCCGATGGTGGGCTTCCTTTGGATCTACCCCTTGCCCATTTAAGCAGCCAGTACCTGGGACACAGCCTGTTTGTTCCTGAGCCAGGTTTTCCCACCCATGGTTTACGCTGCTAGTCAATGACTTTGCTGTGGCTACGGTGGTCGCCGTCCTTCAAGGGTAGGAATTTGCCCACCGGGCTAACTGACACTGACCCAGTGGTTTTGCCTACCTCACAGCAATTGTCACAACTGGTTGGTCATTGGGTCAATCCTTTGTTTTGGATGGAGGGGAGGGTGTAGTCTCCACC